ATTTAGAAGTCAAGTTCGGATTTTCTAAAACCACAAATCAGACAAGCAGGCATTCTTTGATTACAAGTCAGAATTGCAATATAATACTAATATAATAATAATCACGAATTGTGTTGAAAAATTAAAGCTAAAACATTTAATGCATACTCTATCAAAATTCAGAAAAAGAAGTGAAATATCCCAATTCAATCGTCATTTTTTATTCCTAAAGATAACGAAGGACACGTGAAAATGGTGAATTGAATACATTGATGTTCATTCTATTAATTCATGAAACGCACAAAGGGCATCATTTAAAGAAGAACATAATCGAGTTTTTTAAACCATAAAGACTGTAATTAAAAAGCCAATATAAAACAACTATTTAAGAAAAACAAGTTTATTCATCGATTTATAGGATACACATTTCAATATGATTGGTACACCAACTTTCACGTTACCTAAATTAATGAAAGATGAAAATACATGTTCCATGGGAAATAAAAAAAATATATAATCATCACAGAAAAATCTCCCAATTAGGTGATTTCAATATTAAATGCATTTGTCTGTTTGGCGACTTGGAGACTTGATCCAACACCACGGACACGGTTTTTTCTCGGAAAGTGGATTTGGCAATTAAACATGTCAACATACACTCCCCTCTATTAGTTTGGAAACCATTTAGTGTTCGCCAAACAAAAGACGTGTTATACATGTATGTGTACTTTGAACTTGCATCTGCAATTTTAAAACTTGTGCTGTAGTAATTTACACTGGAAATAAGAAGTGACTCTTTCTTAAACTAAAAATGTGTCATTTTTTGCTCAAAAATATTTCTAATTTCATATTTAAAGAGGGAAAGCCTTCTAGGACAAGATTACTTAGATTCCATTCATCATAACAAAATAATGTCACCTTGATGTGAAATAAACTTAAAATATGTTTATTTCGTAATTAACATAATATTAGCGTAATATCATTCATGATCAAATATTTGCTGGTTTTGTTGCAAAGGCCACAAACTTTTGTTGTAAGGGCCACAAACTTTTGTTGTAAAGGCCACTAGCACTGGTCATTCATTCTGATACTCATCACATCTTTCTGCCTTCAACTACAAAGAAGCTAATAGAAGGCCATGATTTCTTTTGATGCTGGTCATTTGCGTTCCCAAACTTAAGGATGGGAGGGTAACAATTAAGAATGGCATCCATAGTCTTTCCCCACTCCAGCTTCTATTATGTACATTGTCTGAACATTGCTAATGAGCTTTACGTGTATCTCTGACGGAAGAAAACAAACGGAAGAAGTAAGATGTGTTCAATGTTAAATTAAACAAAGTTGTAAGTGCGTCATTGATCCAGGCTCATCCACACCCCTGGTCATAAGGTAGGTTATTACCCATAATGCTTGGTAGTGGTAATGTATACCAATTGAAGCAATATGTCTTGTCCAAGAAAAATGTTTGCTGTAAAAGGATCGATCAGAAATTGCTCTCGAAGACCCGGATTTCGAAAATTGCTGGCAATCAACCTCCACCATATTATACTTTTCTCCAAGTGCATCCCTATTTCAGTTTTGAATACCTAGCTTGAGCAAGGAGCTCTTGAGACTGCGTTTATCCATATTCTAAATGTAATTGTTTTGAAGTATGACTGGGCGAGGACGCTCAAAAAGGCTATGTTTTTCTGAAATCCATCTTTTTATAATCGTTAGAAAGTTCAACATGCAATATCATCAGACTTTGATTCAAATCATCTTTCCTAAACTAGAAACACCAAAACTTGCCAACCTGTGTGTAAGATGCGACATGATAGCTACATATTTAAAGATGTTTGTAATAAAATATAACGGTGCAAGTTCCAGATTATTCATTTTTTCAAATTTTGATTATTTTAGCATCAGAAATAAGTATTGAGTCTCGTTAAGGAAAGATTACAAATATTCAACTAAAGAAAGGCCTAGAGTCTAAATGCTTTTTCTTCGGCATGGAATCAAATAAGATAAACGTGAGATGACATAATTTCAGAAAAACGTATAAAACTCATAATGACTCCATGTCATGGATATACACCCTAGCTGCACTAATTGTTAATGACCCGAAAGATTTTAACAATCTCGTTTTTAATGATCGTCAGCTTCTGGTTTTATGCTTAGGTTGTCTTTCTTGGGGAACCAACGACTGGTCACGTCGCCTGTACTGCAGTATGAAGGTTGATTGCTATCGGCGGACTAGCCTTCAATAAATTAATTAATAGCAGTAAAGTCCAGCTAGAAAATACGTTTCAAGACTAGCAATTTAGCATCATGACATATAACAGCCTTATATCAGTTCCTTTCAAGACTATTCATAGTTCGAAAACAGAAAGACTTGATGAGTATCAGAGTTTTTATTTTAGCTAATTTTAGCTAATCGGAGAATTTTTCAATTTTATTGAGAAGTCTTTGGGGATAATTGATTTTGTTATTTAGTGTTTTACCAATGAAACGATGACCCGTTTCGGATCATTACTCTCTGAAACACGGCCATAGGCCTGCCTGCCTAAGCTATAGCCCTAAACTAATTCGGAATGATCCTATACCACTGTTTACGCCAGTATGTACAAAAATGGTACACATTTTTCATTTCCATTCAAACATAACGATTTCAGCAATTGTCTAAGCAATGTGTATCTGGCATTGAAGTAAATGGACGACACAACAGAAGCAACCAATAATAGTTCAAGGCTCAAGTTGCAATCATCTTGGAAAATGATATTTTCAAAGATGCAAAATCAAACTACAGTAAAACGTGTGTATAGTGAGCACATGTGTTCTCTGTAGCTAGGTGTCCACTACAGAGAGGTGGTGTTATAAAGGAGTCAGTGGAGTATGTGCTGAGAAGGGGTATTCACTATTTATCACTAGACACAGGTGTTCACTAGACACAGGTGTTCACTAGAGAGAGGTGTTCTCTAGACACAGGTGTTCACTAGAGAGAGGTGTTCACTGAGACAGGTTTTACTTTTATTTTGACTTCCACACTGTTTCGACAAAAATGCGCGATTAAATGCAGATTTTTTTGCAGAATTTGACTTTTTGGCTTGCAGAATTTTGCATTTTGTAGTGCAGAATTCTAGTAGCCCTGATTGAATAGGATGCACTTGGTATTGCCAAGACGTGGCAAGCTCCGATTCAATTTCCAGTGAAACGAGCAAATTAATCCGCTTATAGAGAGGCATATGCATGTTCCAGGGGCATAAACATATCACTATTGATACCAGTATTTAAAAAAATAACATAAACATCTCTCTTTTGATAACAAGTTTTTAGAAATCTAATCATGTTTTGTTTTGGAGGCTTAATTTTGATATCATATACATATCAACGTAGAGATTAGACCTATCCGCTTATCTTCTTTATCACCAGGCATCTTTCAAGTTCCCACCACAATATTTTATGCACACAAAATAGCAGTGAGATAAAGACAACAATTAGTATTTAAGATGAATATTTAATAATTTGAAAGAATACGCATTTAAGTTTTAATCCAAAGAGGATTTCTCCGAGACCAGAGTCGAGGCTATTTACCAGATGAAGTTTTCTTTTATAAAAGCGAAATCCTTTTTAGGGTAGGATGGTGGGAGGGGTAAATTGGGTATTCTGATGGTGAATTAGTTTGGTCTCTCACACGTAGGTGTACATACTGATATCATGCAATCATATTTCACTCTGGAAACATCTTATAAGCATACTAATATATCAATTCAGAGCAAAATAAATATCCTATGGACGCATCAATGTCAAATTAACTTAATAAATGGGAAAAATAAACATCTTATAAATATATCGTACCAACTTTAATTATTACCGAACTAAGAGAAAAAATATATTTACAAATACCTTTAAGATTTGAAAAAAACATTATGGATCACAATTCTGATTAGAGTTGTTTTTAATAAAGAATAGCACGAATTCATTTCATTCACAAACACCAGCTACATTTTCAGTTCGTGTGTAAATGTCAACAGGAAAACACAACAAGCACCTTGCAAAATAAATCAAACACTAAAATACTAAATGAAAACATCAATATAGAAACTGCATCATCGGATTATTTTATGAGAAGTGAAATTTTAACAATGGAGGGGGGGGGGCTAAGATGATGAGAAACATCAGATCACCATGGTTTTGTTTATACTGCCAGAGCATCTTGATCTTTGGTCGTGTGACGAGAAACGAACCTCTTTCTCACGAAATAGTCCAAATCTCTCTTGATCGGCTCTATACTTAAACAATAGCTGCAATGTGTCTTTTCTTAAGTCGCGTGTCTGGTCTATGTGATAGGCGTTCATTAAACAGGATCAAATGTCATTAAAACTGGCTCAACAAATCAGAGTCTCCTTGCCTCGTTTTAGACTAAATAAAGCAATGGAAAGTTGGCAGAATTATGGTGTTTGTCAGTTACATTGGCTTTGCTTGTTGAAATTCGCGTGGCAGGCTTTGTACTTAAAGATGTTTGGCACGTGTCGAAATACCCCACAGAACAAGTCTATATAGCACCTGTTTCGGTTTCTATTCAGTTTCTTGATACCCATGCAGTAACTACATGTATATGCCACCCTTATTTGGGATACATTCAGAAACAACAAATCTATAATTTAAAGTACAAACCATCAATCAATTTCAATAACTATTGAAGATATAACTGAGTCTCTGCAAAAATGATATATGCTTTAATTATTGTTTTAGATATTACTTTGAATCATCATATCAAATATAATCTGCATATTTTAATGCATGTATCTTTATAAATTGAATAACACTCAGTAAAATAAATAAAATATAAAAAATATGATGAAATAGGTTAACGTACTGTTACAATTTTTTCATTATCGGAATTATACTTCAAATTTTATTATTTAAGGGGATCTAGAAACCTGTTTAATGATATCGCTCATCGCACGCGTATTTATGTGAAATGTAAATAAAACATTAATATTGAATTTTGATTCCAGTACAAGTTAGAAGCAATACATGCTGTTGGCTCTAGCGTAGTAGTGATATGATTGAATAGTCGTATCGATCTGCTTGTGTGTTAAAACTGGAGGTGCTTTCAGCTTCTGATTACTCTAACCAGGTTGGTTCAAGAGGAAACACGATATAACGATACAAGACTCTTGGACCGAGAACTACCACATGGCTCAATAACACTACCGGAACTAAGACATAGCCCTCATTGAGTACGGTATACACATTAAAGGGACATCGGAAATTATTGTTTGCAAGTAGAGTACTCCTTTAAGGATTTTCAACATTTTTGCATCATTTCACCCAGAGGATAACGGATTAGCGGAACGAGTAAATGTGCAAGAGGAGGGTTGATTGAGACGAATGATAGATTGAGTCTTCAGAATGAGGATGACCCTCTGAAATTCCTTACGTCAGAATGTTGATGTTCCATCAGCTCGTTGCCTTGGTGACCTTGTTGGGTACAGGTAAGATATAATCTACCATTTTAATTTGGTATTAAGAGGGATGTTGTTAGCGTTTAAATGTTGCCCTTTTTTATTACGTTCATTAATGTGCCCAGTTAATGCATTCGAGACCCGATTTATGAATTGCATCCTTTAAGATCCTTAATTATCTTTATTTTGCAATGTTGTTTTCATATTCTTTTATATCATTTGAAATTTATTTATATGAAACATGTGATACGTATCCCCATCATTAAAACATATCATCTTTCCATTGTGAAGCATAATTGCATATTCATAAGGAGACACAAGTGGTGTGATAGAATGAAAGATATCAAAATATTAATACAACTTAAATGTAATATTCACAGTTATACTTAATTATTATTTTGATAAATCCCCATAAACCATCGGCATTGTTAAACGAAACACTCTTTTCGAGATACCCAGTCAAATTCCTGCAAATGGTATTTGACTATTTGCTAAGTGAGATCATTATAGTTGTATAAGTTAACATAGCACTATAACTCTCTTTTATTGATGATAAGTGGTAAAACAATGCATCTTAACCAGAAAATGGGTCGAACGATCGAAGAATCCGACTATTCTATATTGATTAAGCATTGTTTGGGTTCGCGTATCATGTGCCTTTAATGAACACATACTGGTCCTTGTGTGTTTTGTTGTGCAATGTGCAGCATAAGACTGCATTCCTGAGTGTCTCAATTTGCAATATATAACAATAGAAATGATATTCGAAATATCCATTTTAAATCACAAAAATATCGATGGAACTCATCATGCATTGTATTCTGAGAGTGTATCGTAATTACAGTAGAAGAACTGAAGAATACCCTTTCAATTATTAATTTATGAAATAATGAATTACAATGGGCATTTCATATCGTATAAAATACCTCAGAGTAACTATGCCTATATGCGCCAAAGTAACTAATTAAACCATCTCATCGTTCATAATGTCTCTGTAATTTGAGAAATGTAACAATAGTCTCTATAATTGCAGAATCATTCCCCTCGAATATCACATCGAGATCATTTTAATTGGCAAATATTTGAAGTGTTTGAAGATCCTTAAAGATGCATCATGAGAAATCATGGCCTTCTATTAGCTTTACACTGGTATATTTCTGGTTGAAGACTGATAGATGTGAGGAGTATCAGCATGTTAAAGATGAGGCTTATGTCTTTAAGATTTGCATTGTGGAGTAAAAAACTTATTTCTGCTTTCGACCCTTTGAAAGACCCATTTGCTACCATACTCAATGTAAAACATTTTCCCTCTGCTACCATACCCAATGTAAAACACGCGAAATGACTCTAATTTGGAACAAATCCTCACCCAGACACCATTATGATGTGAATCAAATACCACTTAATTAGTTCTCATCTAATCCCTAGACACCATACACCTGGACGTGACTCAGGTTTCAATAAGTTCTTGGAAATATGAACTCCATTATTTCAAGTTATGATAAGAACAAGCTTGTTCGACATAGCCACGGTAATGTCAGCTTTTTTGTAATTAATCGTAATATGATAATTATAGTGAAGTACAAAGACAATTAATTATATACAGTTAATGATTCGATTCAGGAACAATACTACATATTAACAAAACCCTCGATTAAAATTTAACAATGGGCATTTTCAGATAAAAATGGCTGGAAAGTTACGAATGAGGAATTGACTAAATAGGTCTGTAATCAAGATATCAAAAAGTGAAGAAATGCGAAAAATTGAGTAAGGCAAGTGACATTTTAAATGGAAATACGTCATTTTGAAAAGTGACATTTATGGGCACTCCCAATATTGAGCTTTGCTGCAGTCAAATTGAAATAATCATAACAGAACAAACAAAACGAAATAATAGTGAGACAACTGTTTGCAGTGTTATTAATGTTTATAAACGCTCAATTATCCTCTTCATTTTTCATGATTTCCCCACCTGCAGAATAAATAATCAAAATCACCATCGCAACAGCAATTATCTCAACTCACAGTAGGCATGGTAACAATGTGTCACTCCTTGCTCTATTCAACTGGACGCTTTCCACGCACGAGCTTTTCCTGTTTTTCTGCAGATGCAAGGTGTTTGGGGCGTGGTGCGATGTTGCTGAAAACAGTTACTCTTTACAATTATACCATTTACGGCATCATTAACTCATTGAATCTGTCCATTAGTAAAGGAAAACAAGGAATATGGTTCGCATTATGAAATTGTTTTCCAAAGCTGAAATTCAGCATCATTTGATCAAACGCTTTAGATATTTCTTGAGCTATTATCAACAGTTTTTACACTCTTTATCTTTTCCTTACGTCAGGGTACAAAATAATCTATACTATACATTATTTCTTATCATAAGGCCTTTGATAAGGAGTGAAATTACATTTTTATGTAGTCCTAATTTGATATTAAAGTAGAGTGAGATCCACATGGTGCGTTCTCAGGATCCCGACTTTCTGGTATACCACTTTAAAGATTGTCAATTTGGCGTGCTATAAAGGTTTACACCTCTCTGGGCGTTGTTAATGAGACGAAGTTTACATTATTCAATAACTCGAGTGATCAGACACGGCAGATTGCCAGTGTGTCATAAGACGAGTCAAAGAATCTAAAAGATTAAGTCATGTGTCCATGGTCAAGTATTTATACTTGTTATTTGTGTCTAGGTTGTTTTGTATTTTGTTGGAGCCTCGTGGTTAGAAAAATGCTTACGGTGTGTGTCATTTATAAATGCAGCTGCATGGCATTTCATCCCAGTCAAGCATTCCATTTCATGCGCTATTTGCAATGCAGCCAAAAACACAAAGCGACAAAAAATGTCAATGCAATTTCGTGGCATCTCAATCACATCATCATAGAAACCAAACAATCATGAGATCAAATCATAATTATTTTGATTTTTCAATCAAATTGTACCTGAGAGTTATTGTAAACGTCTCAATGACAAGCAAATTTATTTTATTTGGACGTTTGTCACACGTACTGCGATAAACCAACCCACTTCAAGTCACACAATGCCCAGTGGGGTCAATTTCTTAACAATCATTCCAAGCCCGTACCAAACAACAAAAATAAAAACAAAACATAAAAAGAGAATATCCCTGAAGTACCTCCTTTAAACCTCTTTCACGTTTCAATTTCAATTTTTAATCTCTGGTATTTATTCTATAAATCCTAAGTAATTATCCCGAGCAGCTGATGGTAACTGCTCGAAACATACGTCTTGCGTATATCTTTCTATTTGAGAAAATCCTTGTTCAAATATTAAGGTTCCTCTTGATAGTGTTTATGTTACGAGAATCGTACAATTTGTTTAAAGTTCTAGTGAGATCTATAGTTAGTCCACAGAATGAGTTCCATATTTATGTATAGCCTAGTCTTTATACTATAATACACGGGTATATATGCAAATAAGAGACCGTGTAGGTACATTCGAAATAAAAATAATATTTGTAATATGGTCCCTTTGTCCTTAGGTCCGTTCCACCCTCTAACCGATGAAGGGCAATTACGGGTCATTATATAATAATGGTAATGATTACGAATATGTTTATTTATTTGTTTTTATTTTTTGAGTTTTTAATTTTTGTTATTGTGGTAAGAAGTTAGAAATTGCGTTCAAGTCGCAACCATGTGCGTTTTGAATACATAATAGGCGTTTATTCCGGAGGTTGAATAAAGAGCTTGAAGTAAATGTCACCATAATATGGTCATAAAAAAGCTTTTAAACATTCTAATTTACATCACTTGCCACGAGAGTCGTATTTCATGTTCAAAACGTCACACTTCCCCCACTTTAAAACTTCTCGACCCCTTAAGATAATCTATTATAAAACAATAAAAAAATTAATTATAATTTCCAGTCCATTTTTTATTGTTTCTCATTGTAGTCAGTTTTATGAAAAGTTGATGTATATAAAGTGTCAACGTGTGAAAAAATACGAATATTGAAAAGTATATTATCATGCTGTCGAGTGTTTCAGATGATAGCATCAATATGAAAACGATACATTTAAATACTATAAAAAAGCTTGATGATATAAATTAAGTAGAATTTGCATGCAGACATGAACCGCATTTAAATATTAGATTTTTATAAAACCATGGAACAAAAGACGATAAAATATTCATTGATCGATCGGGTTCTATTTTAAACCAGTTTCCGGGCATAATCAAAGGATATTTTGTGTACAGAAAAAGCTGATATTGCTCTAAGTGTCATGAAACGACGGTATGTTTGGAATTGATCGAATATGAGCGAAAGTTCTTTGAGAAAACCAACGGATAAAGGAACTGTTTGTCCACATAAAGTTATGCAGAGATTTCCAACGTTCGTGATTTAATTTCGGGTAATGAAGAATAAATATGTTCTGTTAATAATGATATTCTTGCAAACATAACCCGATCGAGTTTCACCCTGACCTCCCATCAATAAAGACAATCAAGAGACCAAGTCCAAATCACATAACTAAATTAAAGTAACTAAAATTTAGATTTCAATTATATCTGGATTGTATCCAGTTATATTTAATTATTGAATTTTCATCAAACTGAGAAACCTGTCAAGTTTAAGTCAACATACTGATTTCTGGCCGAAACAGTGGCATAAGGAAACCATTATGTGGTAACCTGGGCAATATTTACCTACCGTCCTTGTTGGCTCTCGACCCACTTAACTCCCATGGTAGCAATTATTACTAAAACAATTTACAGCAACAGGGCCCAAAGAAATCTCCGGGATATCGAGGCAATATGGATATCATCATGCTATAAAATCGATTCTTTGTTTGGAAATTAATTTCAATAATGTTAATTAACCTCACGGATGATTAACAAGAAACAATATTGAAATATTTTCTGCATCTTTGTTGGTGCGATTAAATTAAACTAGATTGAGTTGTTGAAATGAAATGATTTGTGCAGCTGGGGCCACTCTGACCGACATGTGGTCGCCTGCTATTAACATATTGCATTATGGGTAATGGGGTAATTTGGGTAAAATTGTTTGTTGGTTGTTTTTATTTGTTTCACTAGTGAACCCCTTGTTATATTTTTTTCATTATTTTAATTTCTAAAATGTTGTCAAGTAGGCTAGTGAAATAGTTTTCTATTTAAGATGTATAGCTGGCTACTCGCCATTCCAATGATCTCCATTCCCCAGTTCTCTTGTGAATAAAGCTTATAAAAGTTGGCATATTGAATACTGGAGTATGATTCAAATTGTAAATGGTACATAGAACTGAGAATATTGCTTTAAAGGCATGAAACATCCAATATGACCCACGTGCGCGCATGCGTCGATATTTCCATTGACTTTGATAAATGTGGGACTGGCAAATATGGACGCGTGTTTTTGTTGTCTGCTAGCAAAACCGCACGCTCAAAAGTACTCAATATAAAGGTATATTTCTTCAGGTTGGCCGTTGGCATGTTATATAAAAATCTTATCATTGATTGAGCAAAATAGTTCTTCAAGCCAATGGACGAATGAAGTACAGTTCGAAATTATGATATTCAATAAAAAAGAAGAAAAATGTAAAACAAATCACCTCTGCCACCAAAGCGAATGTTGAAAGAATTCGTTCTGTTGCCATACTCAATGATTGCAGGACAACTACAAGTGTTACCATAAGCGAGGTTCCTACAGAAATTCTCTTTGCTAGAATGTTTCGAAACATGACTCCGTTCGACTCTCACTCTTGGTCATTGTCAATCCAAATATCCAAATAGCCATCACAAAATGCATCTCGGTTAATACAGTAGTATCATGTAGTAGATGGGTTAACTGCATTTTAGGGGTCTGGACTTCAATCTATGATGCAAACGTTTCCTTTGGCATGAGAGTACCTTAGGACCATAGAAACAAATTTATCCAAAGACACACGCCAGATGGCGCTTTATCTTGGAAATATTCACATTTTTCAAAATGGCCGCCAAAAATACAACGGAGACAATATATTTTCTTCTCTGCATACTATAATGATCTGATTGGTGCCTAAATATACATTTTGTGGGTGAAGAATCAATTTAGTGTCGGTTTATGTCTTGAAAATGAGAAACTTACTTTTTATATTAAAAAATATGCCTTTTTCAAAATGGCTACCAGAGATGTAGCAAAGATGATACCTTCACTTGTATGCATGCTACAATAGTAAGATTGATGTCCAAGTATTCATTAATGGGTGGTAGAATCCATTTGATAAGGTTTATTGTCTTTATTTTCCCAACGAAGAAAGATCAGTGGGGATATTGTAAAGCCCTCCGTCCGTCAGTCTGTCAGTCCATCGTCCGTCTTATGTATGATTTTGCAATTATTTTCAGATTCCTTCAAAGTAGGCTATGGCCATATGTACTCAATCAATTTGAAGATGATGTTAATTTTATGATTAATGCCTCATAAATTCAAAATGTCCCAGAGAAGGAGTTCATTAGCTATTACTTAATAGATATGTCGTCAAGGTATGGTTACATTACATTAAGTGAGATCTCAATTATTTGTCTAAATATGATTTTTATCATTGACTTAATGGTCACCAAAATGTTAGAATCAGCGGAAATTCTGATATTGTACTGTATGTCTATTAGTTAACGAACATGTTCACTTTTTATTGTAAATGTATGCCCTTTTCTCAATGGCCGTGGAAAATATTAAAACAAATTATATCTAACAAGGGCTCTTAAACTTCTTCGAAAGTGTAGTTTTGAATATCAATTTGCGATGGAAACTATGCTGAAAACTATGGATAGCATGGGAGATGTGGTTTTCAACTTCAGCGCATTTCAAATGCCGTCCCCTTTTAAGTAATTGTTGATATGAAGTGAAGAAACTTTTGATATATTTTAATTGAGAAAAAGAGGAGATGAAGAGGGCTCTGCAATACTGTCATTAAATGCAGCCCTTGAAATCTATTCCGATCTTAAGATTTTCTCTCGCCAGAAGGTTTCTGGCCATTTCCAACTATAGGTGCATATGTATGGCTCTCCTGCGTGGTTTCTATCTATCACATTTCTCTCTTATGTGTGTTGCATTGCAACAACTAAAGTTGCACTACCATTACAGATGCATATTTATTGCAAGTTACTAAAGAGACTCTGGTCTTTATGGTGAATTTGAGTAAAAGGAACATTGAAAAATAAATACACATTTGCTGTGTTTAGGCTCATAACCCAATTAGCTAGATGTGAGTAGTAACGATCTTTATTTTTGTCATTAAAAAATCAAAATCCAGTCTAACTAATGTTGAATTTGGAATCGTCGTGAAAAAATACATCAAGAAATGTGGTTTTGAAATGAGTCCATCAACTTAAAATTGAATTTTCTTTGAAAATGTGACATTTAGATCAGGGAGATTTCTCATAGTCCCCATGTTGTAAAACACAAAAAGTGAAATATCTTTTCTTGTGTTGTGCAGATAATATTTTCTTTTACTGGAGTAATGTAAAATGTCTTGTAGTTTATATTTCTGGCAGCCATTTTGAAAAATGCATATATTTTGAATATAAAGTGCAAGTAATGAAGTTACAAGACTCGAAACCTAATTAAATAGATTCTACAACTACATTAATGTATTTTTGACTCCACTCTTATAATTGTAGCATGCATAGAAGCAAAACTTTTGTCTCTGATGTATTTTTGGCGGCCATTTTGAAAAATGTGTATATTTCCAATACAAAGCGCCATCTAGCTTGTGTCTTTGGATAAATTTGTTTCTATTGCCCAAAGGTATTTCCATGCCAGAGGGGACATTTTGTAAGGTAAGATATCTTAATTTGTAAGTATTCGTAAGGTAAGATATCCTCTTTGTTATATTTCTGGCAGTCATTTTGAAAAACGCGTATAGTTTGAATATAAAGTCGAAGTTCTTAATTTTCAAGACTCAAGATCTTATAAAATAGATTCTACGACTACATCACTGTATTTTTTTTACACCAATCTTATAATTGTAGCATGCACAGAAGCAAAGATATTGTCTCTGATGTATTTTTGGCGGCCATTTTGAAAAATGTGTATATTTCCAATATAAAGCGCCATCTAGCTTGTGTCTTTGGATAAATTTATTTCTATTGCCCTAAGGTACTTCCATGCCAAATGGGACATTTGCATCATACAATGAAGTCCAAATGTAGTTAACCCATCTACTAATGGCCACATATTTATATATGGATCTCTTCTCATGCTGCAAGACAAAAAAGATTTAAAGCCAGAATGTCTATACATCTTGCAGACTCTAGAAGTATGTTAAAACTCATTTTTCTAGACCATTTCAAAATCCTGATTTAACTTTTTGATATTATATATTTCAGTGAGAGGTCAAAGTGCCAGAGGGGGTCAAGAAACAAGCCAACTCCAAGGACCTGTCTTCATTGGAGAACCCCCAAGTTATGTCGCCTACGCAAACACCAAAGGGATCATGCTTTCATGTACGGCATTCGGACGACCCGCTCCAGCAATGGACTGGACAAATGAAGAAGGAGCACCTATTGATAGCATCCCTGGAGTCTTAGAAATTCTTCCCAACAATTCCCTGCATATCCTTCCTTTCTCGAGTTCAAAGCTGTTAGCCAATGTGCATAGTACTAACTACCGATGTACGGCCACTAACAGTGTTGGAACTGTCGTCTCTAGGCGAGTCACTGTGCAAGCAGGTATGTCACAAATAATTCCTCTACTAGTATTTAGCGTCTGGACTTTCAAGCACAACACGCGCAAATGTGGCAAAGTCTCACATGTGCAAGTCCTACAAATCGCCTCATTTTGTTTGCCCAGTGAGGTGGGTTAAGTATGTGACAAATCGTGCCCCATTTGTACATACGCTGCGGGTTCTACTTGTCATATTTACTACTTTGATCGGGGCAATCTTGTATTCGGGGATTATACACGGGGATACCGAAAATTAAATTCAAGAAGTTTCGCTTCAATTCAGTGAGCAATTTAGCAGTAAGACCATCCCACGTGGTTACAATAATTCATTAGATTAAAAATTCTTTCTCTTTCCATCCATCCAAAATAAAAAAAATTCTTGTTCAATAAAACACAAAGTGTACAATGCGTAAAGCGAAGTGCTAAATTCAGAACACATGGTATTGACGTTTGATTATAAAATACATTCGAACCGTTATTTCTTGTGTGCGTCTGACGTTTTCGAATGGTATGCGGATCGATTATTGAAGAAAAATCAATTGAACTATTAAAACGGTATTCGGGACCTTTTTGATTATCGTGTATACGACCGTTAAGGGTCATACAAGATCACGTCATCACAGTGATCTCAATATAACGTGTGATGATGAAATGTTGAAGCTATAGGTTAATAGCCTACATAGTTTTGAGGAAGTGATATACTACCAGCCAAAATCGATGCAATGAATTAAAAGTCTCACTTAATATGGATGATATGAGTTTACATGATTACTCTTTCTTTAATGTATTTCTTTAGGACGATATGCCGTCTGGTCCAAATTAACATTTATTTTGAAGAAACTAAGCGATAGGTCTCCTGATAGAATATCTTAAAGTATAGTGGCTTTATTTGTTATTATGTTGAAGACTTTTATAAATAATTCTCTTAACAAATTTATATCTAAAAGTTTCATTTAAGAACAAACAACACCTGAAGATGGATTAATGAATTAATTTCAAAAGATTTATTAACTCTAATTTGTCGATGTAACTTGTAACTACTTGTATTGTATTCTTGGACTAAGAATTGTTTTCTCTTATTATCTCGACGTATACCATGATATTGTTTAATACTCTAATGCAGAATCATTATCAACCCATTATCAAAAAATTATATCAATATATAAACCCAATTTTATCGAAACCAGAGGGTTGTTTATTAGTTTGAGTACTAAATTTTAAATTGACATCGCTTGCCTTTGTGTGGATTTCTATTGAAAAGGACCCGATTCTTTGACTATGATCGGCGGTCCAATTTCCCCTCCTTGCGCGCACTTCCGATTCTACTATTATTTTAGAATGGCTCATTACTAGACTGTCGGAGTCTGGAGTTACTGAAAAACATTCACGAGAAAGAAGTTGTAAAAGATATTGATCTGATATGGAGGCAACCTTCAAAGTAGATTTACCGGAGTATGTTTATGATAGCTAAATGTGTGTGCAATTGAGTTACACAAAAACTAATAAATTAGTAATCACTTTTGGAGTTCGGGTATGCACTGAAATCATTTGAAACTGTCGAAACCCGCATAGTTTAAGATTCTTCATTCATTCGGCGAAACCAATGTACAAGAAAAAAAGCTAAAAAGACTACTTTTGAAATTTACCAGAGTACCGCGCGAGGTACTTGTGTTTAACTCTTCACCGTATCGAATCTACATATAAAGCAGCCAATTAGGCATGACGATGATTACTGTTAAGAAAAAACAGAAACACAGAACACTTTTTATAAATTAAGACCAAATGCCTTGAGGATTATGCAGTCCTGTCTTTTGTCAAAATTCATTGCTTATTCCCGACAGGGCACATATTAAGTTGAGCCATCAGGGGGAAAGCATACCAGGGCCCGAAGTACCTACTCGAGTGGCTCTCAATATGCATTTCTAAATCGGTTTTATTAAAGCTAACTAGAAAACAATAGAGAGAAGACCTCCTTTAATCGGTGTCTAATCAAATAAAACTTTAACAGCTGCTACTTCATCCTGGCACTTCAACCCAATCCTCTTCACGACCAATCATATTGATTGGAATATACACGATATTGATATATCCCAGGGTCCCTTGATCCGAATCTTTTCCCAATCGTAGAAAAATTCATTCTTCATAAAATAAATCACAATAATTTTGTAATACTTAATAATTTTTGTGTGAAGCTTTATTTGTAAAACAAATATTCTATTCCATGCACTATCATGGGTAATTATCCCTTTTGTGTCAGACTATGTCACTTACTATTTGAGAAAATGCGAACAATGTCAATAATCTCTCAAGGTTTTCACAAAAATCAGATAATCTATTCTGGAAACAATGCCACCATAAGCGATGTCATTAAATCAAGTTAAAAGTAGTCAACTCCCAATATAGCTCGAATCGTGATTAGAATTCAACATTTTTGTATGTTGCATCCATATGGAATATTTTTTTATTATCTTCTGGCAATAATGTAACCTATGTAGTTAAACTGAAATCCCATTTGGGAGCTAGGTTATTTCACATCAATTACATATGCTAAAGAGATGTCTATTTGCATTCGGTCTTAAGGCATATTCGCACATTACCGAGTCTAGTTATAAACTACGAAGACGAAGCTCTCTTTTAAGAAGTGAAGTCGAACGAATGCAATGGGCATTCGCACATGTACATTTAGACAGAATTCCAGTCTTCCGATTTAGACTTCACAATTCAAATTGAAATTCGAGTATTTAGAAAAATGAAAAACGAGTTGACAATATATGAATCACCCCCCAAATTAGATTAGCAAGTGAATTTTTGGAATTGCGTCAGTGTCCTATTTTTGCCTACTACTAACTTAGTTAGTTCGTTGCTGATAATAGCGGGAGAAACACTCGTATACCCTGGTATACTGTACTTGTCGCCTCCAGAAATATATGACATATTCACAGAGAATTTAATCTTAATTGATAAAGAATACCACAGATTAGATCTGTCTCAAAAAAGATTGACGGTGTCAAATCTAAGTGATGAATGTACCATTACTCTTCGCCTTATCTTGATGTTTACTGACCTCCTTTGAAATAGAATATCGGTATCGTGTGACCTCCTTTGTAATATTATATAGATTACGTGACCCTCCATATCAATAGCGCTATTAAAGATGAGAGGATGCACAAAAACTCTTTTAATTATCATATGATTGGGGAAAATAGTTGAAGTTTTTCAGCGAAGCACACTCCACTGATAACATACTGATCTCATTTTAGTCGGTAGGAAATTAGATTTTAGAACGATCTGCTTTATCTCGGCTTCTGTTCAATTAAACTGAAGCATGATAGTTCTTCTAAGGATTTGTTACCATTTAAATTAAACCTATGAATAATAAAAATTGTGTGATAACGAAGCATCCTTTATTTCCTAAAGTAGTTATTAGTACCTTCAGATGTGTACTTTTAGTTGTGATATTTTGTCTTTTCTAGTGATAATATTTAATTTTGGATTATAAATTCTGAGTTGTGTTTTTCAACCAAACCATTGTACTTGGGGTGATACGCTGTTCGAATGGTACGTTCGCTTGGTGATTAAAAACTACATGGTAATAGAAGACGGCTAAAACAAAGACTAGTATCGACAGATTATACATTGACTTCCTTGGCTGCTAAACCACGATCAATCCTAAGAATCAGAGATGATACAAAGACAATGGAAAGGCAGATTTCACTTTAGCAGATACAATAGAGTACCTTAGCGAAAGATTTAGGGGCTTGTCCCAGACAAAAAGTCAATATTCATTTTATAGGCTATTGTTCTTTATTTCATAATAGGTCAAGGCTCGAAGAACATTATTGGCCCCTAGTCGATGACTCAATATCCCTTTCCCTATAACTAGGCATCAACATTCCTTATATACTGTAGTTACCTGTAGGTATGACGCAAGACACCCTGCCTCCCTCGTCAACCCCTGATAAGACAGATTTAACTTCATGATCAACAGGATGTAAACCTTAAACAAAACTAAAATTCATTTCAGATCGAGTAAGAAATATGCTTTTCTGATAAAATACCATATGCATTAATATCTATGTGACTATGACTATACTTGTTTCACTTTGATTACGACTCTGTTGTCTGAAATTATCATTTTATTCATGGGCTTCTAGTTGAAAGCCCATGTTTTATTGAATAAACTTTTAGTATGGGATTCATAAGTATTTGATATATTTTGTGTGCATATGTGTAAGGAATTGTGAGCCATCGTAGGCCATTATAGGGAACAGAAATCGTTTGGCTAATCCAGGGATACGGCCTCTCCAGATATAAACCATGACGAGTTTTAATTACCAGGCGCCAGTAATCTATGTCGTAAAAGATGCCATCAAGTTGCCACCATGCTTTGTGAAGATATGATATACGACCATGGTTGAGTGCATCACAAACTTCAACCTGTAATTTCTTTTAATACCAAGCAACCTCAGATATTGGAATAATTTCAGATTCAAGTACAATGATCATTTATGGGTTTAAAGTTTGAGACGCGTGATTCTAAAGAGGCTTTATTCATTGCACTTGCTGGTAGCACTTTGAAGTATTATGTTATACGTTGTTAATAATTGTTAATCTTTCGCCATATTGATCATATCTTCGTGATAATTATGGTTACGTATATGACAGAACGTATGCCCTGATTTTCCCATGAATATTCGTATCTTCTGCATCGCGTCCCTTAGTTGTATTGGCCATGGAACACTTAGGCACGTGATTTAATTTGTCTATTGGACGTTGGGTAGTGGCCTCCTTTACCTGTGTTAATGTAAGTACCCATAAGTCTAGATGGCAAACAATGGTATTGAACCATTGGTCAGTTTTAAATCCATATGGCACACTTATGCAATGTTGCCAGATAATTACCAAATAGCATTTGGTTACTCTATGTTTTCCTAGCAAACAATCCAAGTGTAATGTGGTACAATAAACCCATACTGTATGACAAGAATGATCAAATACAAAGGTTAAGATACAATAAAGCACCCAAGTGAAATTACCAAATTAAATGCACTATCACGACAAAATTACATAAATATATCTTCCCATTCCATGTTTAGGATGGATGAATAAACTCCAGTTTCTCCAAAATCTAAAATTTGAGGTCATTATTTTCACAGGAGTTTGCAGTCATGTTTGATCCGGGAGTAAACCTTAACGACTCGCTTGGAATTGCAAAATGTCTACAAAACTGTAATTCACATCAATAATTCACCATCAGGAAGTTTGAGCACACGAAATTCTTTGTAGTTAAATATCTAATTGCTTACTCCAAATCCATTACTGCCAATTTACATGTCAAAAATGGCAAACCGTAATGACAAATATTTGTCGCAAACGATAACACCCAATATTCAGAAACTAAACAAATTGGTAGAATGAGAACATGAGATTTTCAAGACCATAATGGCATTTAGTGATAGTATAAGTACCTACTTGGTCCCTTTTGACCAATCTAGATTTTTTACTATGGGTTTTAGGATGATAAAATTAGATATGTCAATCGTTTACTATTACCTACCTTTCCAACCGTTTAAACAATATAAATTTGACACCTGTCTCTTCTGCTGCTTTACCAAGTTGCAGCGCATTGCAGAAAATATAGTATTAGTATGTGCAATGGATCTAAGAGAATTGAAACATAATAAGCATTTTCTATTATTCTCAAAGGAACGTATGAATTAGTATGGAAGGTAAAATATGAATTGAATGCATTGTTTCCTCGTTTCAGCCATTTCCTGGACACGAATTCACCATTAACTCCATTTATCGGAAGTTATAGAGCAAAGTATATTACAATTCCCTTTAAATCTGCCAATATTATTTGATAAATTACAATTAATTATCAGATATGTTGGAGTAAGACTGTTTAATCAAGATCAGACTGCCATTATCAATTAATTTCTGCAAATATGACTTTATTGCAGATTTTTTGACAACTTATTTGACATTTCTGGGTTGTTTACGTTGCTTGATCGTATGAATACGCTTTTTAATGATGATGCGTGATCAAGTGCGCCTGCAGTGTAAGTACGTCTGTCGTTGCTGTGCCTGTTGTATTAGAACTATATGCAACCAAGCGCACAAGAGCAGCGTGACTTGAAACATTTGAAGAAATCCCAATGAACGATATCAAGCGCAATAATTTTAACAAAATATGGAAGTTCAAAATGTCTACCAAAGCGCATGCGTAGTTTGTTTTACGTCACATGGGATCTCCACTCAAGCCAAGGAGGATTGGCTCCCAGGATCGAAACTCGATATTTTCCAACAATGAAAACGTCGAAATGTCGTTATTTTCTGAAATTAAAACCGACTATAAATTCAAAATAAACAGTTCAAAAGATTCGAACCAATATCTCGATCGTTTCTTGTGAGTTTTGGAATTTTTCGTTTGGAAATAAGACCAAAATTCACGATTTAAATGTTGAAGTGAACAAAATGGCGGCTGTTTGAATTCGAATTTTGTATTACGACATACCCATATATGGGACAGAATATCGGTGGTGCACTCTGGGAGCCAATCCTCCTTGCACTCAAGCATTACATCGTTTGTAATTGACGTTACTGATTCGTGTGATTTAGTTCAAACCATATGACCTCATGATGAAATTAAGACCTTGTTCTGGAATACTACGACTACTTTCCTGAATGAACGTATCATCTCCATTAACCGATCCCAAGCAATAACATCACTTATTACATTACGGCGATTTTCCCAATGGATGTTAACCCAATATTAACTCAATTGAGATTCGGTTTTGTGAGCTGATTCCTTTGGGTAAAATCTGAAGTGAAATATAGCGTACCCAGAGATTAGATTACTGCTGGGGATAATTAATCGTACCATATGCTATTACTGATCTTTCCTATGCTGTTATTGAAACAATTGGGATTATAAGGCAATATCTCATATGAAATACACCTTTAAGTGCTTCTGCGTCGAAAAATAGCTAAATGTTATACTGCGGGCGCACAAACATGTAAAGGGATTTCAAGACACTGGTGACATCTCATATGGAATGTTATTAACGTGTTTTTAATCTTTAAAAATCTTAACATGCATGTAGAAGTTATAAATTATTATTACCATCAAATGTTATAGACCAGTTCTAAATGAAATATATTTGTACGTTTCAGTCACGGTAGACCAACATAAGGCGTACAGCGTACGTGTTAATGACGTATGGGTGACGATAGGTGACACTGCTGTATTCAAGTGTTCCATAAACCCGTACTTTGTCAGGCCTTACGTCACTGTCACTACGTGGAGTCAGGGAGATAAACCCATCTCAGCCGGTAAGTAATTGACGTCAACGCGTAATTGGCGTTACGTACGTAACTAGAATAACATTTTTGAATCGCCAGAGAATTCTAATATAGTCTCCTGTTAAATAACTTTGTTAATACATTCTGACATTAAGTTTTCTCATGTATGTGTTTTTGTCGATTCCAGGAGGCAGATTTAGCATTTTGCAATCTGGTCAACTTCACGTACGTGACGTTCGTATAGAAGACAGTTACATGCCGTACAAGTGCGTCACTGAGAATAGCCTTACGGGAGACTCAAAGACGAGCGACCCCGCCTTCCTTAGAGTACTAGGTAAAAGTTTGTCCTGGAAGACGTCCTTAAATGTCCACTTTGCATTGGTTTATGAAAAGAGTGGTTACTAAGAAAATTAGTGATATTAGTTCAAATAACTGAATCATAATAAATAAAATTAAATTGACACAATTACGATGAGAACTCTTCATATATTTTCAAGTATTGTACAATAACAGGGCTAGAAGTTGACGTTTTTATTAAACAATTAGAATAATTTTGTATAGGTTCGTTTTCTAATGTTGCTCGTTGTGTCATTTTAGAACAAACTGTCAACTCGGCACCAAGCATCGACGAGAAAGTGTTTAGTATTACAGTGGAACAAGGTGAAACCGCCGAGCTCCCATGCGTGGCCAGTGGTCACCCCACGCCCGTCTACACTTGGCAGAAAGGCGACATGAGGATTGTGCTGGACCATAACCGCGTTACTCAGATGGGTGGGAACTTGGTGATCAGAAACACGGGTATTAGGGACAGCGGAGAGTATACTTGCAGCGCTTCTAATAGATATGGAATGAAGACTGTCACGACGACGCTGACAATAACATGTGAGTATAGGGCTGTAGGGAGCCGGATGGTCTTACATAGAGGCCATGCGTCCGCCTCCACCCATCTCACTCTTTGTGGCGATATGTTGAGAGGAGGGTTGGGCGTGACTTGATGCAATGCTATGCACTGAGCTGTGACAAAGTGACAAAATACTTACTAACTTTTTATTTTGTATTCACAATTCATTTCTTTTCATTCATTTAAAAAAATCAATCCAAAATACAATGTTGATAGTTCTGACGACTTGGGGGCATATTTGTACAAAATAATGCAGTTCAAATTCGATCTCACAACAGGGCGAGTATTCCAAATTCACGAAACAGTCACCACGACCCTTTTAGCAACTGGAAATATAATTTGTTCTTCTGTTATATATTTTAGCTGCGTTATCAGCATTCATTCAGCCCCAGAGACAGGTCGTTGATGTTGACAAACCTGTGACGTTCAACTGTTCTGTGTTCGGCCACCCAGTTAATGCCATCCACTGGTATAAGGACGGGAGACGATTGAGCCCAAATGCCCATTTCAAATTCCCATCCAATGCGGCTATGACTATTACAGCAGTGAAGCGGGAGGATAAAGGGATGTATCAATGCATGCCTAGCAATGACAACGATAACGCCCAGGGTTCCACACAACTTGTATTGGGAGGTAAGACATTTGATCAGTTTGATCACGGGCTATCAAGAGATGATGCACTGATTTCGACGTGGAGCCTCGATTTTAACAAAATATTGCAGACGGCATAAAAAACGGCCATCTGCAAGTAATTGTACAACAAAATAAGCCTTTGGGGTATCAGGGGATTCGAGAAACGCATTGTCTGACTTGAATATTTAAGTCTAGTAACCTGGTTAGGTGAAACGTTAAAATTTCTTTCAATTTGGACTTCTATAGATGAATGGCACCCCTGGCTGCGGTTAAAGCATATCCATGTTATATACATCAATGTTCCATCGATCTATTTAACTAAGATTAAGTACATACGTTGAACATACTGGTATTGAGCTTTGGAACGCTCAGGGGGAGATACAAAGAAAGTCCCCTCTCTGCCACAGTCATTTATTGATCCATATTGAGAGGTTGTTTGTAAGACCTGAGATTTATAACATCTTAAAACAATGGGTGTTAACGATAATATGCCAGCATTATACGCAAACAATGTATCTCAACTCTGAAAGCAAATTTTATAATTCAGCATCATAATTAATAGAGGTTTTATCAATACGTGTAACTACCTCTATTGATATTTTTTCTATGAGGTTTTTCAACGTTGTAATTATATTAAACATTTTTTGTCACGGTAAAAAGGGTGATCCCGAAATCCCGAAGATGCATGAAGATACAATTTTCTATTTCATTGAAAATATTATTTCATTTTTAATTAGGTTTACTTCTTAATATGGACAATTTAAAAAAGAAACTGAGATGGTAGACATAGTCAATAGACAAGAAGGGTATTGTCCATAGCCTACATCAAGTTTTAATTTTAATTTCAGTTGCAAAGCCTATTATACACTATTGGTTTGAAGACAAATATGTCCAACCAGGACCATCTGTGTCTCTCAAGTGCGTAACGTCTGGGAATCCAACTCCCATCGTTATCTGGACTCTTGATGACGGTCCCCTCCCACAAGATCCACGTCTACGTGTGTCCTCTTACGTCAACCCCAAGGGTGACGTCATCAGTCACGTGAATATAAGCAAGGTGGAGGTGTCGGACGGCGGACAGTACAAATGCTCGGCTACAAATAGCGTTGGACAGGCTATGAGAGTCGGGAAACTCAACGTTTATGGTAAGAAAGTTCAAACGCCCGGAATCTTAATCTTTTCAAAATCAATATGATGTACCATTCTTTTATATATTTAAAAGTAATATAAACATTTATAATTGGTTTATAGTTGTCCTAAGCTTGTCTAGAAAATATAAATTTAAACGTACCATGAAATAGTAATTCGGGATTGGCAAGCCATATTTGCTGGCTATACTGAGTTCAAATGCAGATCGTGACGTCATGATACATGTTCTTTACTAGAAAATAATTTCCGAAAAGTTTTCAAAACTTTTGTTTGTTTGTTACTTCTCCACAATGTTCTATTTAGACGGTTTTATGAAGTTGAAAGTCGTGCAAGAATGATAACATGATTCATATACATATCTGGTTAAATGTTTACTGACCGAAGTTTGCAGATATTGCCAGAAAAATTATTTCAGACACATTTTGATTTTGTCTGGTGAGTGTGGAACTGGAATGATTTCAATTTTATGGATTATTGACCCAGTAATAGATTATATTATGAACTTCTGTTTATTATGTCAAATTAAAGTAAATGAAATGAATAATTTTTTCAATGTTTCAGGTGTTCCATACATACGTCCAATGTCCAACATCACAGCAGTTGCCAATCGTCTTCTCATCATCACATGTCACGCATCTGGCTATCCTATAAAGAGCATCTCTTGGCACAAAGGTAGGCTTTAGCAACTCAATATAAAGTCTTTGTTTAATTATACTCACCCATCATATGTTTTTATAAAAATCTGTCAAATATAATATGTAGTGTATTGTGCTCTGTGTTGGAGTGGTGAAAAATCAGTACTAAACCGTGTCATTCACACTATTCAGTGCCCATATACTTGAAAATAAAATATTTTTGTTCGAACACAGGAGGGTCTCAACTTCCCATCAACCACAGACAACATGTGAGTAAAGATGGTACATTGACCATACGTAGTGTGCAACGAGGGGATGATGAGGGCAAGTACACATGCACTGTCAGTAACTCTAACAATCAGGGGATGAGCAGAAGTCTTTATATTAGTGTAAAAGGTAAGCCCCTTGAGCATAAACCAAACTGGCTTAAACCCTGTATTATGACCTAAGATCATAATACATGTACAGTATATGAAATCAAATTAGATAAAAAAAATGCACTGAACTTTTTTATATTGGAAAGAATGCTCAAATGTTTAACCATTCTTGGAATTATCCTTGCTTGCTAAAATAGATACCATTAAGTGAAATTTTGATACATTGTTCTATAAACTATAGCCAAAGACATTCATCAGTCTAGGGTAGCTGGTATAATTTATTTGTATACACAAGAATTATATACTATATGAAATATAACAATTGATACAGTCTAACTTATTATTCCTAACAGTACAACATACAATACAAGTTCCCCTGTAGATATTTACTTTTGTTACAGTGCCTCCAATGATTGATCCATTCACCTTCCCTAAGATCAAGCAAGGAGACCGTGTATCAAGATCTTGTGTTGTCAGCAGAGGAGACCTGCCTATCACCATTGAATGGTACAAAGATGACCAAGCAATCCCAGCAGACTTAGGGATAACAGTGATGAAAACTGACATATATTCAAGTACACTTTCAATTGGTGATGCAAGCCCTAGACATAATGGCAACTATACATGTGTAGCTAGTAACAAAGCAGCCTCTACAAACTACACTTCAGAGCTGCATGTTGATGGTAAGTACTGTCTAAATATTAATCTTAAAGGCCCCATGTAAAGTTTAAACCACTTTTGCTCATATTGTAGTGAGTCTTAATTCATGTTATCAAAATGTGATTTGTGAAACTTTCAAACAAACAAATTTTTAAATCATAAAATAATATTTTCATACTCCATCCACACAGTTGGATTTTGCAAAATGTGATTATGTAGCCTAAATGTAATTATTATTTTCAGTTCCACCTCGATGGGTTCGTGAGCCTCAAGACTCATATGTAGTGCTCCACAATAGCATCATCATAGACTGTCAGACTGCTGGCACACCCCAGCCTACCATCACATGGAAGAAAGCCGCAAGCCAAGATGCTGGCGATTATCTCGACCTGGATACAACAAGTCCTTCTCAGGTTCGCCAGCTTAAAAATGGTTCGCTGTCCATAAAGAATGCAGCAGAAAAGGATCATGGGATATATCTTTGCCATGCTAGTAATGGAATTGGGCAAGGCCTTAGTAAAGTCATCACACTAATTGTTCATGGTGAGGAGAAGATTTTTGTTGCACTTCAGTGTTATTATGATTATTTTGAGATATTTAAGATAAAATAAAAAGTAATTTTTAAAGTCATTTTTATTATTAGACATTTTCTGAACATGGGGGCACTAGGCATCAAATCTTTTGTTCCTTCCATCTTCAAAGTGAATGCTATCTAGATATAAGATTAATAAATTTACAATTTCATGTAAAACTTTATTGACAGAAGATATTTTGCTGTGATTCCAGTACCTGCCAGATTCAGTGAACAGGCTAGTAACTACACTGTCTTAAAGGGCAAGAACGTGGACATCATGTGTGATGCCATCGGAGATAAACCACTTTCCGTTGGCTGGAATTTTAACGGCAACAACCTCAACTGGCAAGGCAACAAAAGATTGAGGGTAATTGAACTTACTTTGATTTTAAATCTTTATATACTGTCTACAAGGAACAGTTTGACCCAGTACGAAGATGAAGAGTGTTCCCTGGGCACAGGTTTTACTGTTATCATGTGCTTCTGTGATGTAGATTAAATGAAGAAACAGGTTCAAATGTTCTCCCTGTACAATGCCCATGTTGATATTAATCAATGTTGTCTTAAAGTATTCAATGTGTATTGCAGGTAACGTACACCAACCCACCCAGAGGTCGAGGGTCATCGCTGTCTATCACAAATACACAGAGATCAGATTCTGGATTATACATGTGTCTCACTAAGAATAAGTTTGGAATGGATGAAATGGTCATCAAACTCACCATTTTAGGTATGCAAAGATTGGTTTATTAGTTAGGTTGTGTCATTCAAAAAAATTATTGTGTACTTGGCAAATTGAACAAATGACCAGCTGCCCTTTTATTTTCATATGTATGCTAAAAGTATTAGCTGTATTCTTATAAGACTGGCTATTATGATCTTCCAGACTACCGTTCAAAAATTCAAGAAAACAAAAATTCAAGTCATGAAATTCTGAAGAAATGTAAATTGTTTAAATTATTTTTTATTCAGAAAAAGCTGAACCACCAAAGAATTTCCATATTGAGAAGACGTCTAGTCGTAGCGTAGAAGTGGCATGGCTAGAGCCGTACAATGGCAACTCTCCCATCACAAGCTATATTATCCAGTATAAGAATGCATCAGCAGTCTGGCAAGGTAAAATCAGTAACGTCACAGTGGACTCGAGCACATATCAGACCAGAATCTGGAACCTGCATCCTGCGTTTACATACCATGTCCGTGTAATGGCAAATAACTCGATAGGCATAAGTGAACCAAGTAAGCAGATAACAATTATGACGAGTGAGGAAGCCCCGTCGGGACCCCCAGAGTCAATTCAGGTCACCGCCACTGGATCCCAATCAATGAAGGTCAGCTGGAGACCCCCTGCAGCTTCTAACCGCAACGGAAAAATTGTTGGTTATTATATCGGGTACAAAAGATTCAACAGCTCAGAGCCTTATATGTACATCACCCAGGACTTAAAGGTTGATGATAAACTAGAGTACACTATATTGAACCTAGAGAAGTTCACCAAGTACACTGTTCATGTCCAAGCCTACAACACCAAAGGAGCTGGGCCCAGGTCGAAGGAGTACACTGTATTAACACTTGAAGATGGTGAGCATTTCATAGATTTCATAGATTTTCTAGTTTTTATCTTGTTGAAAAATTTTGTGAGCATAATGTAGTCATAGTGAATACAAAATGTTGTAGTATGTTGAATTAATCCATTTCAGTTCCCAGTCAGCCACCACAAGGTGTTCAAGCTACTCCACTTAGCTCGCAAAGCATCATGGTCCTGTGGTCACCTCCTCCTTTATTCACCCTCCATGGGATCCTGCAGGGTTATAAAGTTCTCTATAAGACTGTTCGACACGATGAAGATGAGAGTGACGCGAACATGATTATTTCGACAAAATTGACGGCTGCTCTTTATGGATTACAAAAGTTCACGAACTATAGTATTGAGGTACTGGCATTTACACGCAGAGGTGAAGGTGTGAGGAGCAACCCCATCTATGTTGTCACTCACCAGGACTGTAAGTGAAAATTTTTTTCTGATATTGATATTGACTGTAATCTCATTTAGAAAATAAGTCATTGAGTTAAGTCATCTTAGTGTCTGTATATTTGCTTTGGTGTATGTGTATAAAAACAAAATGTGAGGGTTGCCCAAAATGTCTTGATTTTTACAATCAAGTTTCATGACTTTTTGGGCAACCCTTGTATATATCGGAATATTTGTTGAGTTAGTCTAATGATTCATTTTATGTTTTTACAGTACCTGAAAGACCAGCAGACATCAAAGCTCTGGCATCATCAGAAAACACAATCCTCGTTACTTGGAAACCACCTCTTCACCCAAATGGCGTCATCCAGAACTATTTTCTTTATATGAAGTACATCGAAGGGAACAAGATGACTGAGAAGCGTATGAAGCTTCCTCCACACCAGACAAGCTTCCAGGGTAATGATTTAGAGCGCCAGAAAGAGTACACATATTGGGTGTCTGCAAGTACGGCTATTGGAGAAGGTGAGGCCACTAGACCAGTGACTGCCTCCCCAATAGATAGCGGTAAGTACTAAGATAAACACAGAGCATGTTCAATATTATATAAAAAGTCCTCATCAAAGTAGGATACAAGGGGTTTCCAATAAGAATGAAGAAAACCAGGGCACTTTTATGCTTTGTAAAATACAGAGACTTGACAATAACAAAATAGAAAAAAACAATCACTCAAATGATATAACATGAGATTTAAATGTATATTCTCTACTATATTTTTATTCTTATTTTAGTTGCAGCAAGGATTGCCAGTTTCTCTAAAGTTGTTATATCGCCGTGGAAACAATCAGTGATGCTACCTTGCCAGGCTGTGGGTGATCCAACACCGGAGTTAGCTTGGTCTAAACGGTAAATAGTTATTTCTTTGAAGCACAAGTTTTCAGGTATTGCATTTTTATATTTTTCAAAGTGGTTTGTCAGAGAAGTGGTTTAAATACTGATACACAAAAATGTATGTAATTTCTTCAAATTACCCCTAAATGTTCATTGTAAATTAGGTTTTTGGATTTGGACCATGTTGAAGCTAATATGTATGCAATAAAATTTTATCAAATCATACTTATCATTGTAGTGGAGCTCCACTTCCCGACACAGAACGCATCAAAGTATTCAACAATGGCTCCCTCTATTTTGAAACTGTCGAGACAGGAGATGCAGCTAACTATAGTTGCAAGGCGCATAACATCCACGGAGCAGATGCCATTAATGTCATGCTACTTGTGCAAGGTAAACATAAATGAGATTATTTCTTAATTTTGGACTCCAGTAATGGTGGGATATCTGTAAACCAAGAGTACAGTACTTACCTTTCTAGTGTCTTTTAGAAGACAATTAAATACTTTCCGAAGATGTAATTGAAAATGAAAATACAACATATATAAAGGGTACAAAGAGCATTGTGATATAAACTTCAGATGTGTGTGGCAATCTCATAGTACGTCAAAATTAAAGATTGTACTTTTACATGTTATATCTGCAGTGACAGATTTTGGTAAGCTATAGGTTGAAGGTTTATATTTAAGCATATTTAATCTTGGTACTTTGGGGGATTTATTTTAACATTTCTTTAAATGCATGATGAAATATATTACAAGGGACTGAGTGCAAAATAAGGACTTATTTTATGGGGAATGAGGATGTCTTTGTTCAGAAAAGACTATGTTTGGTATCTGGGCATTTACCTCCCCTGCTTTCTGTATATGCATGAAAATGATTGGTCAATCATATTTCAGCACCAGAATACACAATAACCCATGTTTATTTCATGAATATTTAGCAGAACAAACTTTAATATTGGAAGGTACCTAATGTCAATTAATTCTCGATCTTAGATGTTACCGTGGTGATTTGTGGTGCCTCGTTTGTTTCATTGATACTATGGTGACAAGATCATTTGTTTCTGTTTTGTTATGTGATGGTACAGTATATATGTGTTAGCTATTTATTATTTTTGTTTCATTTTATATCTAATCCCAAAATGATACCAAATGGGAAAAGTGTTAGTAGGGTATATGTCTACCTATGTATATTTTACTTGTTACTTATGGGTAACTGGTATTTTATGAAATATTTTACTTTTTCAAAAGTTGACAAAGTCGAAGGATGTAAGTAAAATGAATGACTAGGAGATGTAGAATGTTTTGATATTTCCCCTGTATTTTCATATCCCCTCTTTAGTGTGCATCATTCATATCCAATCCCTTAGTAAATCATAGGTTTAAATTCATTATCTTTTGTATTTCAGCATTTACATCAAACATATACATATGCATACAAAAACACCTATTGTTATTTACATTGTGTTTTAATTGAATTCATCCCGAATGTAGCACTGTGTAACACCTTATAGTTACTCTAGTTTATATTTAGTCTTTAAGGAGTATATAATGTTTATAATGATTTCTTATTTTTTATTTTCATAATTGTGTGGTTATTTATTTAGCATGTTATTTTCTGATGAGTGAGGTTCAGTTGCGTGTTCGTATCAGTACATATTTATATGTTTATATACATACATGTGTTTTTAAATAATTACATCATTTTGAATCCCCGTCTGAAGTGATCAATTTGGTAATGGCTTTTCAGAAAAATCAATATCAAGGAATACATGTTATAGATCAATGATTACTTCTGATGTTTTAACTTCAATATCTGTGATCTGATTGGTCTATATACTTCAATGTTGCCGAATCAGATTTTAGACAAAGATGAAGTTCACTTTCCAAATAATTTACTAGAAAAGCCATGGCCTTTTTGATACCATATAAGGGGTGTAGTTATTACATGTTTATACTAGTAGTTTCTAGATCCCTTGCACCATCCAAAATGTAGACATTTAGTTAAATATTGGTCAAATGGAATATACCATGGTAATATTTTTCCCGTATAAGCTCTACACAGACATGCAGCGCATATAAAAGACCAAAAAGATTCAAATTCTAATATGCTATGCCCTGTATTGTTAAACAGTAATACATTTTTGTGGCCATTTGCATAAATTGAAATTAGCATCACATACTTGAGGCTTGTCTTATAAATAGTACATAATGTTAAAGAAGCTGACTGTTATAGTAAATATTTTCTACATTCTTTTGTAATAGTATTTAATTATCTGTTACAGCTCCCCCAAGAAAACCCATCCTAACTGTTGCCGTGACAACCGTATCAACAATCCAAGTGAATTGGAAATCGGGAAGCAACGGAGGTTCCCCAATCCAAGGTTTTGTCTTGGAGTACAAGAAAGAGCATGATATGTGGAAGAATGTTGAACAGGGTGCCGGAGAGCGAAGTTTTACTGCCGAAAAGTTGGAATGTGGAACAACGTACAAGTTCCGTATAAGGGCATTTAATAAAATTGGCACTGGGCCTCATAGTGAGATTGTTACTGTCAAAACAAATGGATCAGGTAAGAATAACTTTGAATGATTTACGACATTAGTCCGCTCTATGTGCATGTTCTGAATCCGAAATGAAATAAATCTTTTTATGAATGTAAGATACCTGATGGTTTTAGGAATAGCAAAGATCATATTGCTAAGTTACATATACATTGAACTAGATATAATAGTACTGTTCTCTTGGCTTAAAATTGTTTTGATTCAAATTGTATAGATTTTCATGTATCATTACAGTACACCAGAACATTACTCAGAAAAATGAGTAAAAAATATAAAACAACATAAACATTCACAGCTTCTTTCTCAATACTTATTGAACATCTTGTATACATGTTTCAATGCCCATCTTTTATCGATACTTATTGAACGTCCCATATATATATTTCAGTGCCCATCATGCCACCACAGAGCATGCTGTTACAGGAGATCAACACAACATTTGTAGTTCTGGCACTGAAGACATGGCTAAGTGGGGGTTGTATTGTACAATATTACAACATTGAATATCAGGTGAGTGTTATCCAAAATTACAACATCAAAATGTACAATACTACAACATTGAAAACCAGGAGAGCATTGTGCAATACTACGAGTATAAAAATGTACAATATTACAACATTGAAAATTGGGAGTGTATTGTATAGTAGCATTAAAAATGTACAATATTTGAAAAAGGGGAATGAGTGTTAGTTTTTGCAGGATTTCAATGGAAGGATTTCTAAAATCTATGATTCCTATTATAACTCAGACATTTATTAATTTTAACACTCAATTTAACACATTTGAGCTGTATTTCCAATCAGTTAGTTTAGATATAATGTCACCATTATAGGTGTGGGGAGATAAACAATGGACTACAGTAGCCTCAAGGGTTGACCCTCACAGGGCATCATATGTCGTTGAGGACCTTCACCCAGCCACATGGTACCTTATGAAGGTGACTGCCTACAATGATGCTGGATCTACAGACTCAACTTTGAAGTTTGCTACTTTAACATACCATGGGAGTAAGTCAATTAAACTTAATGGAAACTCAAAATGAAGTCCTATACTGATGTGAAAAAGTCACCCATCTCAGAGTGAATCTTTTTTTGACCCGCTGATGTCATTACAATGACATACAGTGTATTAGTCAATTTCCCTTCCCTATCTAGATGAGTGCTCTACCACTGAGCAACAGGACTGACTGACTTTTCCACATTTACAATTTTGCCTTATTTCTCCATTTTGAATGAGAATTTAGACACATTGATTAAAATTGAGAAAATATCTGTATGGAATAATAATGAAGTTATTAACAAAATTCAAAATGTTTTTCATTATGTTAAAGTCTCATATTTTGTGACGATAAAAATACATGTTTGATGTATGTTTTTCATATCAACATGCTCATTCTTTCAGGCACCATCACTCCCATTATGATTATGCACAAACAATCTGCCCAATTCTACGAGAAGTTCTATATCATGGTACCATTGGTTGGGAGCATCGTCATAGCAACTGTGGTACTAGTTTGGGTGGTACTGTACTGTAGACGTAGAAAGCAGGCACTAAAGTATCAGGATAAATATATGGGTATGTGTGAGAGTAAGAGTACATCAGCATTAAAAAGTATACTGTCATGGTAAAGACAAAAAATTTTGATTAACTGGCAATGGTTCAAGAAGCTGTGAATTGAATTCAAAATATGGATGACATTCATTCCTCCCATTTAAGCATTTACTTACTAATTGGAGATTATGCCTTAATACATTAAATTTTTTTTCTCTAAATGGCAAAGTTGTTGATAGTACACAGGATGTATAAACTACTGTTCCCTCTATCCGCCAAAGAATTATTTTAAATGCATTTTTTCAAAATTCAAAATAAGCAATTTATTTGAATTAATTCCAGATATAAAATCAAACTTACGTCGAGATCTGACTGCAGAGACATCGCTAATGAATGACCTTGATAAGCAGCTGAATAGCGAACTAACCGCATCAGGTGATCTTACGTATAGTCCCGAGCCTGGACTGCCACGTAACGTCAATCTATTGGTGGAGACTGGTGATGATAACGATGCATCATCATCTTATTATCAAGATACAAATACTAGCAATGGACAAGGTGCACTACCTGATTATATTCATTTTTGGATATCACTGTTGAAATTGTGTTTAGATGTATGGACATTGACTTAATATTAAAGTAAACTTTAACTGTATATGTTCAGAGATATTGTAGGATATGGCCCTTATTTTATGATATATGAAGAAATGGAGCCTAAATGCTAACCATCCTTTATGTAACATTTAGAAATTTTCTATGTTCAATGTTGAATAAATTTCCATTTTCAGTTCAAGTGTCAGATGACGACATCAACCCATACGCCACATTCCAGTTTCCAGCACATCTCCAGCCAGCTCCAGTTGCTAACAAACGTGTCTTAAAAACATTCAGCCCGAGACAGTCCTCACTTCCTGTTCCACCCCCAGAGGAAGTAGATGAAATTGCTGTGGAGAAAAAGGCAGCACAGCGTGAGGCTGCTATCCCACACATTCCTCCCCCACCCCCAGAGCCTGTCCCCAAGGAGCCGCAAAAACAAAACCCCACTCTTCAGAGAAATCAGAATCAGTATGTCAGTCCGGGGATTATTCTAAGTCCGCGCAAATATGCTAGCGCTGATCAGATTCAGGAACTGTACACGGGGAAATCTCAACCAATACCTGTACTTCCCAAACCAAAACAATATCAACAGCATTACTCTCGCTCCGCCACCCCTAGGTCCAACACCCCCAGGGTAGGTGACCCCCGGGCAGGTACCCCTCACCAGGGGATGGGACATTCCCAATCCCGACATTCTCAAGTCTCCAGCGTATCAACAGTATCATCCAATCGTGACGAACTTCTACAAGCATATGAAAATGCCGCAAAGGCTCCAAACTCTGTCTCCCCATTGGTCGACCTTGAGAATAAGGACTCTAGCTCTCAAAAAACGGACAGTTCTGAGACAACTGAGCCTGGGATTTGCCAGTTCACCAACTCCCCTCCCTGCCCAGAGGAACAGAGAGAGTCAGTGTGTGAAGTACCTAACTATCCCCACTATTATGATCTCAAACCTAGTAAGTAATGTCTATGTTCATGTACGAGGATATATCAATAAATTCTCATAAAATGTCTAATTTGAAATCTTTATATTTTCATCTGAAACCCTTCAATAGCATTTTGTTAATATGTAGCATTTTATTTGTAGATTACATTTGAGTGATCATCATTACCTTTGATAGTTAAATTGTAGTGAATTTTGTCACTAACATTTTTAATGAATACTGTATACATTGCATTATTTGTGGATCTTCAGAAAAATATGAACCTGTGATAGAGCGCAGCACTAGTGATGTTACTGAGAGTGACACCTATGAACAGTCACAGAGAGTGCCCCCAAGGAGGATGAAAGGACGCCAGAAAACGAAACAGCGGGGGCAGGTTTTGAATAAAAAGGCAGCAAAATACTGTGCCCCTCAAGTACCAGGGTACGTCATTCAGGATATAAGAAATTTTTAGAGTTTTTATAATGTAAATCAGTTTCTGAATATATGACAAAACACAATTCCTACACTGTGTGAATCTTTTACAATGTTTGTGAATTTTGCCATTATTTCGGTCCCTAGACTTTACCCAACCTGTTTCTTTCAATGATTATTTAGTATTTACTATTTAAAATTAAATTTGCTCTTATTGAAAACGATCATTCTTTATTTTGACTGCTCTATTTCAGCTGTGAGAGCACGAGTAGCAACAGCACCAATGGAGATGAGGTCACCATGGTATTTGATGGTCACCATGACAACCACCTAGCAACAACAGCAGATGAAAGCCACTATTCCAACAGTGCCAAAAAGAGAGGTAAAGTCTAATACTTGACATTGTTAACTGCCAATTGTCTCCTCTATAGGAAATATTGTCCTTCTTGTATGGCTAATAAGTGAAATAAATTACATAATAATGTAAATGATTGATTACCATGACAACACCACATTTTGGAGAAAGTAATTTACCGAGTGGTCCAAAAGGGGATTTCCTGTTGCCATAATTTAGAAATGAGCAGAAATACAAAAACTCATCTGTTTTCATTTTAGTAAAATTGAACATTATTTAACCATTGATACCTTTTGAATACAGAGCGCCCAGTGAATAGGAAGGTGGGGAAATATGACAGTAGTCCTGATACCCCAGGCACAGATGAGCAGCGCCCTCTGGTGTCAGCAGCAGCCAAGACAGGCAAAAAAGATGAAGATATTAGTTTACTAGATAGGTATGGGAAAAAATACCAGCTTTCTTTTAAATAAATAAAAATATACTGTGCAAAATGATTTGTTGACAAAACTTGGAAATACACTTGGAAATAGTAGTGATAAGTTTCTCCATGTCAACATAAAGTTACGGAACAAATTTTTAAGATATATATTATATTAATATGTATTGTGGTTTCAGGTATTATCGCACCATAGAAAAGGGGCGGAGCGCACCAGCATTAAGGACTCCTTCCAGTAGCAACGAACTAGATGTTGAGAGTGAGCGGGACTACACAGACAATTACACCATAGTGTAGCACCACCTTAACCTAGAATGACTTAAACTACTTAATATTTAAGTAAGACTTAATGTGATGTGTAATATCTCAGCTAATTAGGGATGTAAGGAGTGACGACTGTTTGTGATCTATCCAAGATGGCTACAACTGAATGATGCTATCCAGGAGTGAATAATACAATATATTTCATTGGCCTGAACTATGTGTTAATACTAAAATATGAAGCTGTAGACCAAGTGCAATAAACTACAAAGTATTTAATAAAGGATCCTGACTGATCTTCCTGCAATAAAGGCCTGAATCCTAAAACAATGAGCTCCAAACAATATACACAAAGCACATACAATGAGCTCCAAACAATATACAGAAAGCACATACAACAAGCATCGCAAGGTACACACAATGAGCTTCATATAACCAATATGTACATACAAGCTTCAGACTTTGACATTGTTGAATTTTCCAATGCAATATAATAGAGCGAGTACATAGAACATAGCATTGTTCTGTACGCCGCCCAATAAGATGGCGGAACTGATTATTTACAACATGAGGGGTTGTGGGGGTATTTAAAGGAATCAGTGGAGCAAATTACACTTGTGCAATATGGAAACAGTTCCACACTGGAGCATATACTGACACACGAAAGACAGGTTACCATGGCAACAACACATTTTTGTGTTCAATATCCATGGCAACAACACAAGTAAAATATTACTTACCATACTTGATGATTGTTCATATACCCTTTCTTCAAATACAATTTATTTATGAAAACAATGGTGCATGCTGTACAGTGTAGAATAAATTCTACTTTTATATATTGTTGTGTGTCCAAATCTGCTGTGCTGTAATAGGAATATACTGTAGGTCAGCTTTCTTTGTCAAAAGCTGTAGTCATAAAGTAGTTGGAGATATATTAAGAATGCAAGAGTAAATAGTTTTTGTATATAAAGTAATATACTGTATACCACTTGCACTCTGATTTACAATGAAAATGATAAGAATTGAATTAAATGTTTAAGACAGTGCAATATTTTAATGAATTGTGTCTCATTTTCGAAAATATGAAATTCCAGTAAAATGAGAAGTCAAAATCTAATCTCTCATGGAGATTTTTTATTTATTTCAAATACATGTATCAAAGGATATTCCTTGATGCCTGTAAATTCAATAGTTGTTGTTTATGCATGATAAATAGTATCTACATGTATTATGATTTCTTGTGAGAGCTATACTGGCATTTGCCATGTTTGTAAGCATTTGCCATGTTTATAAACATTTGCCATGTTTATAAGCATTTGCCATGTTTGTAAGCATTTGCCATTAATGTGAGAATTTCTTACATTTTGGTACAATGCATCTTGCTCATGTCTATTATGAAAATGAGCCATGTTGCTGAATGAGCCAAAGTAAACTAGAGAAGAGATGAATGAATATACCTGAAGGTTTCGTACATGATTTGTCAGATAGATCAGTACTGTACTGTATAGGCAGAACAGCACAGATATAAAAGTAGAGTACATATGGCAGTATGGCACAAGTGAAACAGTACAGTAAAGTCTATGTTCACATTCCCAGAGTACACTCTAGTCAATGTACAAACAGTGTTGTTGTCCTATTGCTTCATGTTAATATTTGTGTACAACCTTTAATCTTCATATGCTCATTTGGGTTACTTATATTACTACGAGGGAGTTTTGCTTCTGGAAATGTCACAGAAATTATGTTTTCCCCCTAAGAAAAAATTCAAATCAAACAAAAAATGTCAGGGAATTCAGTTTAGTTGAAATGAGCTATTAACTTGCATTTAACCTATTAATAAGTTCATTGAGGCTGATATGTTCTGAAATTTTGACTTTCTGAAAATACTATAGAATTTTCAAAAACTGCATATTTTTACAACATCGTGTCATGTGGAGACTGGCATAAGTAAATTTCCATCTAGTGCAATTCTCTTGATATTTCCCCATTATCTTTTAGTCAATAGGATCAAGTATCAGTATATCAAAAACAAAAATCATGTAACAAAATGTTCTCAGTCATTCCTCATTATATTTTGAAAAGAAGTTTGTGATTAAATGGTCACAGATTCCATTTTCTTTGTTTAAGTCCATGGTTTCAAATGCCAAATACTGTACTGGGCCAACAGAATGCAATGTGTCAAGAGAGAAGAATGTGTCTTCACTTTATTTGAATGCATTTCGTAATAACTTAAGTAATTTCGTAATTTTTTGAGTATTTTGTAATTTGTTATTAGTAGTATTTTTAGCCACAAATGAAACATTTTGCCTGAAAGTATTTCTAAAAGTTGATAGTCAATTATTTATACAATTTTACCAATGAACATTTTGTTTATTTTAAATTATTCAGACATGTTTTATGTCGGTTCTTATTATTTATTTTAATTTATGTTTAGTATTGTAGTTTTAACTTATTAATGTATATAAGTTAGCAATAGGTTAAGGTGGCTTCAAATGAAAGCCATATTAGCCCTGGTTTTAATATTCCAGTCCTGGGGCTTCAATTTTCATATTTGTACACAGTATCTTTGTTTATTTAATGATAAGTTCCCATATACAACTGTTCTGTACTTTTAAGTACATTATATGTAAAGCAAGCAGTTTCATTTATGTTATTCCTGCAACCATCAATAACAAACATCAGGTCAAAATAATGATTGCCAATCTGGAAATATATGTCAATTTAAGTAACACACATACAGTGAAACTTGTGAAAGCGATTGATTTGGTATCCTGAAATAATGAGGTGTTCCACTTACAGAGGTCCTTACTCAATTTAAAGAATAACTGGAATTTGAAGTGTTCCACTTATGGAGGTGTTCCACTTGGAAATGTTCAGTTTACTTAATTGGTTCCACTTATGTAGGTGTTCCACTTCCAGGTCTCCACAGGTTTTACTGTATATGTATATTTTTTCAATTTATGATATGTTGCTATGCTGGTTGATAGGATTTTCATTTGACTGACAGGTCAGTTTGCTAGAAGACCAATTACTGTGCAATGTTTTGTCATATATTTTTACAAATGTATATATTAAAATGCATATTATGTTAATTTTTGTACTAAATAAAACAATAATTATACATTAAAGATAATATAAGTTTATTTCATTTTAATAATTTTTATAAGATTTCAGTTTGCGATATGACTGAAGACTCCTCTTTCTATACATTATAGTTTAATGTACTGAATTATACAGAAAATAAATAAAAATAAAACTTTACGAACACGTGACAGCTTATAACTCGGTGTACATCACTCAATACAGCTATTCTACCCTTTTCTGAAATGTTGTTCCCATTCGAAAAGGTAAAAATTCTTGCAATTTTTATCTCAACCTCCAAGTGCAGGGATCCACAATTAAAGTATGACAAAAGCACAGATCCAGATGGACAAGCTGAATTCCTTGGCATGTATAGGAAAATAATATGGCAATTGATCTGTAATTCAAATTAGACAAGAACCCTATATCAATATTAATTTCTCTATCTCCAGAATGAAAATGAAGAAGAAATTCTGGAATTCTCCAAATGTAGGATGAAATTTAAATAAATAATACACAATAAGGGAACCAAATAAATCAAAAATTACCACAGTCAATTGCGAAATATGATTCCAGAAGATGACAGTATGTGAATTTTCCAGTGTATTGATTATATTGTTGTTAATTGCAATAGTGTCCTTGACTCCTCATTCATATCAATGTCCTATATTTGCATGTCATCAAGACTTAGTGGCGCTATCTTTATGTTGAACTATTCCTTTACTGATCAGATCTGGAATTTCTACTGCTAACCATGGCCCCAACTGAAAATAAAGTATCGTAATCTTAGATTATTTTTGTAAAAACTCATCATTCCTTGGAATGGCAACAATCATTATTATTTCAACAAAAACATTATAGGGATAAAGTGAAGCCCTCCATGTGTCTTTCTTTCTGTCCGTCCATCTGTCTGTTAGTCCAGTCCATGGATGCAAATGAATGATGAGGAGTGTTAACCAGTACTAAAATCATAAATCCATGATGTGTTTAGTACCAAAAATGACCTTAAAAGTAAGGAGAAATAGACAGAGACAATAGTAGCAACAGGAGCAAAGAAAAAATTACAGATGAATCATCATGTTGGTCTTCCTGAAGATGCCAGGAGCAACATAAAAACAAAACAATAGTCTATCCATCCAACTGAACCATGTCTCAAATACTAGTGCACTGATTTTATTTTGGGGAAAGATATATAAAAAATTTCAAAATGCTAAAATGTAAATGAAATTACGATAATGGATATTATCGCATACATTTTTTGATAGCATACATGTGAGACATTTTATCTAGCGTATATTCCTTTTTCCTAACCTGACACCCAGGGGTGAGTATGGGCCAATGAGAACCAGGAATTACCAATGATTTCGAGAGCTCTCCAAAGTTAAGCTTTATTAAACATGTTTTGCATCGTTGCATAAAAACTCAAAATGACTGCCTAAGGATTTTAATGTAAATTTTGAGGTTCTGAAACATACACATACATTGCAGATTTTGTATAATTTTTAGAATCTTGCCTGGTAAAATCTAAAATGGCTGCATAAAGACAAGAATTTCCCTTAATTTTACATTCTCTTCAAAGAATGACTTTATTATATTCATATCACAAATGTCTAATCATCTTGTTTTACATGTATTTGTGCCTTAGAAAGTGCAAGTATACTTAATTCTTATCAGACTACTACTTTTTATGGAAATATATTAACCAACTGCAAGATAAATCAAATAAATCAAATTATTCAATCAACCTGATATTGCGGGCCAGAACATGTATATTGAAAAACAAAAACAGTAACAATTGAAACGCAAAGCAACACAATCCTCTTGTGGATAATATCTTGTTGTTAATGATTTATAGTTAAACATATTTTAATGTTTGAGAAATTATATTGTTCCTTTTGGATTTGTTACTCCATGGAGTTGCTGTTTTCTACTGTTATCTGTAGATGCCCCCAGTTGTAGTTGAGTTTTACATTGCGACCAGACTCTAGCCTTCTTCTCCATAATACGCCAGTTATAAAGTTTTGTCATTTACCGTAGAGCTATAAGTCTGAGTTCTGGAACATTTACAATGTGGAGATGGTCTTATTTCTTCAATTATTGCACTTTTATTGTTCATGAATGTTTAGGAATAGAGTTTCAATGAATCCAACAAATATGAATTTGCTGTCCCGCATGTCAAATTTGTTGTTAATACTTTTGCCAATTCTGTTCATATTGGTGTACCTCAAAGTCTTGAATCAGTCCAACTAATTTATAGCCTGCTTCGGCTAGTAAACTGCCAGCTAGATACTTCATTAGGAAATCAAAACCACCTTTATGAGCATCTAAGGAACAATTGAAGCCAACATGGTCTATAACAATTTTTTTGTGATTTCCATTTATTATTTGATCTTTTATTTCATACGCACATGGTGAACAATATGTTGCAACACCAGGCATATCAATCTTCAGGTTTACCATCAGTTGATCAACAACATTACATTTTCCAGAGAATTCTGCATTATTTTGCTTGATCACAATTCGAAAAGTTCCCATTTCACTTTTTGGTGATGGCTGGCAATGTTGTTTCTGTATCTGCACCCTAAAACAATCAAATTCAATATTCTTATGAGTACACCATATAATGACTTCATTTGTATATGGTTTAGATCACATTCAATATTCCAATGAGCGCATCAACATAATATAATATATAGTATATATTGATATTCATTGAATGCACCCAACGTTTTATGTAACCACTGACTCCTACATGGATAAAAACATCTGTTCTATTTTGATCTCTAAAGAGATAAAGTAGTTATCAAACTGTTAATCTCTACGAAAAATATATAATCACTTACAAATATTGCTTTGAACTTGATGACTAAGGGATATTAGTCGAAAGTCTCAATAAATTAAAAATATTCTCTGAAGTAAAGAATTTGACTTGTTTTTGATGTGTAATGTTTCTTAATTTGAAAGTTTTCTATTATTCACCTGTAATTTGATGAAACACAACCACGTATTTGTGTCTTATATGTCACTGTTGGTCTACCTCTATTGTTCAATCCTTCCTTATACTGAGGACATATACAGGATTTACAACATATAAATATATCTTGTTTTGTTAAAGTGGTGCTATATAGATATCAATGTACTCTTGGTAGATATCTTAGAGATAATTTGTTGATAAGGCCTACTTAGCTTTTTGTTGCAATGATTGTACTAAGTAAATACCAGGGCAACTTTATAGAGCTTTATCTTAAAGCACAATGTTTGTCTTATACGCAATTAATTGTACTGTATAAGAAAAATAATGTTTATTTCAGGGTCCACTTAAAAGGGGTGAACATCTTCAAACAATGTACCATCAGATTTAAATAAATTAAATACAAAATAACTAAGTATTCTGGTTAGATTTGTTTCACAAAAATCTTGAAAATCTTGAAAACTTTTGCAGAGATGAGACACATGTTTCCTTCCATGTTGTATTGAAAATGTTCAGGTAGTTCCGTTTGTGTATGTGATAACATTGTTCTTAAAATATTGAATTGTTTTATGAATGTGTTACACTTAAGACATGTGGGCTTACCCTTCACCACTTTGTGTATACTTTGGGGCAGACGCCAGGGCAAGGCATGGCTACACGGTGGGCAAAACAAATACTTTTACAGCAAGATTTCCCCCAAATACTCAGATTAACTAGAAAAACAGCAACTCCACGGAGTAGCAAATCCCACCGAACAAAACATGTTTTGGTAAATAGCGGCCATATAAAATTTGAGCCAAATCCATCCACTGGTAGGTTGCCATTTTAAAATTCAGCTGTCATCTTTAGATTTCTCCTTTAGCAGAGCTCCTATGTCCAAAGGCATCAGTATATACATTTAATCCAAATCCGTCAACTGGTACTTTTATCAAAGGTTACATTCTTTTATGAAAAATGGCGGCCATTTTGAAATTTAGCTGCCATCTTGAAAATCCCTTCTCGAACAGAGCTCCAATGTCCCTAGGCATCAGCATGAAAATTTGAACTAAATCCAGTCAATGGTATTTGAGCTATCATAGATAACGTTTTTTACGAAAAATGGCTGCCATTTTGAAATATGGTGGGCATCTTGAAAATGTCTTCTTGAGCAAGTCTCCTTTGTACCCAGGCAACAGCATATAAAATTTGATCCAAATCCAATCTATGGTATTTGAGTTATCAAAGATAACGGTTTTTTTACAAAAAATGGCTGCCATTTTGAAATATGGTGGCCATCTTGAAAATGTCTTCTTCAGCAAGGCTCCTTTGTACCTGGGCAACAGCATATAAAATTTGAAGCAAATCCATCCACTAGTATTTGAGTAATCAAAGATTATATTTTTTCCGAAAAATTGCCGCCATTTTCAATTTAGTGGCCATATTGAAAATTCCTTCTCGAGCAGAGGTCCTACACCCATAAGGCATAAGCCTATAAAATTTGAATGAAATCCGTCAACCGGTATTTGAGTTATTGCCCGGACACACGAACGGACGGACGGACAAACGAACGGATGGCTTTTCTATATCCCCCTCGAACTTCTTTCGGTGGGATAATTAATTAAAAAATGAATGCCCAAAATTAGCCACAAGGTGGTGAACGGTGAGCCACACAATGGCTAATAAGACAGCTACTTTGGATTGTAGATGAAGAAACAATATAACCATCACAAAAAAACTGAAATGGGAACTTTTCGAACTGCTATCAGAATCAGTGCTTACATCAAATTCTATGGAAAAGGTAATATTGTTGATTATCTGAGAGCAAACCTAAAAATAAAGATGGTGTTATAGAGTACCATGCATATGTAATACAAAATCAAAACGTATATGGAAATCACAAAATAGTTGTGATAACTTAGCCTGTTAATAGTGATTATTCAAGTCATGGGTCCTTATTAGTGTATTAGTGTATAGAATTACTCAGATGCGAGTATGTAGTTACCAGTCTCGCCATCAGGTGGCTGATTCGGGGGAAATAACATGGCAGGGTATTACAAAATTCCCTTAAACTTGAATATTCATCAGTTTTAGTGGTTCACTTTTCATATTACCCTTATGTATCTGATAGTTATACAAATTAAAATATGTCCAGTAAAAGAAAATATTATCTGCCCAACACAAGAAAAGATGGGGAATCTCCCCGACCTAGAAGTCACATTTTCAAAGAAAATTAAATTTTCAAAGTTGATAAACTCTTTTCAAACCCATATTTCTAGATGTAATTTTACATGTAGATTCCAAATATGACATCAGTTTGACTGAATTTTTAGTGACGTAAATCAACATTATTTCTACTCGCATCTAGGATATTGATCCCAAGTTGTGGTACTGTATGAATACATTTTTAGTAGATTCTGAGGCAACTTACTGTAGTCTGAGGAAACCAGGAGATTTAGCATGGATATCAATGACAATGATCTACATGCATAATATTATCCTAATTATCACACTGAATAAAGGTTGGGAGGGATAGAGAGAAGGATCAGTCCATCCGTCTGTCTGTTCACCCATAAGTCTGTCTTGGATATAATGCATATGCCAGTGGACAGATAGGTTTCAAATTTTATAGGATGTTTAGTTTTAAACCATTAATGAGAGTTTTGTATCCTATTCAAAAAAATCCTTTGGAGGACACTTCCAATGAAAGGGAAGACACACTTACCCCAAGAGCCATAGCGTGTGCAATACCAAACCTTGGCACATTACGAGCCCACAGTGGCTTGAAGTGGTCTGTAAGACAGATCTTGCCTCCCCTGGAAAACAGACAGAACAATAATACAGGGTGGCCATAGCATGTGCAATACCAAACCTTGGCACATTACGAGCCCAAAGTGGCTTGAAGTGGTCTGTAAGACAGATCTTGCCTCCCCTGGAAAACAGAACAATAAGATAATTTACAATCCCACTGAGGGGTTTAAAAGGTGTAAAAGGGAATATAAAAGAGGCATTTTTTAAGAAGATCATTGTAGTCTCAAATCACTGAAACATTTTAGTTACAATACTGTATTAGCTTAACTGTGGCATTTACTGGACAGATCTGATCTATTCAAGTACAAGTACAGTACCTATACATTTTAGCTGTTTTACCATCTAGCTCTGGAATTGCTATTTCAGGTGCAGTTGTGGGGTATGTGACTGGAATCTGAAAATATCAGAAATTTTAAATTAATCTACAAAATTAGAAATAGAAAAGGGTCGGTAAATGTCGAAGTGCTTCAGATTGGAAATATATAAGGTTCAAAACAACATTTTTATTGAAAGATGGCAAGATCCCATTTGGTAGTTACTCATAGCAAAATAAACTAGGGTATCCTTGGAATAGTCACAAAAATTGCAGAAATAAATATTCTTTTCCAGACCTGAGATCACCAAATGACCATGAGGGATTTGTTATGCTTGTCAAGCATCTTAAAAGCATAATGCTGAAAATATATATGTAAAATTCTCATGATAAATTCAAGTAAAAAGAACTCTACACTTATCAAAATATCTCAAATAAACTTACATCGAATTCTAATTCAAACTCATATTTAAGCAGCTCATGAATATACCAGCATTTTCCAAACCATCTTGTACCTTCTTTATTGGACTCTAGGCGAAACCAATCATTGTCATCTTTCTTGTTGTTTTCCACATACTGAAAAGTGGAAAAGTAGAGATAAATAACTACAGTAAAACCTGTCTAATCCGAACACCCATGGGACCAGCCAAAAGCGTTCAAATTGACAGGTGTTCAAATTTCGAGGATATTGTTAATCTGAATAATGAATGAATGTTTTTGCTTCACAATTCTAATCGAGGGGAATGACCGAGCCAAACGAATAAGTGAAAAACACCCATCAAGCTTGGGAGGTAAGCTATAGTGAGTGAGCAGACTATTACCCAATAGAATAAAAACATGGTCATTAACATTGATATATCTCCCATAATGCAACACATCAGGTAGGACAGATTTTCATTGGTCAGTCAATTAATACTAAAAATTTGAGACATCACAGTAGTACATTTCATGATTATCGTTTCCTAAAAATGCTTTGCAGTTTGTCATAAGGACATATATTTTTATCAATTGTGCAAATATATGAGGAGAATAATATCAATTAAGCTGTAAAGTTTAATTCAAAATCAGACCCTGTCAATGAGAAAGAACCCGGATGTAAAAAGTCTGGACTCAACATGAGAGCTCTTCAACACAGGAGGTAAGAATATTGTTGTCATTTTTAACTATCTTAAATTCTCCTCCACTGATGTATGACCTCTAAAAACTCTCTTAAATCCAGGACTTATTTATTTGTTATGACATGAGGGCACCCCAGGGGAATGACTAACTAACTATCGTGTAACAAGCCAGATAAAGAAATTGAAAGAAAGTGTGCTAAATTCAATGCCCCGTGTGGGAATCAAACCTAGGACCCTTGGATCCAAAGACTGATGCTCTACCAAGTGAGCTATAAAAACGTAAGCCAGTACAGCTAGGCTGTAGTAGCAACTTGCTATCAAGGGTCGTCACATATTTATTGTCCAAACTGTAGTAATATTATTGCCAAATTATTCCCTGTCAGCTGTAAATAAAGATTGGGAAGGAATATTGGTTGACAATCCTGCTTCTCAAAGGATGTGTATACGTATACAAACCTATTTATCGATGAACTGATTGTGAAATGGCGATGAAATTCATGTTGACATATGTTAAAAGTAAACCCGGAAGTGAAGACCTAAAAAAATCTGCCATATTTTTGTCAATATCATTGCAATCAGATTAAATTAAATATTTGATTTACCGCTATTAGACTTTGATATTCTTCTTTTATTCTTGGAATCCACAATTCACCGTCCCTTGGCCCAGCTTTTGTCTTGAGCAGTGGAATTTTTCCCAATGCTTTTTTAGTGCCTGCATCTACCATGTTGGATTTGTAAAAGTCATGTAGTTATTCCTTATGAGGTTTAGTATTTTGGTAATATTCTAATTATTACATGTTTGTGTCATTTTATTTTCAATTAAATCAACAAAATATTATTTGTAAGATTTTTTGTTTCTTTAATTGTAGCAATAATGCGTGATCATAAGGAATGGGGCATATTTTCTCATTGGAGTTCGCATTTTCCAGAGAGGATATATATAAATTGCTAGCTTTTCTTAATTTCATTTTGAGTTTTGAAACTTTTCTTTTTTGTTGAATTTATCGTTTTTATACAATATCGCAAAGAATGGAAGAGCAGTCATGTCCGAGATGTGGTACAAACAAGTATCGGAATCCAAATATGAAGTTTCTGGTGAATGTTTGTGGACATTCTATGTGAGTAAACTCATGTGTTAGGATTTTATTGTCTCCTCTGACTGTCCAGTGTCCTGGATGAAACCAGAGACATATAAAACGTTTTATATGTCTCTGGTTAAACCATTCTATTCTCAAACTGATATCCAACAGTAATCATTCAGAGAAACCATGGCCATAGCCAAGGGCTCCTACAGTAACACTGACAGGGTTGTATCAGGATTTGTGACATCTCCAACTTTGCCTGTCACTGTCATAAGACACGTTTTGTTAGTATTTAGCATTTTCACAGTTGTACCAGACTTCTTGCTTGTAGTTAGAGCTTATGGAAAGGGTTCGGGCGTGCAGCGTTTTAGTGGATTTTGATTGAACGAGAAAACATGAGATGCAAGTCCTCCAGGCCCGTGCAGACGTTCATGAAGTTAACCCCGTGCATCATGAAGTCAATTAACATTGCCTCATGCATCGTATTTTGAATTATGAGACCTCTGTGACGCCATTCAGTCTCGTTATTTCGTGCTATGTTTTCAGAATAAATGAAACTTTGTTCGGCGAGAATACATTTGATTCTACGTTCGCTTTTGTGGTACACCTTATTTGTCGACTTTGTAAACTCAAATATAATTAGTTCCTATTTCTAAACTTTTCTGTTTTTAGCCAATCAGAACACCAGTTACAAAACGCAACAAAGATTAACATAACAGAGGTGCAATACCATCGGGATATTAATATTTTGATTTCTTTTCTTCTGTTTTGATTGGTCGAGAATAACGACTTAGTAGAAATTCAGCCAGCCAATCCGGCGAATACAAAGATCGACCTGATATACTGAGATATCTAGACTATGTGACCATCGTCTGGACTTTGCAAGTCTTGCAAGCAAAATGGAGAGTGATTTCGCTGACTCTGTGTTTAATTTAATGATTATTATACGAACTAAACATACTAACAAACTAGTCGAAGAAAACAACTGAAAGTCAGGCTTCCCAAACGTTTCATTGACGCTGACCTTGAGAAAACAAAAAACAACATCATTAAGTTCTGCAACATTAAGTCTATATGTACAGCAATGGGGATCGCAAGCTGGCGTGAAACGTGAATGTAATGATATTTGATCTTTGTGAAACGTGAATGTAATATTTTGATGATCAAGGACGTGAAACGTGAAAGTAATTCTGATTAGTAATGTGCGACGTGAAAACGTATTACCACCTGACATGATTATGTGACAAAACCCCCTTTCCATAGGCTCTAGTTAGTAGGACCTTGAAAATCCTTATACCCCTACAAAGACTGTCTATGGTACAACCATGACAATGTGTAATACAAGGAAAAGTCTAGTAAAGTCTGGTATAACCAGGACAATGCAAAATATCAGAAAAAATTCTGGAATGACCATGACAATTATGTTAAATACCACCACAATGTCTGGTTCAACCGTGACACTGTTAAAAATCAGCACAAAGTCTGGTAAAACTGTGGTAATGCTAAATACAAGCAAAAGGTCTGGTATGACTGTGACAATGCAAAATATCAGCAAAAAGGGCCTTAGTTTAAACTTTGAAAAAACAGAATGTGAAAATAAAGATGAATAAATCAAAGTTCACTAGTTCAGCTGTATCATCTGCAATAATAGCATTGACAATCTAATAGTATGGACACTGACAAGCATGGTATAAACTGTGTGAGATCCGGGTGTTGATACTACCTGGGAATTAATACTACTGAATTCTACAGTTATGCCAAAAATAGCACTTAAAGGAAAAAAACAATATTACAATGCAACCAGATTTCAATTCCTCTTTGGAACAATCATTGGACATACCCCCCAAAAAGTAAAAATTCAGTCTGTAAATGATTGCATAATATATAAACTAATATTTGCAGATGTGACAATTGTGTGGAAGTGTTATTTGTGCGTGGATCAGCGGCCTGTCCTGCATGTAAAATTCCACTTAGACGAACAAACTTCAGAATACAGTTCTTTGAGGATTCATCTGTGGAAAAGGAAATGGATATTAGGAAAAAAATACTCAGAGAGTAAGTTTGATCATTTGCCTTGTAGATTGGCTTAGAAAGAACATAGTTATATGTTTTATATCTATCAAGTATGTTTTTGTGGTAAGAGGTAACAATACTCACTTTATTACATTTAAAATGGAATATAATGAACATATATCTAGAGAGGGTGAAGGATGATGCCAAAGTAAAGAAAGTATACCATAAAGGAAGTAACTAATTTATTGCAAATTTTGAACACCATCCCTAATTGAAGTGTAATGTAAGTGTAATATGGTATTTGTAATGTGTTTAATCAATGTTGTTTGATTCAGTTACAACAAACAAGAGGAAGATTTTCCAACACTAAGGGCTTACAATGATTACTTAGAAGATATTGAAACCACAAGTAAGAAGTGTTATTAATATATCTAACTACGTGCTTATTTTAAGGTTATATCATCTATTGCCTAGTTGTTTTTCAGTTTTAAAAAATGACTAAAAATGGTAGCAAAACTTTATCTTCGATTCGGGACACACAAAGGTGCTTTACTTTAAAGTTCAACATGTATGTGCATAATGATACCACACAGTTTACTTTACAGTTTATAAAGTATGAAAATAAAATTTTAAATCTTTTTCAGTTTTTAATCTAGCTAATGGAGTAGATGTTGAGGAAACCAAGAAAAAAATTGAACAATATAAAAAAGAGAACAAGGATACAATACGCAAAAACCAGTCTAAATTGGTGAGTTATCTCATACTGACATTTATTTATCTTTGTGATTCAATTGATTATCTTTTTTACATTTTTATGAAATAATTGCAGATTGTAGATATGACTATCTAAAATCACTTGCCATATTATAACTGGTCCTTTTACCTAGTTTTGTGTTGCCAACTGTTAATTGTAATATTTGGTCAGGTATGATTATTTATGATGTTTTATGGTTACCAGAGTAGGGATGAAGAACTGATAGAGGCTTTGATAGAGGAAGAAAGGGAGCTTCAGGAATCACATAGGAATGACATGAAGCAAGAAGAAACCAAAGAAAAAACTAGAAAAATACAAAACAAAGAGGCGTTAATTGATGAACTGGTAAATCATTCTTGATTACTTTTAAACTCGAATTGACACCTTCTTAATCTTCATTTAATTCACACCACATAACATATTTATATGAAAGTGGTTATGTTTTGATAGATAGCCTGTTTCAGGAATCGGATTATGTTACAGACTTATGATTTCTCTGACAATAAAAGGTTCCTTAGAACAATTTTTACATCAAAGTAATATTTGTACATTGAAGCCTAGGCCATGTGATACTATATTTGCAGTACATTGGCAGTTGGCACTATGTTTTTTCTATATCTTGTATATTTAGATGTTCTCTGAAGCCCCAGCCAACTATATCCTAGCCAGTCATAAAGCTGAGGTTGCTAGGCAACGGGAAGATGAGGAGGAAGAGGCTCCATCTTTACCTAAAGCTAGAACTACAATGTTTTCATCTGGAATTAGAGTAGTAAGTAGTGCTATATATTGCTAGAACTACAATGTTTTCATCTGGAATTAGAGTAGTAAGTAGTGCTATGTATTTCATACTTGAGTGGGTTTGGGGTAGATATCACCTGGGAATATATATCATATCTGAGGAGCGGGCAGGATATATTGTATATGTCCCGCTCTAGGCCAAATGCGGGCAGATATAATACTATCCATCCCGCTCCCGGGAATTTTTTCAAAAGTTTAAAAATTTAAATTTCAGAAGTTTAAAAATTTTTTCTATTGTATTGAACTGAAGGAATATTATGAAAATGTTAAATATAAATTGTGCTTTTACAGTATAGGCCTATCTTGTCATTTGAAAAAGGTGGTAAAGGTTATATCTACCCGAAACCCACTCAAGTATGAGATACACCATTTATGTACGGTCGGTTTTGGATACAGTGTTTATCCCGCGGGAAATATGTGTATCTCCCTCGGTCCCTGCGATCCAAAACCAAATCCAAAACCTCCCAGTACATAACCCTTATATATTTCCAATTTGTTTGTCAGCAACAGTTACAAATGCTTCATTTGACACTATAAATAATCTCTTGTTTTCCATAACTTCTGAAGTTCTAGGTACATAATGAGTCGGAATATATAGTGTAGCTGGGGAATGGGATAATGTTTTCTGTATTTATCCTGCTATCCTGGATGAATACAAGCTGTATTTGCTCACTTTATAATTTTAGTGAAAGTTACTCTTCTTGCGTTATTATCTCAAACTTAAAATAAGATATGAATATGCTCCACTTCAGGGTCAACAGCGTGGCGACACATTCCCAAGCACTGTACCAATAGAGGCTGCCCTCTACATATACTCCCCTCTTTCAATACAATACTGTGGTCCTGATGTGCCAGATACACCCGCTATGCTGCAAAATGGGTAAAGTACCTTTTTATAAGGTTTTAAATGTTAATTTGTATTGAAATGAGAATTTATATTGAAAGGACAGTTTATATACAAATGCCAATTAATACTGAAATGCCAATTAATATTGAAATGTCAGATAAGAAGTGAATTATAATCATCGATGTTATTAATTATGACATGATGTTAGATGATCATTTTCAGATACATCTTGAATAAACGATTGTTTCCACACCAAACGAGACTAAATGTGGAACAAATCAGAATAAACCAGTTGCTACTTTCAGGTATTTAAATCACATGAGAGAGGCCTCCCAGGCAGACAGGGGAGGAGGTTATGAGGCTAAGGTGGGATGTAGCCGTGCAGTACAGGAAGCTTTATGTGGACTTTTCTATACCTACCAGGAACCAGAGTCTCAGGCTCAAGAGTCCTCCAGCTCAAGTAGTCCTAGCAGTTCACACATGGAGATGGAGATTAGCTGATGTATGTAATATAGGACTTATAGGACATAAATCACTGGAACTCTCTTAATATGCAGCTCCACGAAATCTTCACATTGAAGTTTGTTTATTAACAACTAAGGTGGGCCAATCAACTAATTGACCACATTTTCTTGGTGTGATTTGCACTGGACTGAGAAGTCGTGTTCACTTCGAGGATAGGAGTATGACATGTTTTTATGAGTGAATGGAAAACCTGTCACATGTGGCGTGTTGGTGGCATATAATAGCTAGTGGTTCATAATCAGTATCCATAGCAATAGGGAAGATGAATGAAAATAAGTGGCAAAATTATTGAAAATTAGAATAATATTTTCATATGGAAAGAGAAAATTCCTAAAACGGGAAATTTTGGTAAAAATAACCAGATTAAGTTGAGTGTTGATTGGTAATGTTGAGAACCTATTATATCCCTGAATAGCTTGATTAGATAGAGCACTGGAGATGAAAGGGGAATTACCACTCCATATTGGTGAAATGAAAATTTGTCAACAAATATTTATTAAATAAGTTCAAAAACCATCAATTTGTAACCATGCCATATGTCAAATTACCAACTGGTCATGTGACATTAATTGTCAAATCAAAATACAGCATTATAGTTTAAGATGCAATAAACAAGCTATTATTATGCTGTTATTTTGACTTTAATACTTTGGTTTGTATTAACACAAATAGGATATTAATATTGCTGAACCAAACCAAACCAACATATAGATGGTTTGACCTGATCACCCAAAGTGATGAACACCCAAAGAGATAGAAGATGTATCGGTAATATAATTTCGAACATATTAAATGGCTCTAACTTCAACAATTAGTTCAGTTTACACAATTTATGTATTGAAATGTGCATAAAAGCTAAGTAATATCAAATTGACCATCAAATAGAGTAAAATTAGAGAAACTGGCAAAATTTTTAAATTGCTTTGACATTCAATGTAGGTTAATTAGCTATTAGGTCAACTATGAACAAACATCAACATTTAATGATTCATTGATGGATATCAATCGACACAAGGGTATCATTAGATACCTGTTGATCAACATATATTTACAGAAGTAGAAAATTGTTGTCTGCAGCTAGATATATGGATGAGCAAGTTGGACAGGGTTTGGATGAAACTTGGAAATATTTCAAACTATGCAAGACCAGCAGTATTACAAAATGCTCAAAATTGCACAACAGTTTTACAGTATTAAAAAACAATTTTTGAAGTGAGCTACAAGTTTGTACCAATGTGATCATGACACACCAATTGTAAAATTGTAAATTGCGCAAAACAGTTTTACAGTATTTAAGAGCAACTTTTGAAGTTAGCTACACGTTTGTACCAATGTGATCAATAATGGATCATCAAATAAAAAAATGCAGCAAAGTAAGATTACAATATGATATTTTTGTATTACAACTGAGCACTCCACAATGAATCAGCCAATCAGCCATTGTCTATAATTCTCACCCTGAATTGCCCCAATGATACTTTTCACAATCAATAGATCATACATGTTGAAAGATGGTTTATGCTAAAGTTTATTAAGTGCAAGGTACATATAAAAATGGGAAATGTTTTGTTTTATTTAGGATTCAAAGGTACCATCCATATATTAAGAGGCCATATGCCACAACAGACCCATGTAGTTTATACTTTTGTTCATTCTCATTAGTTTTATGAGTTTGACTTCTGTCAATTCATGGGAAGAACATTTTGGGAGGGGAATTAAAATTCACAAAAACGGTGGAAGATCATTATTTTATCTTTGAAAAATGATTGAGCTTGGAACTCAAATAATGATGGTCCATTTTTATGTCATCACATTGTTGCAGTCTCCAACTTTCTATCGCCAGTGTTAGGCAGTCGATTTCTGTAACAAATGGCAGGTGGTGACATTTGCATATTAGTGCATTCTGTTCATATTATATAGGCATAATGTATGAATTAAGGCTATTGAAGGAGTTTACCCAAAAGTTGATTTCAAAATGACTACCAGTTTAAAAATATTTTAAAATAATTCTGGCAATGTATTGGAGTGTTTTTGTTGATACCTTTCAGACACAGAATATACTTTAAACTGCGAGTCATCATTCTAAGATGATGTACTCAATGAAACGTATATATGTGGCATTTTGCTTTTTATTATTCATCAATGTGGCCACTATCTTTTAAAATTAAAAGTAATGGAGTGATACCAATATACCTATACGCGCTAACTTTTAACGTGCGAAATATTCTTATCTCCGCGTTGGAGAGTTCAGTTTCGTGGTACAACTTTCTCAACATCCGGGCACTTCCCCATTGGAATAACATTGGCTGTGTTTTTCAATGACGCATTGTGACTTTATTAGAGGTTTATCATGAATTATATTTGCACATACGATAGATATGATCATTATAAAGACATTTGACAAGTTTTTTAAAGATATATTCACCAGAATCTTCAAAATCCTAAGTTTAAAATTCAAGTGACGTCACAGATTTCCCGGAAGTTGCTCAGTTCCCGGAACTTGCTCCGACACCATAGAAAAAATAATCGAAGCAAATTGAATTTCCATCTTCTTTTCTAATTATTGTCTGGATTATAGAATATTATTATACAAATGTACTATGTTGGTTCGGGATAATGCCTATGACGTTGTGTTTTGCGGACCAATAGAAAATTGTCCATTTTATCGTGTTGCATTGCGGGAAATATTTATGTTAATGACCAGTAATTTCCTAACGCGAATAGGACTATTATTTTTAAAATTGCAAATTTTATTTTCTAGAAAACTCATGAATGGTCAGTATTCAAAAAGTAAGTCATATCTAATTAAGGAAATATATAAAGCTTTATATCCTGTTCTTAATAACTTTTAACACAAATATTAATCATAAATTGGCTGTAATGTACCAAATGGCCACTGATAAACATGCACTTTTGGAGTGTTTCATAAAACTGTTATCTCAATCTTCAACAGATGCTTATAACTCAGGCTTTTTTTCATTTTTGCTTTCAATTTTAATTAAGATTGAAGAAGAAGCATGCTTTTCTTGCTATTTCTAATCTCATTAGGTAAGTTTATTTCATTATTAATTACTGAATAAATTGCACGATTTATCACCATTAATCCTTTGTGTAAATATTATAAATCTGAATGATAATTAACATACATGTATATTACTGTAATTACTCTCATAATTTACTCTTGCATATTGTACAATTTTGCACATTTATTTTTTATTTATTTTGATGGATGCTAAATCAGTGTATTTTATCCTTGATTGAATTGTTAAATTTATTTTTTCAGCACATGCTGAGTATGTCCCTTCATATGTTGGGTCAGCGCAATATGATGATCCCAACACCCAAATTGTGAATGGGATTGCTGTTCAGCCCCATTCTTACCCCTACCAGCTCTCCCTCCAGAGTGGTGGCAGTGGATCGTACAGGCATGTCTGTGGGGCAATTCTTGCCCATGAACGATGGGCCATCACTGCAGCTCATTGTGTTGAGGGGTAAGGGAAGATTTTTGTTAATGTTATGTTCTTTAATTGTTCACATATTTAAAACTCATTTCAAAATAAATCAGAAATGCAGAGATGCATGCATGTTAATATCAAATCTTTGAAGGGAAGATAAAGAAAATGAGAGTTGGACAGAAGGATGGATGAGTGGGCAATTTTATAGGTTAACCATGTGGGCCAAAAAAGAAATGTTACAGTCTAGGATATAACTCAATGTTAATAACATACCTCTCATATCCAGATTTAAGTAAAAGCCTGATTTTTGAACAGAAATTCTGATTTCTAAATGTTCTAGTAATTATTCAATTTTTCCATCAGGATCACAATTTTTTAAAAACTTGACTTTTTATAAAAAGAATCAGACCTTTTTTTGCTTTGGAGAAAATTCCCAAATTTTAGAGGTTGGGGGTTTACTTGTATGTTTCTATGATCTTATAAATTAATGTGAAATTATTTTCCTATATTAGGCCAATTTATCGTGTGGTAGCGGGAGCCCATATAAGGAACTGTAACAACTGCACTGGTGTTGAACAAGTTAGAAATGTTGTCTCTATCACACAAGTAAGTGAATACCCTTGTTGTTTCCCTGATTGAATGAAATACATCACAGGATATACAGGGTGTCTTTAAAGTTTCTTTACATGGACTGCATTGTAATTGTAGAGACTTTAAGGACACCCTGTTTAAATCTGGAGTAGAAATTGATATAGAACAGAAGATTTAAAGGCCCCAAATAAAGTTCATGTATTTGCAGTTTGATGATCTGAAAACTTTTGTTGATAAAATGGCAGTATGTTCAAATATTTGAAAAGGTAAGCTGGTCCAGACCAAAAGAAACTGGCTTAGGGCCTCTGGACAAGTGCACTCGGGTCTCAAAGAAATTTATGAAATATGAAAAATAACATTTGAGGAATTGAACAACATTCAAATGGATTTATCCGCAGAATCTATTTTCAGCATCCTGGTTGGGTATCAGATGGCAGCCAAGGGTTCCCTAATGATATAGCTCTTCTGTACTTAGAGGCACCATTTGAAATTGATAACTGGGCCCTGAGGGTGATTCCTCGTTCCACTGGGGCTACAAATTTTGCTGGAGATAACTGTGAGATCACAGGATGGGGAGATACAACAGCTGGGGGTAAGGACTCACAATACAGGCCTGTGGCTAGGAGAGTTCAGAGAGTCCTAGTGTCAATTTGGGGGGCAAACACAGTATATCCAATCTGTAAAATATCTTCATATCTCCAGTTTTATATATTAAATATTCAAAATGAGGAATCAAATGTGACAACTCAACAAAATAGTAAATCTCAATAAACAACTTATTTTCAAAAGTTCCATTGAATAATTTCGATATCCAAAGGGCAAAACATTCACCCTTTTTGCAGACAAAATATATGTTTGGGAGACATCCTAAAATTAGTTCACTCTTCATTGGTATCGGGAACACTGACAGAGCTGCTGTTTTGAAATCATTATTTGGTTAAGTGATGATATAGCCATTTTTGTGACTGGGTTTGTGACATTTATCATCTGTAACAACTGGTTACACTTTGTAATTGCAACCGAGTGAAATATTGTAACATTAATGCCTTATGACCAGTTACACATTATAGGTGGTGTCTCAGCAACTGAGCTGAAGATGGCAACTGTTCCCATCATCTCACCTGAGGAATGTACTGAAGCATGGGGCCAAGCAAATGAGGCAATGCATCTCTGCTTCTGGGACAAGACAGACACACATTCCTCCTGCCAAGGTGACAGTGGAGGACCAATGACATGTAGAGAGCAGGTATGTGATTAGCCGGGCTCATTAGCCAGAGTACTATCATCTGGATAAGACAGATAATTTATCATTTTATTATTCAATAAGTTGTGCAGAAAACACTACAATCTCTCCACTCATGTATCACTGTGTGAAGTCCTAGTTGGCACATGATGTCACGTAGTTTACATACTTTTGTGAATATATATCCATGTGGGCCATATTTTATCAGTTAAGAAAATGTTCAGAAACCTGAATAATGTTAGTCGACATACATATTTATTGTATGATCTGTAAAATGAAGCCTTCTGATTGGTCATTCCTTGTGCTGTACCAATCTGTATTGCTACTGAGATAGTCCCCATTGATCATCTCCGTCGCAATACAGAAAATATTGGTACATTCTCAGTAGCAATACAGAGGATCACACAATAAAAATGTTATAGAATGATTTGAAGTGCAATACAGGATATATTCTGCTCTCGATATTCTGTATTGGCACTCGACTTCGTCTCGTTCAAATACGGAATTTCTCGAGCAGAATATATCCTGTATTGCACTTCAAATCATTCAATAACTTATATTATTCCATAATACTACTGTTTTCCCAGGGAAATATGAAGGAATAAAAATCGTATTGAATCATATTACATGAAAAAAATCGTATTGGAACGTATTAACCTATTTAACCTTGGCTAATTGATAAAAGCATTATCCAAATGTAACATTTCAGAGGAATGTATTATGGAATAAATAGGTTATTTCTGGTCGAGATTGAATATGGGTTTTATTCCTCGGAAAATATGATATTGACCTTGGGCAATATGATATTGACCGAAGGTCAACATGATATTGTCCCTCGGAATAAAACCCATATAAAATCCCTCCCAGTAAATAACCTATATGTATTGATAAGTAAGATTAAAAAGGATTATGATGATATGAATCCAAAATCTTTCATTTTTCTTAACTTCAGGGAATTTCAGTGGTCGCTGGTGTTACATCATGGGGTGTGGTTGGGTGCATAGGTCGCCCAGGGGTCTACACTAGAATGTCTACCTACAATGACTGGCTGTGTCAGATAACACAGAATGAACTATTGGGTTGTGACTTATGAAACAAACAAACCCTCATAGACTGATTTTACCATCCTCAAGAACTGTCAACTGAATGAGATGATTTCTGAATTCTGATACCAATTATCTTGAAAACACTATTCAAAATTACTTTGATTTTTCCTAATGAAATAAACGTATTAACTTGAAATATTTTTGTTGAATCAATCCTGCATGATTCTAAAGGATCACGATTTAGGGCCATCCATCAGCTCATCGATGTACCACGCCCAAAAGTGCCAAAAAGTGGTCGAAGAATTTGATAACCATCATCAGTGCCAGTGAATAACACTAATAATTAATGGCGAGCAGACTCAAAAATTACAAATACGAGTTGACCTCCACTTTCACCTTCATCCAACCATCCCTTCTTTCAAGACCAACATGTCATCAATATAGCACTTTTTCAAAGTGCGATAAAAAAGAGAAAATGTGCATTTTATTTTGCTTTATTACTCTATTACTGACTCACTGACTAGAGTGAAACATCTTGTGCCCATTACAGGCTGAACATTTAACATACATTTACATGTAGCATTCAAAACCATCCTCAAATTGGTCATACAGTTACTGCTATATATGTTTAGATATGTATTTTTCAAGTGATGAAATCCTATGTGGCAACATGGATGAATTTCAAGGTATTGGATGGTGAAGATATAATATACCGGTACTGTAACTTGGGTTAATTTTGTGATAGTTTTCTGGCGAAATTGTAATATAGATCCCTACTGATTTGTACTCTGTTTACTTATCATTTGTCTTTCTGTGAAAACTTTTAGGATATCATGTCAACTGTAAATTAAATTGGCTGAGAAAAACTAATAAATTAAAATTCTTATTGCCTCTAATGTTTTTGGAAACAACAAATATAAAAGGGATCTTATTGTTGATGTGGCAGCTAGTATTAAAATCATTCGGCTCAGAATTCTACTCCTCATAAATACAGTCATTATTATATATAGAACACAACCCTGATTCCAAAGAAATATAAATTGCCAGAAAATGCAGAAATTGTACTTAGCCCAAATCTGCCTTAATAATTACAAGTAGTTTTCAAATGTTAAAAATTCGCAAATCTAAACGATGTCAAATTTTCCCAAGTTACAGTAAAAGTCAGTACAACTTGGCCATTCTGCAGTTCAGTCTGTTACAATAATTGTACCTTCATCATGGATCTCCACTATTTCTATTTTGTTTTCCAAGAAATACCTTGAGAAGGGAAACTAGATGTGTTGAAGTTTCCCCATAACTGGAACTTATTCAAATTCACGCAGATCCATGTTGACGCTATGTTACCATAGAAACCAAGTGTTTTATACTATTGCTATGTTAAGCTTTTCAAATCATGATTAGAAATGCTTTTAGATTTTTCAAACATTTAACACAGTTTAGGATTATAAAAGAGAATCAAAACAAGAGGACCATTAATAAAAAATAAGAACAAGATCACCAATAAATCCAATCTTCGTGAAAATGTTTCAATAGATTTTCACAAAATTGTCAAATTAAATCACTAAGCCTGTCAATGTTTGGAAAATGGTAAATTCTCTAATTATTAAATTCTGAAGCAAGACCAATCTTTGTAAATCATTAAAAATACACAAAAGTAATAATAAGAACTACTGAAACTATGAATATTTTAACTTGAAGTCTATATTTGATACCATACTACAATGTCGGTAACTTACAATGTTCCTAAGGGGTCTTAGAAGGGTCCCTTATTTACTATAGCACAACATAATTGTAGACCCTCTACCCAATGTAAAGACTGGGTCAATTTTGAATTTTCCATTATAATGTACATGTATCTAAAATATACATATAGCCTACTACACTGAGATTGTACAATGCCCAGTTATCAGCAAATCATATTTTAACATCTCACAAGAATGTCGAAAAATCCCTTTTTAGATATTATTTAAAGAGAATTTTCAATGCACAGATATTGATAGAAATCAGAATAGGTTTGAAACCAATATAGAAGTCTAAAAAGGCATGCCACAGAATAATGTGAGCAAAAACATTGTAAAATTGTGAACATTTTTTCAAAATTCCTCTAATCTCGTCTCCAGGCTAGTCCCTTTGTATATTTCAAGTGTACATTATTTATAACAACAGTTCTCTTTCATTTAAGGCTTGGTTGCAACAATAATTTAAACATTATTAATATATTCCTTGCTTAACAATTACTTGATGTAACAGAAAAAAATTTATCAAAAGTTTAAGAAATAGAAATGATAAAGAGAAGGGAACGGGATTGATTTGGAATACTTATTATATGTCACATTGAATTATCATATGTCACAATGAATTATTAGATGTCACAATGAATTATTAGATGTCACATTGATTTATCATATGTCACATTGAACACTGTATAAATCCTTACGGAAATTACTGAATGCCAGTCATAGCAAATCATTCTTTAAACACACTGGTGATTTCATATGGCCATATATGGTGGTCATCATAATTTGAAGCTCATTTTGAAACTCATAATGTTTTAAATAACAATTACTAGCTCATTTAAAGATGTGTATGTACTCATTCTTCTAACATTACACATAATAATTAACCATAAATACACTATCATATATACAAACGTTTACATACAAGTATATTCCTATAAAGCAGACTGAAGCCATATCTATACATATATTAACAGGCTCCCATTCTTAAAATAACACAATTCGCACATTACAAAAATATTGCGTTAATCTACAGAACAGCCCGGATATGACATAAAGTGCAAAACCCTTTGGCTCTATACAAAATCATCTTTACTTTAAAATACATGTACATGTACACTGTGTAGTCTGATCGAGGTACTCTCTGTACATTTTACTACCTTAACAATGAAATTATTAATGTGGCTCAAACTTGAAATAACCCCAAAAATAAAATTGTGGCAGCCTGTAATTTAGCTGAAGTCTGTCTTTGGATTACGGTACAACCTATCACAATTTGTGATTTTAAGAATCAAATTTAAGTTTGAGTCACTTTCGTATTTAACAAAACACACTTGAAATGTGCATAATTCAAAATGATGCATGCAATACGAGTTGAATAACATTATATTTTTTGTTTTTCATATTAACAAATTTTTGATTTATTGATCACAGGTCGACAGCAGCTTAGAAAAGATTTGGCAAATATTATTCTATAAACATTTAGGTAAAATAGAAGTGTGTACGTGCTGTAGTAAGAGGTCTCATGATCAACTAAATCTGTTCTGCCCCATAAATGAAAAAGTCTGACCCATTTCAGAAAAAGTGATTCTAAAACCTATAGAGGCCATATACTTATTTACACAAGTTTGTCCTAAAAAGACCATGCAATCTGGATGTTTTTTCGAAACTGCAAACTCATGATTGTATTTGATGAAACTTGGTTGCTCAGATTTCTAACTTCATTTATGAAGAGCTCCACCATTAAAGGAAAAAATTGTGATTGTTTTGTTCAAAAATGAAATGATTTTAATAATGGAATCATTCTGTAAGGCTTGTCAGGGCACCTCTAATGTGCCAATCATGCTCTTTAATTGCATGCACATCAACAAAGAAACATTGTCTGTCTAAGAGAAAACTGTTCACTAAATCGTGATACTAGTAATCATACACAAAGATTCCATTTTAGTAATGATACACATAGATTCCATTTTAGTAATGATACACATAGATTCCATTCTGGTAATGATACACATAGATTCCATTCTTTTTATAGCTAGGCCCTGGAGTTCAAATAGCGCACCACCAATACACTGTAATCATTTGCGATGAAGTTTTGAAGAAAAATGTTGGCTTGTTGAGACAGAATGAGGAATCAAATAAAGAATCATGACAACTATGAAAAATAGAAATATACTAGTAACTTGCCAATCTCAAGTGAACATTACATACATTAGCTTGACAACAGCTACAAATTATATATTCAATTGATTTGGCAAAATTGTGCACAAACTTGAATCTTGAATTTAGATCATTTTTTACTTTTAAAAAAATGTAGCAATAATATCCACTCAGAAAAATACTCTGCTAGATAATCTCTATCAATCACTGATATGTCATAAGTTAAGTATTAGTATTTAACTATAAAATGCACGAGGTCGAGGCCCCTTTTGTTGCTATTGTACTGCAATGGTATTTAAATACAGCTTATGTGCACTTTCGACAGAGTTCCACTTGTACAAGGATTGCTCAAAAGTCTTGGGTATCGTCTTTTGTTGAAAAAATCGAATTTCAAGACTTTTGGGATGACTTACATACAATATATTACACTATTACAGATGTTATAATAACCTAAATTCATAGATGTCAGTTGGTCAAATCTTATCTAATGTTAAACTGTGCTGTACAACCTTACACAGTCAACAGCACATCCTCGTAAAATATGACCAATATGGGAATTTTAGACAAAGGGGATGATCTTTCATTGAGGCATAACTTATACATGTGATATACAGGGCGTTCATAAAGTATCTTTAAAATACAAAGTCTATGTAAAGTGTAGAGACTTAATGTACACCCTGTAATACAGAGGTACATGTACTGTAGCTACTTCACTCTCTCTCATTTACCATATACATTTACGGGAGGGCACCTATCCCAGATTTTGTTGACAGTTTGGTATGTCAGAGAATCATGGGATAGACATGCCAGTTTTACTTTGCCAAGTTCTCTGCAACAACACAGCTAAGAAATAATAGAAAATTCACAATTGCCCAAAAACAAAATACCAATAATATTGGCACTCATTTTGTTTAATAATATGGACATTGGACAATATCACGATTCAGCATAGAATATAAATGAGAATTATGAATTTTCTACTTGGTACTAACACTGAGCTACTGCAAGTCAATTAAACTGGCCATATGACATTTTGGAAAATGCACAGATATACAGTACAAAGTACAGTTAAACAGTTCAAAGTATAGATGTACAGTACACAGTACATCTAGCCTAAGTGACGAATGATTCCTTATTAACATAGCTAATTAACATAAATAACACAAATGGTGGATATGTGCTCACTAATATACCTAGTGGATAAAATTGAGCTAGTTTGAGCACTACGCTAGTGTTATAAATACTTGCATATGAATGATTTGTCTATCTAAATTTATAGCTCTATTCTGCCAAACTTATGTTAACTCATATCCATGTTATAGTTTGGCATTCCATCATTCAAAGCAACGCCATCTGTTGGGTGTCTCCCTAACTGTCCCTGAAATACAGTGTTACCATGGTTACCGGTTTCTCCCTCCATCCAAGGGGCTGTCTCCCCCAAGAGAGCGGACTCCTCCAGGAGTGCAGTCCCATAATCCTCACTAGGAATAACGGACTGTTGTTGTGCTAATTTATAAGATGATTGACGGATCATTTGACGTCGTAGCAGCGCCATCTGTTGTTGTTGTTGCAATGCCATTGGCTGCATGGCGATTTGTTTTTGTATTGTTGCTTGCTGTATGTTGGATTGTTGCTGTTGCTTTGCTGTCGGGGGCACATTGGTTGGTTGAAATGATGGTTGCATTGCACCCTGGGTAATAGGCATGTGATGTAGAGGTGTTGTATTCTCGAGACTTTTAAACGATGCTGGATCAGTGTGAGATTTCAGTGACGTATCAAGCTGAAGCTGTTGGAACTGCTGCTGTAGAGTTTGACCTTGCTGTGGGGCATGCTGGGGCATAGCGTGCTTCTGAAATATCTGCCTCCTTTGCTGCAGACGGTGCTGAAGTAGCTGCTTCTCCAGAGGTTTATTTTGGTACTCGCAGGGCCTCAAAGGGTTAAACACTTCTGTTTCTGGAGGTTTTGACTCCATATGGCGCTCTATGTTGATACTATGCTTCATAGCAAGAAACTGGTGAGGCTGGAGGTCAAATGGCTCAGAGGGGAGAGACATTCGTTTCACCATAGGAGGCCTCTGTCGTTGTCCTGGGCTTTCCTCATCAAGGGACCATTGTCTTCCACTTAGGTGATGGTCTTGGTGAGATTGGAGATCCAACTGTTCCTCTGGCACGCCCTCAATATGTTGATGTTCCTGGCGAAGCTCCGCCATGCCTGGGGCTTTCATGCTCTCTTTTAGACGCTGCCTGAATGCAATAATCCCTTGGGTGCAAAGTCCATCCGATGCTCTACGACCTTCACGGAAATTCACTGGTGATCTAGTCTCATTGCGATCAACTGTAGGACCCCCATTCTCGGGATTGTGCGGAAATTTAGAGTTTGTAGGTGGAGTCATAGATGATTGAGGCAGCATGATTGGCAGGTTATGCACACCACCATTTTGACTAGCATTGTGATGTGGTAGTTGGCCAGGGGGAGGGTAAGGCCCCCCACTACCTAATAATGAACCACTTGATAAGTCTGATTCAAGGGTTGAATCGAAACTGGTGAATACAGAACTGAATCCTGTGCTATTGCTAGAACTCTCTGACATGCCACTACTGAATGATGTTTGACTCGTATCATTCGGTAGCTGGGAGGCTGTATTGCTAATAATTGAAGAAGTTCCATCATTAAATGTGTGCCGGCGTGGTAAAGGGGCCATGGTGGGATGGGGGGTCTGCTGCTGAGGGAGGGGACATTCAAAATCTGATAAGTCTACTTCGACACCCTCATCTATCGAGGTATGTATGATATGGCCCGGAGCAACAGCCGAGGCTGTCGTGCCAACCTGGGGCAGTTTCATTGCACTTGAGGGGAGAATATCCGGCAAACATCCCGACACGCCAGATGGGATCTGAACGCTATCAGCATCAATATATAACTGTCTTTGTGTCTCAAGGTTCATCTGGGGAGTCACACAGTCAGTCGTCTTACTGAATAAACCTTGTTTAGTGTCCACCAACTGAGGGTGTGCCCCCGGGATTTGACCTTGACCCTGAACCTGAGAGTTTCCTATAGTGTTTGTTACATGGGTACGTAATATTGCCTGTTCAGCAATTGTGCTAGGACGACGCTTTCGTGCATCCATTTTTGGGTCAACTGGGAAGCTGCTCCTATGGTGCTTAAGTCTGTCGAGTAGTAGGTAATATATGGCGGTGTAGTGGTCGTAAGCATTACTGTTTAAAGCCTGGAAAATACATTGTAAATTTCAGATGTGATCAATCTTTAACTTGCCAGCCCAGAGGTTGCTTTATATAATGCTTTATATGGATCCAGTAACCATTTGCCATTTATAAATGATAATTTACGCCATTGTAACATGTTAAGAAAGATATCATATTACACTATTTATATTGTAAGAGATGCTCATGCAATAAGGAAGTAATTGACTCTTAACTAGAATAACAATGAAACAAGGAACACATAAATAAAATCTAATTTGCATCTCACGTACATAAAATTAACCAAATTTCTTTATTTTTTGTTTGTTTTACCTCAGTGGTCTTCTGCTGATCTATACCAAGACTTTGCATACAGCGTAAAATTTGTTCATTATATTCTCCCACTTTCGCAGATTCTGCTGAAACAAGATATGAAGTCACATAAAGGTTAATTGTCTGGGATACATTACCAAAACCTTTTACTTTTGTCTATTCATTACTGTAACTATGGAAACAATGATGTCATAGTGAGACAACAATAAATCCGGACCATATGAAGTGTTGTATCCCCATTTAGCAAAATGTTTTGGAGCTTGGCGGTAAGCATTTTTTCTTTTATACCCAAAATGTACAAAAACACAATCAAAATGAAAAAAATCATAAAAAGACAAGAAAAAGGTTAAAACAGGGAGATGCACATCTCAAACACATTCAAATTGAAAACTTGAAAACTTATTTTCAAGAGAAAGAATAATCAATGTAATCAATATCCTTTGTAAATGGAACTACATTTAACTTGCGTAACTGAACCAATAAAACTGAAGACCCTCATTCTTAACACTCCAAAATTTATTTTCTCTCATTAACTCACATGCCTATAAAACCTTGAAATATGAACACCTTCGAATCTGAACACTTTGGCCGGTCCCAAGGTTACACTGTGTTTCTGTCTGAGTGTTACTTAATGTGTCTTGTATGTTGTTTTTAATATAAAACGTGACAGCTATGACATTTATCTAATACAGAAATACAAGTTGACATATGTCACATTATACATTTAGTATATATATATATATCATGTAATACCTATATGGGGACTAATAATAGGAACTATAGGCTCTGGCAGGCTTCCCTCCATCAACATCCACTTATGGCGCTTTATCTGCGCTATGGAATAGCGTTTGTTGGGATCAAGAACTAGCATTCGTCGTATTAAATGCTCACAATCTGAAAGCAACAATGCCAGATTTTGGAATTTGAGTTTCATGAACATTTTTGTGGTTATTACCTGGACTTATAAATCACCAAAATTCTTGAAAAATCTCAATTTATTTAACACATGATAACAAACAAAAAATAACGATCATTTTAATAAAAGGTTAGCGAATAATTCTTATGAAAGAAATGATACAGGCATACGAAAAACATCCACAAGTAAATAATAAGAATCCAGATATAAATTATTATTTTATTATTCAGAATGATATATTATCCTCCTTCTGTCCCTACAGTCCTTCAAGAAGATATCATATCATCCCTCTGGATAAATCCAATATACAATCCCTCTTAGCTTTCCAAGGTCTGATGCTTTCAAGAAAATCTGTCTCACAAGTATACAATTGAAATTATGTGAATTAAAATATTGTGAAGATTCATTATTAATGCATCGAGTGTTTCAATAACTTAATAATTTTGATAAATGTGGTATCTGACACAAATAAGTTTTAGCTGAGAATAAACACGTGGTAAAGATATGAATAGAGTTCTGATGTGACATCAGAAATAATGTGTCTGGATCATATCAATTATAAACAATACTAAAGGTTAGCTTGACACCGATATTGAATGGTATACCTTGACAAGTACATTGTCATCATTTACTTAGAGCATAGCAATGTTTCATTAAGATGAAGTTGGATATAATCAATTTAGATTTGAATATTCTCTTAAGGATAATTTCTCAGTTGGTCGCAAATGTTTGACTATAAGTAATTTCAACAAAACTATTTCTGAGGAGCTAGCGAGTTTTCACTTTGATTTGTTCACTAATACTATATTTATGTCCATCCAATCAGATTACATGAACTATAAATCATCAGTTTATTTTGACAAAAACTCCTAATACATCAAATTACTCTTATTTTCAAAGTCTCATCCAACTGCTAATTGATTTTCAATTAGGTCCAAAATAAGTGACCAATATGTCATTGTAAAGACATCAGAGAGCCAATTTAAGATATACAGGGTTACCCCAAAGTAGGTTACCCCAAAGTTTACAGAGATTGTTGAAAACACCCAGAATAATAATGAGTGCTTTCATTGCTTCTCTGATGGAGATCACCGTTAAATATGTTGATCTAATATGAAGGGAGGGTGAGGGGGGGATTTATGAAGATCAATGAGATTCTGTCGTGGTTTATTTATTCACACCTTTAACATGAGCTTAACTTTATGTCTAATCTCTCTACATTAAAGATTATTTTCAGACTGACGACATACTATAGTATCCAATCAGGATAGCAGTGTTGCAAACCAATAGGAATTCAGGGCTATTTACTCTTTATCCAGCAAACATTCAAACCAACCTGTTGACATGAAGAAGGGTATTCTAAAACGGCCAGATAGAACTCTGTCACGCAGTGTTTGTAATGTCTGACCATCAAACGGTAGTGCCCCACACACTAGAACATATAACACCACACCCAGGCTCTGGAAACAAATTGAACTCAGTTTAAATATTGAAATGCAATATGGTATTTTCTTGTATCCTCTGACATTCGTTGCATTCCATCTGAAATGCAATATGGTCATTTCTTGTATCCTCCGACTTTGCATTCCATCGCTTATGCAAGTAATTGTAAATCATAGAGTCATTATACTAAGTGCAGTATTACCTAATAAGGAGATAATGCATAAGGTCATTGTACCTAATAAGGTAATGAGGAGATAATGTTGCAGTACAAGACCACATAGAATTACACTGCACTTATGCATTTTTCATCAGTAGAGTTATTTCATAATCATACGGTAACTGCAATTTTCAAAACGGCTAACTTATTGAGAAAAACAGCACAATTCCTCATGCTTCCAAGTACACTGTACCAACATATTAATATAAACAAAATCACTCTGTTACTTTTGGAACTATAGAAAACTATAGAAAATTGGCCTTAGTCAAGCTTCCTTCAATGGGATAATGATTGGTTCATACAAGATTCCCAAAAATTCTGAATCTCATGTTCTGAGCCATTAATTCATAAATTAAAGAATGCTTCTAAAATCAGGGTTTGAAAACTAACCCAATTGACAATATGTGTCCCTTTTAATTTTAAATTTTTTTTACCCAGCATGCCTTAAAACTTAAAACAAAACTTAATCAGATCTTGGCACAGACAGACTCAGGCATGCGCATTAGCAAAAATGACAACATAGCACTATGACGTGTGATAAAAATAGGTTTAATCTGTAATAGTCGGAGTGTAGTGACACTAGCTGATGGAATCAGAGTATGGTCTAGCACTTACCCATATGTCGATCTGAGGCCCAAGGTATTTCTTGCCCTCAAAAACCTCGGGAGCTGCATATGGGGGACTTCCACACCAAGTAGCCATCAACTCAGATGGAGTGAAGAAATTGCCAAACCCAAAGTCTGAAAAGAAACCAATTTATCTATAGTTTAACCTGCTTCAGCTATTCATATGTAATGTTTGGTAAAAAGTATCATGTCATTTGATTTCTTGGATATCCTCAAATAATCATTTCACTTACTTAATGCAAAGCACTTATTAAAGTTCTGTCAATCACAACAGACAAACCAACTTAGAATAACAGATAATTTTCAATAACTGCTGCATGCAATTTGGAATTTGTTTATTATATAAGTTTGAATCAGATAAGGGGAATACTAAATTTACCCTTTGTAAATCCTTAATCTGTGGTATTCTATATGGTATGTGTCATGTATAAGTGCACCATATCTGAAAATCTGAATCCGGGATCTGAATATCATTTTTAAAGCTATATTGTGGTTATAGAACATTATCTAATAATATTTTTTTATGCTACCTGGTTTTAAGAGATTAATTAATATTTAATATTTCATTTCAAATATCTGTATTACACGATTGACCTTTAAAAGCATTCATTGAATAAATAAAAAAATTCTTTGATTCATTTAAACTTATTTTTAGACTAGCCTTGAACCTCTACTATTTGAAAGCATGAAGAGAATCACAGATGCACACAGTAATTTGCTCATATTCATATTAAAAACATACACAAAAAAACTATGAATGAAACTATGAATTAGTTCATGAATGAAATAATAAGTTTAAAACATATTTAGAAATAGCAAAAATGAATGAAAACAGTTGGTTTTTGGTAAGTCAAATACACAGATGAATAGAAACATTTGGATCATGCGATATATATCAACAAACGTAAAACTATCCAGTGGCGTAGGATGACGAGGCAAATTAAAATTGGCGAGACTGATTTTACTTAAAGGGACATAATACTGCAATTAAACTTTGTATTTTGAGTTCCAACTGAAAAAAGTCTGGATTTCATTCATGAAAACATTTGGTATTTCTCGACATACATGTACATGTGACATATAAGGTTGAAAGTACTGTAATAGCAGATTCTCACACTGAATATTTGACCAGCTTATCCCCATTAATAAGCGCTCAATATTTGCTAATAGTAAACCAAAATTAAGTAAAAATAAGTTTTAATGGTTCTCAGAAAAGACTTTATCCGATCTAAACTTTGCACAGTCTGTGTTCATCTTACATGATGTCTGTTTATTTGTTTATATGTTTGTTTGTTTGTTTATTTGTTTTTTGTTTGTTTGTTTGTTACATATTACAATATAATTATCACATTTGTCACAAATGTCAATTTTGAATATGTTTTAAGTGAACATTTGAAAAATAATCTCAGCAATGAAAATAAATGATATCAGTAAATATCTATGTATGAGGTAGAAATTTATTCCCATTAGTCAATTATTGCAATAAAACCATCCAGATTCACATCATGCCAGTCAATGTGATGGCTAGGTGCGTAAATCACTCATAGCATTGACGTACACATCTCATATCTTAATGCCTCTAATTAACACTACTATGATCATGATATCATGATAGAGACCACCTATGTGCTCCAACTAATGACTTCTTACTGCATGGCAGATTTGTACTTTTAAATTATATCGGCTTGATTTGGATCATTTTACATAAATCGATGCTTCTCCCATCTCTATAGTTTGCTATGTTAAATGTATGACTGCTGTTATCCTAGATTATTTTATATTCCAATAATTTATCAATGATCTTTAAGTTATCCTGCGATATCAATGATTTTCTAGATATCTTGTTTCTGTTTTTCTCGTTTTTTTTCGTGTTCCAATTATTTATCAATGATTTTCAAATTATGCCATTTTATCAAAGATTAATGCTAATTTATCAAAGATTTTCAAATTATCCTGTTCTTATCAAAGATTTCTAATTATCCTGTTTTTCATCAAAGACCTAGATATCTTTTTACATCACAGCATATCTCTCTTTTTTCAGGACGTTTGTCCTAATCTTACAATGGTGGACTTTGAATATATTAGGACATAAATAAACAAATCAATGAACTGCTTCAGAAATTGGAAGTATGACGAGTGAAGATAGAGTAGTGACGTAATTGACTAAAGTACAATCTGGATAATCAGTTTTAAACCTGCAGAATTCCATGCTTAAACTAGGAAATTTGGGAATGAAAGGAGGGTATTTGATTTTAATTCTTGTGTCTTTTTTCCGTATTCTAACATAATACATATCCTGTCTTTTTATTTCGCACTGCAAAATAATGCTGTTCAAGCCTACTTAAAAGTATTGATATAGCTCGAATATATCCCCAATTTCTTAAAATTGTCTTTGTAATCTCAATTTTTCAGAAAATTCTTCCAGATGCATCCTCCGATTGCAGGGCTCCAAGATCCAGAATACCTTGTGTTAAGTGAGTTTTGTAGACCTGTCGTAAGAGAATCTCTAGATGATATACCTATACATGTATCTATAGTAATCTTACTCGTACAAGTTACAACCATGCCTCCAGTTTGTATCCGAGGCTTTGCTTCCAAGTCCATTACTAACTACCACTAATTATTACATTTCTATTATCAGTAATAAACCCAGCTATCTATTTAGCTTGCACTACACCAATGATATCGTTAATCATATGTAATTATAAAATATTGAAGGTTAAATGTCACACTGTCAGACTGAAGTAAGTAAGAAATGTAGTTTATGCAGAATGGTTTTTAAGAGATTTTTCCAGAAAAATGGCTACCTGGGCCAATGCTAAGTATAATGGTCCAATAATTAGCCTTAAGGTGACTTGATTCAGTGTTCCTTTTTAAGACCCAGACTCATGATCTAATAACATCTTCATGAAGTCAGGCAAGACTTCTACATCAAATTAATCAATAAGAATTGCCTCAGAATACGCCCTTGTTGGTGGTAAGAATTTTAATTACACCTTTAGTAATACTGTGGCGGTTATAAAACCAAACATAGGCTGACATAAGCAATAAGGTGATGTTGATGGTCTTCATTAAGATTACAGAAAAATTAGAATATCCGTGATAACAACTGATTGAAACTAACAAGGGTGACCTTTAACGAAAATAATTGCTAACTGACCAATTTATAATTGATGAACGTGGGGGTGTTTTGAGATTTAAAGGGGTCCTGCATCATGATGTAAATGGGCTAAAAATAACTTAAATCGGATAACGATTAAAGGTTGGTGGACTAGCTTGCAATCTTTGAAATGGATAATAAAAGAATTTAGTGTGAAATTTGAAGACATCCTCTTACCTGCTATCTTAATGTTCATGTGGGCATCAAGCAGGAGATTTTCAGCCTAGAAAATAGAAAAAGATTAATAAAAACAAAGGGCAACATTGAGGTAAACAACCTCCATCGAGAAGAAAACCCCAATAAACAATATCAATCAATAAGGAACATTTTAATGAAAATTTTAAGGCTAGGTTTTTACATCTATTTGCATAACTTTCCAAACAATATTTAAAATGCTTGGAAGGCCGACACTGTAGGTAAGGAAATTATTGGTCTCTCTTAATTAACATAAAAAATTCAGTCCACTGGAATACTTCGTAGATGGTAAGATTGGTGATTTGAACAGACTAAAGAGAATTTAAGATGTAAAAAATGAAAGAAACGAGTTGAGAATTATATTGTAAATATTTTTCCTGATATTTTTTGCTCGTATTTAGCTCATTGTTATGCATGAATATTATTCCTCAAATGCCTTTAAATCAATTTAAGAGGATCTGCAATTTCTAATATCTATTACATTATGGAACTTTTTAGTAAATAAACATGTAAAATGTTTTCTATTATATGTACACCCAATCTCCAACTGCAATATCACAGAATATAATGTCATGTGACTTAGTTTTACACGTGTGACTTCAAGAATTTTCAAAAACTAATACTGTGAAAACTACTTAACAAAAGCTTACAAGAACATTAATTTGTCTATATTTTTCTTTTCCCATGATTTTACAAGATGTCGTTAACATATCCCATTAAGTTGCATAATTGATGATTTACCTTTAGATCTCTGTGTACTACATGTCTGTCATGGCAATACTCAACAGCAGAAAGAATTTGCCAGAACTTCCGCCTAGCCTCTGGCTCTGTCATTCGTCCATGCTGGGCAATATAGTCTGCAAATTTAAATAATATAAACTGGTTATAATAGGGAAAGTATCTTTAAGTTGTTCAATATTAAAAAATTATTTTTGTTTTTCTTTGAACTGAATTGAGAAAAAAACTTCTCTGAAAATATCAAAACTGAAAGATCTTTTTATTTATTTATTCAATTTATAATGTTCTGCAAGTAATGCCATCAATATATTTTGGTGCAAACATTCTTCTCTGAAAATATCAATGCTTGAAACAAAGTGCACATCATACAAGCAAAATGACTCCTCTCAACTTTTTCAATTTTTTTTTCAATTTCAAAAGGCAACTAATCAATTACTCTTGTCATTGGTATATTCCATATTTTTTCATTTTACATAACATTTGTAGCAAATTTTGTCTGAACCGGGAATCAAACCCAACCGATAGCAAGGCCCAAGCAATAGCAGTAACCTTGATTCTGACAATGAGCCATCTAGCGGGAGATCAAGGATAATGGGATATACAAGAATGGTCTTAGCTGTTATACAATAAACCATATACAAACATCCACATATAACATTCTACTAGGCCCACCTTAAGACATTGACAAGTTTTTTTGATGTGATTAAGGATTTTCCCTCAAAATCTGTAAAAATCATCTGATGTATTAAGAGCGTATATTCTGACACTGATATGACAAGTGAGGAGAAAAATATCAATTGTTTACAATTATGTTAACGTCGTGTATTGTGTCATTCTGATGCATCGTCATACATTACAACATGTTGTCAGATATTACGTATATGTGACACAAAATTCTTCAGAAAGTAGACATGATTAAATATATAAATAAATAAAAAACATGACTTTTGAACATATAATGATATAGTTACAAAATTTGTAATCATGAAGGCGGAATGACTGTATAACCTACGCACATTAGTTTTTATAATCAAATATTATAGTTATATAACTAAAATATTGTTGTCATACAGAACAAAGAGACGTAGGAAACCAATTAGAACGATTATGTATATTATGAAAATATAAATAGTTATACTGATGAGTCAGTCAGAAGTATATTTCAAATTGCAAACACATTGCAGAAAACAGGGGTGTAGGAAGGTGTAAATTCAACACTAATCAAAAAAATATGAAAAAGTTTTAATCTTCTAAATATCAAAACACCCTATTTTATGTTTGTTAAAAATCATTTTTATGGTAACACCTTTCTAATAGTGTGCCTAAAATGTTTTTCATCATTTGAAATCATGAAGAAAGCCTATCTTTGAAATGTTGACAAAACTCATGCTCACTGTTCTAATGAAAATGTTTATTTCCTCGAACATTTTCATGGAATTGTGCACATTGTGTCAAAATGATTTCTTTATAGTAGCTCTACTATTTTTCACCATGAAAAAATATGACTGAAGAACATTAGAAAATTATTAAGACTTATTTGAATTTTCTACTCTCACTTTTCAACCGAAAACTATGCAAGTTTCAAAGTGCAAAAGTCGAAAAAACATCTTTAAATTCTCCCAAATAATAGGGGTGGTAACCATATTTGTAGAAAAAATGAATGCATTATTGCATTATGCATTTTTCCTCAAATAAATATAGACTTTGGGGATTTTTAGAAAACAAACATGACAAAAGAATGATATGAGCCCAAAATATTCTAAAATTGAAACAATCTTTGTCAAGAGTCTGACGACTACTTGCCAGCATGCTAGATCTGATACTACCTTTAATTATCATGCTGACTATTATTTGAATGAAAGTGAAATGCTTGTATGTTGTATATTGAATTATATACTGCCATATGTCCAATTGGCGGTCATTTTTCAAAATGGCTGCCATTATGGGCAAATATGAGTTATTGATCATATAGAAGAATGGTGGGACTGGGATTCTTTTATCATCTGAACTTGGGATAACAATAAAACATTTTAGGTTGGTTAAAAAATAGATCAGTAGAAATAACAACACCAATTAACATGTCTCTGTGTCTTATTGCAAAGTAATACTACACTATATTAGTATGTGCAACATGTACAAATATATTTTTACACATGTCTTTTGTATCAGAAGCATTCCTAACAAATTCAATGTATTGGATTATCACTGGTTTTATATTCTTCCTCAATCTTTTTCTCTGAATGACTGAAAATCAATTCCACCCCCATACTACTCTAAAACATGTTCAATTCATACATACAACTTTTGCAATTTCTCAGTTTCTTAGTATTTTCCATTGTGTAAGTTCACTCGCTTGGAAGTTTATTTGAGCTCAATGATTGAACTATTAATCTGCGTCATATTAAACTCAAGAATTCAACCATAAACGATCATGCTAACAAGTGAATGTTCATGTTTTACTGTATGTTATTCAAGGTTAGCCCTTCCACCTGATCTGAATTCTTCGAAAACATCTTCCTTGCAAGAAATTTCAAATGGAGCATGCCTTTCTTGCGAGCGTATCAAAAGTAGAGAAAAAAATAATAAAAAGCATATTAATACTTATATATTATAACCATCATTTTCTCTATCAAATAGAAATGAAAGGAAAAAGTATTCAAAATACAACAAAAGTGAGCTGTCTTATAAATGTTTTGCTAAGGGGATATTTTTGAGTCTGTAAATCTACGTATATAGAAAAACTAATGGTAGAAACCAGTGATGCAGTTGGCTCATACTGATCAGATAAATCCAATTCATATTGACCTTTATATCTAGATGTCATTCAAATTAAAGCTTCGCGTCATTGGCAAATTTTCGCGTGGGTACTTATAATCATCACTCTTCAAGTCAGTGACCTTATTTCTACCTGATAGGATGATACTGAATGATGTCGTTCCAGCAGATTAAATGATTTGGATTCCTTTGATTGATTTTAGGCTGTTTTTGTAATAAAAATATGTATATAATCTCATCCTATTTTTTTATTGGAAAAGTCATAAAAAAATATTTTCTTTCCTCCTTAGTATCACAGTATTATGAGATTCACTACTTCACACTTTGCATTGATTTTTTAAAAAATGAGTCATGACTTTTTATTGCTTGTACATACAAAGGAAAGAATACGACAAATAATCAAATTGATGAATTCTACTATTGATGAATTCATTTTTGCCAGGAGCTAAAAATAATTTACAACATTTATTGAGCTAACACAAAGTTTCTACACAACAAACCACTGGGTGCTCAGGGACTGGGGATATCCAAAAAACATGAAAGTCTAAACACACTATGTTCAAATAGGCAGATATAAAGGCAATAAGATCCGGAACTATTGAAATATAGTCCGCTCCATCCCATTTCATTCCTTTACTGCTCCATATGTATCCATACAATGCAACACAAAAAACCACTAGTCAAAATAAGAACATTATCACAAATATTGAGGTCTCTGGTGTATTTCATAATTTTTTTATAAATGGGAGGTGGGCTCATGATCTGGTGCTATGCAAATAAGAACATTATCACAAATATTGATGTCTCTGGTGCATTTCATAATTTTATAAATGGGAGGTAGGCCCATGATCTGGTGCTATGAAAATAAGAACATTATCACAAATATTGATGTCTCTGGTGCATTTCATAATTCTATAAATGGGAGATAGGCCCATGACTGGTGCTAAGAAAGTAAGAATATTATCACAAATATTGATGTCTCTGGTACATTTCATGATTCTATAAATTTAAGGTAGGTCCATGATCTTCTGCTTTGAAAATAAGAACATTATCACAAATATTGATGTCTCTGGCGTATTTCATAATTCTATAAATGGGAGGTAGGCCCATGATCTGGTGCTAAGAAAATAAGAACATTATCACAAATATTGATGTCTCTGGTGTATTTCATAATTCTATAAATGGGAGGTAGGCCTATGATCTTGTGCTTTGATAAACTGATCATGAACTTCAGAGTGGCCTGACATTTCTCATATATGGAGAGATATCTTCAAGTGCATGATAATGATAAATTACTGCAATATACTTCTATAAATAAATCATTCATGGTATATGTCAAGAAATCATCTTACTTCCAGCCATTTATCAACCACAGAGTTCTAAGAATAATTTTCAATTTAAACAAAAGGAGACGCAAAATTCTAAGAATAATTTTCAATTTAAACAAAAAGAGCAAAAAGAGCATACTGGTGATTTAGATGTTTAAATATGTTTGAGGGTTGATAAAAATAAATCTTGAGGAGAGTACTCCAGGAATATTTTACACGTAGAGGGAGAAGCACTTGATCAATTCATCGGCTTTTAATACCGAACATATCCAATGACATGATATTCACACTCTTGTTAATATCCAAGAATAACAATCAATGATGACATTCAAGGAAGCCGATTGATCCAGACATTTATATGACAAAACCCCTCTGGTGCTAGTCTTCTTCAATGTACCATAACACTTGTTAAATCCATTAATGATGTCATAAGAGAAACCCTTGAAACCTTGTTAGGTTGCAGTAACAATGATTTCCTTACAAAAAGGTTGAAATTACTTTTTGGGATATATCATTTCAACATTTTAATCAAAATATTTTGATTTTGAACAACTAGTATGTTTTTACAAATTATAAGGATTTGGCTATTGGTTTTTAATTGTGAGTAAATATTTAGTCATTTGTTTCTGATTTTCAATTGTTATTTTGGTGCATTCTTAAAGGAATTCTCAGTTGTTTGGATTTTATTTGTTTTAGGAGTTATTTAGTCAATTTAACATGGACTTTCAAAAGGCCATGACTTTAATGTGTATTAAAGCATTATTTACAAAGAAGAGGGCTAATGATGACTTTATACTTCATGACATTTACAAGCTACCTATCCTTCTTGACAATATTCAATAAAAAATTTGATGACGCCATTCAATTTGATCTCAACAAAGAGAATATTGTTGATATTATTTAGACAATGGCTGCCACCAAGTTAATTGAAACATTCATTAATTGATAGGGACCTGATGAATAGAATGCTTTTAGATTTTATATGTAAAAGGGTGAAAGAATTATATTTTATTCAAAAAGATTCATGAAAATTATGAACATGTCATGCATAACTTGTTCATAGATCCATATATCGTGTTATTTGTTTCGAAAGTTATAAATAGATCCATAGATCATATGTCCATCATGTATATGGTGTTGTTTTGGAAGTTATCAATAATACTTATTGAAGGCCATAGTGCGCATTCCAAAATTATCTTACCGGAAAAATTATGTATCACAGCATTTCATGCAATTCCAATAAAAAGTGACATTCTATTTGTTTGTATGAAGTTTTTATTCCATTTTCCTTTATAGCTTTACTGATGATTATGCAACAACTTATCACTTATCAGATTCAGTGCTCTCCCCACATTGAAATCACTCCGGTGAAGCACCTCAATGCTTTTCAGAACCAAAATACTCTTTGATTTAATTCATGGTTCCTCCAAAATAGTTACAATGAAAAAGAAAATGTTGCACAAAAAAATTACAAAAACCTAAAATGTTGCACAAAAATTTTTAAATCATTAAATGTTTCATAAAGTTACTAAATTATTATATGTTACACTAAAAAATACCAAAATCCTAAAATGTTGCACAAAATATTTTAAAATCATTAAATGTTGAACAATTTTTTTTTTAATTCATTAATGTTGCACTTAAAAAAATTATAAAAAACCCTGCACACACAAAAATCCTGGGGAGAGCACTGAGATTCCACACACAAAAATCCTGGAGAGAGGACTGATATATATGTATAAAGTCTTACCAAATATCTCTCCATTAGGAGCATACTCTGAGACCAAATACAGCATATTCTTTGTTTCCATCACCTGTAACATGGAGAAGATAACATGAGATAACAAGAGGATATCTTATCATTTTGGAGGGATATGGTTAATATCCTTAAGTGGGTATTGCGGGGTCAGTATATAAGCCTGTCTCTGTGTGGATAGTCAGTGAGTATTGATGTTTTTTTCTGGTTCTTGTTTTCTGGATGTAGTTTAGCCTCTTTACTAAAATTCATTTGGCAATAATCTTTAACTTGGTATTGCATATAGAGAATCTTAATAGATATGTAAGGATCCGCGTCAATAGTTCAATGTTGTTCAATAACATAATTTCAAATACCATAGCCTCCTCCCAAAAATGGATCTGTAATAAGTGGAAAACCCCCAAACCAGAACACTATTTTGTGACACCATAGGTGTTCTACTAGCACTATCTTAACTGTATCAATTGTGTCCCTGGAGATACTGAAAGAAAAGAAAATAAGCTTACCTGGTAGAGCCTGATGATGCTAGGATGCTCCAGCAGTTTCAGTATCTTTATCTCTCTCCTCACCTTGATCAGGTTTGTGTCATCTAACTGTGTCTTGTCTATGATCTTTATAGCCACCTAGACAATAACAAATGAGGTTAGATATATAGCCACCTAAACAATAACAAATGAGGTTAGATATATAGCCACCTAAACAATAACAAATGAGGTTACATATATAGCCACCTAAACAATAACAAATGAGGTTACATATATAGCCACCAAAACAATACCAAACAAATGAGGTCAAAAATATATAGCCAGTATTAACCAACTATACAATATCAGATGAGGTTAAAAAATAAAGCCATCTATGCAATATAAAAAGAGGTCAGATTCCACCGCCTGAACAATGGTTTGTGTCATTTAATTGAGTCTTCTACAATCTTCAAACAATACAGAGGTTTGTGCCATCTAGCCCGAGTCATGTCTTCCTGTCTATAGGGAATATATACATCTATAGTGTGAAGTAATATTATATTTACAATGGTAGGATAGTATGTGAGTGGGATGTAGTGTCATAATCACTTCATATTACAACACAGGCTTAATCAACCATTTATTTCAATAATCACCTTCTTTTATATTCTTATCGAGATAATTAAAACTTGATCAACTTCATTGTGAAATCGACATGATATCTAATGATCTGCGTGACAAGCAAAATGAATGTCAAGCAATCTTACTTTCGATTCTGCATAACCCTCAATAAATGTCAAGGTGCAAATCAAAATGCCAACAACAGAATGTCAATAAATTGGTCTCACTAAAGCACTTGTGCCCCACCCCAGTACATATCTCCCAACAATTTGGTGTTGAAGTCGTAAGGGAGAGCAAATTTTGAAGCAAGAGTATAGATAAATAAAACATTTCAGAAATCATACAGTATAGTGATAGCAAAAAGTTACGCAAAATAATAACTATTTCTGCTCCTATTTCAGTTTCCAATTGTACCATATACAAAAGATGACTCACATGGCTAAAGACAATATTTGGCCATCATTTCCTCAGCTTGAGGCATGTCTTTGAGCTAAAGTTTGCGAGAGTGTTTATGGTAAACACAATCTAAGGTGGGTGGTTACCTCGATGATATCTCAAAATTGATGTTTATATTTGTATACTCCCCATGTATTGATTATCCATCTTTTTCATAAGTAACGTTTTTTCCTCTGGCACATGTCTATAGATTTTCACATTTGGTCAATGCAACTGAAAGGTCGAACGCTCAAGAATTCTTAAGAAATAAGTAAGACGGGAAATTTATTGTGTGAATAATGTTAATGGAGTTGCACCAGTTGTACTCAAACTAATAATTAATCATTGATTAATTGATTAATCATTGTGAACATTAAATAATATAATATAATATTTGTATAATACAATACACATTATAATATAATATAATATAATATAATACACATTATAATATAATATAATATAATATAATACACATTATAATATAATATAAAGTTATAGCAGTTGTAATAAGAATGTATGCACATGTGTTAAAGTGAAATGACCAAAAATTATTTCAGAGCATTTTTAAAACAAGATGATGCTGCAAGACAAGTTCAGGTCTATAATTATTTGATGATGCAAAGCGTAAAATGCATTTTAGAGATTGCTTTCAAGCACATTTTACAAGATGACTGGTCCCTTGATATGATGAGATTATATTACATACGTGAATAACTTCTTTAATCACAGTGATGTGCTAGAATGATGCCTAACAATGCTGAAGACTGGACTTTAATTTAAGTGGTTATAAATGTGTTACAGCTGTATTAATCACCTCATAGGCGCAGCCCAAAGAAGCATGGCTGAGTAAATAACTAGACCATATAAATGCATAGAAGGGGTCACAGTTGATCAATGACAATGTTCTCTTCAAATATGTTTTCCAAGGATTTATTTGGTGCAAAAATTCTATTAACTTAAACTGACTGAATCCAAAATGTCCAAGACCTGTCAAAATAGTCACCTTACATCTTACATTATTCTTAACACAGTAATTTAGTCAAAAGGGGAGGGGATGGGGGGCCCTAGCCCTTATCCATATGTGCCACTGTTTTCGGGCTCATAATTCGAATAGTTTCTCAAAAAAGAACTTGATGTCATATTTTCCAGCTTGGAATTTTTTCTGAATGGAGGACATATTCAATAATTTACACTTAACCCCCTATGCAAAATGTTTCAGCATTAAAATACCCTGGCTAAAATGTTTTGGGACCCTATTCATAGCAAGACATCTTGAAACGTAAAACATTCTACAATACAAGTGTAAATCCATCTGTTTTAGTTAAGCGTTCCTAGAGCCGATTTAATGCATTGCCCTGAACGCAAGTTTGTGGTACATACTGGTTACCATTTCATGTCAACAAATTCAAGGTAGGACATGTAGTTTACTGACAATATGTGGCTCCATGCTATAGAATACGAGAAAAGATTTGACAAGTGTTCAGCTTAAATTTTGAGATTTATGAAAATGGAGTATTTATTCCATGCTAACACATGATTTTGATGGGTTTCATGAATTATCCACATCCACAGTAATGGCATTTTTAATGTATTTTTTCACACTTTGGCACATAATTAGACACATATTAGACAAAAACATTTAAAAAATTGGAAATTTTGAAGGAGCAATAACAAAATATTCATTTTACTAGTACTTTCTATAAACAAAATTCTAAAAATCCTATTGTTCAGTTTTGGAGATAATACGGTGTAAAAATATGTTTAAATGCTTCCAAATAATAATAAAAATAGTAACGATATTTATAGACAATTGAATGCAGTGTTCGCGTTGACGCCGTTTTTTGCCATTTTTACGGAAATTTCAGAAGGTTGGACGTAAAAATCAAAATCAACTTACGTCCCTAGGACGCAAAAATTATAAACTGCTTCAAGATAACTTTTACTGCAGCACAGTAGCGGTGAAACATGATTTTCATCAAGATTTTCAAACTCACTACCTTGATATACGAGCAATGATCTAGGTATATTTATATCGACAAATCTGATTGGCTATCATGACTACCGAAGATTAACAGGGTTTCCAGTATGAGACATGGATTTTGATTGGTTCCGATATATTCCGGAAAATGCCGCAATCGAAATGGAAGATCAAAACATATAATATTGCAGAAAATCCCCTGTGGTTCCCCACAAATTGAAACGATTGTTTTTCACGATTATCTTTATTATTTCCACTAGAAACCATTATATATTGATCTAATGTTATACATCAAGATAATTGTTTAATGATAGATCGAGGTTTTTCATCTAAAAGTCTTCAGAATAAGGAGAAATGTTAATAAAAAGAAGCAAAAGTTCACGACCTTGACATGACCTTCAAGATCGCAAGTTTTAAAATGTGAAAACAAAACTCTTAATTTGAGCATTTCCTTTATTCATTTCGGACTTTTTGGTATAACATTACTTAAGAATTGTGTGAAAAGGACCCAGTGATAGATATTTATCGGGAGGATGCATCAAATTACAATATATGTCATTTTTATCCCATTTTAGTGTAAGCACTCTATTATCGCCCACTTTATTTTCACTTTCACAATATTTTCTTGAACTTTGTGAAGAAATAAGAGGGACGCAAAAAAATTAGATGGGGACTCAAATTTTTCAAATGGGTTGCGTCCCTGGGACTCAGAAATTTTAATGGCTAGCGCGAACACTGGAATGTATTATTGTAAATATCTTTAGTTTTCCTCAAAAAAAGTTTACACATTGGGCATTTTTAGAAAATATGCATGACAAGGAATAATATGAGGGTGATTTTCGAGCGATTTATAGCTGTGGTACTGTAAAATGTGTATTTGAGATGATGTTAAGACAGCTTCACTGTCCGATGGGATTAAATAGACAGACTTGGATCATATCAAATGACAAAATATGATTTGTAACATTGCAACAATGTACTAAACAATATTTTTTGTATATCTTTAATGGATATTGCAACATTGTCATGAAAAGATATTATTACATTTACACTGCTACCCACCTAATTACACAGACGTATCGTCGGTGTATCATGGCGGAACTTCCTCCGGGACTAGGTTTCGGTAAGATTTTTTTATTTCCCAATTTACACCTACTTATAAGTCATGTTGTGGATAATAATTTGGCTCGAAGTTAAGGAAGATAGTCTAGTTTGAGAATGTGTCAATGGTTTTAGGTTTTATATGTTAACAAAGACACAATTCACGTATTTAGTCCCTCGCTTTTCTTACACTGACGAACGACCAATATCAGTGTAATATTGGCAATATTAATGCCGATCGTCAGTGTAAGAAAAGCGAGGGACTAAATACGTGAATTGTGTCTTTGTTAACATATAAAACCTAAAACCATCGACACATTCTCAAACTAGATTATCTCCCTTAACTTCGAGCCAAATTATTATCCACAACGTGACTTATAAGTAGGTGTAAATCGGGAAATAAAAAAATCTTACCGAAACCTAGTCCCGGAGGAAGTTCCGCCATGATACACCGACGATACGTCTGTGTAATTAGGTGGGTAGCAGTGATTTAATGGGATCAAATATGAAAAATTAATGATCAGCTATAACAAGATCTTTATAATAAAGTTAGCCCAAAGACAATGTGGGCGTATTATATATTATATGTATAGTACTGCAACTGGGATATGATGTTAAGGAATGTTTTACTGGCATCTGGGATTTAACTGATGATATCAACTGTGAACATATAATTTGTTTCCACTGATTTGAAACAAAGTAGCAGAATATGGTTTTATTTGGAAATGCTGTAAAGACAGCTTTAATGTCCTGTAGGATAAATGGCGAAATATAATTTGACTCCACTGATTTGAGACATTGTAATGAAATTTAATATGAAGTTGCATAATATTGTAGCAAACATTTGACTTTTTGAAATATCTATAATGGATATTGCAACATTGTCATGATATGTGTAGCACACTGAAAAGACATCTGCTACATTGAATTCACACATGGAATCAAATGTTTCTTCAGAGTTCATTGCAAATGCATCAAGGTCTTTTTCATAAATCCAGCCCTGGCATGCACTTATCAAATGTCAAATGAGGTCAAAATGAAATTCATTGGAAATGACTGAAAGCATGTCAAACTGTGGAAATAGGTAATGTCATCATGCTATACGAAATTCCAGGTAATCACTTTAATTAAACAGAAAGGTATTAATATTGTTAATGCTCATAGCTATGCCATGCGTAGGCTACATAAATTGTGATCTTGGACATTCTATTTTGTAAAATCCTTCATTATAAAACCAAATCAACATTGATCTCTGCATCTGCTAAAATCACCCTAAGGATTAAATGTGTAGGACTGATAAGGAACCACTCCACCACAACACGTCATGAGTAAACAACAATGGAAACATTCCTTAATCTACTTTTAGTTTTTTTATGAGTCACTGACATGGCAAGTGTCTTAAAATAACCACGCATTCTCTAAATATAAGTAACTGAATCAGTACAGGTCGTCAAGGCCAAGTACCCACTCATTCATCGATTGTCAGTGCAGGTCATTGTGTTTCAAATATAACTTTGGAGTCTAAATCTGTGCATAAAATAACAACTAGATAACACACCCACCCGTTCGATATCGATGTATAAAATATGTTCGATGTAGAAACATCATCTCAGAGACTCTCTGAGATCATTGACGTCAATGCAAGAGAATAAATTAAGTTTTGATTCCAACAAACCTCTGTTTTTGTGATCCGGTGTTTCGCCAATTTTACAACTGCAAAGTTTCCTTTCCCAATTGTCCGTTCTATGTCGTAAAATCCTACTCTAATCTGGGTCCTCGGCTTTTCTGCCATGACCATTGTTATTTCTCAACGTATGAGTCTCCACGACTCCCTGACGAAGCTCTGAGCGGCAGAGAAAACAACGAAATTGACATTTCTACCTCACATCTACTTTCATGGCGAATGGCCTAGGCACTGACGTCATCTTGACGTCATTTCATCAGATTGTTGTGATATCCCTTTCAAATCAGGCGTAGTTTCGTATTTTCCGTTGACATAGCAACATTGCAGAGAACTGCATCATTATTATCGACAATTCATCAATAAGCTCTTCTTTGAATAATGCCATCTTTACATTGGCTAAGAAGATTGTTTACCAATTTGAAAGAACCAACGTCAGAATTGGGTTACCTTGAATCAATACAAACAAACTCAGGTGTTTAGGCTCCAGGAGTGGCCCCACAGTGAGCACCATCTATACTATGAGTGGCCCCCAGGAGCGCGTCTCAATGATTAATTTCAGGTAGTGGTGCTTTTACCTTACCCTTTACCTTATCCCAGCGGGACTTTTACCTTATCCCAGTGGTGCAGGGCGAAGTATTGTTTCAAATTCACACAATTTTGAGCAATGCGGTATGTTATTTTCAGTTTCTTGCCTAAGAACAGTTTGTCCAAGTTATGTTAAAGATTTAGTCTTAATAAAAAGATTTAGGCACAAATGAATTCAGGTGACGAATTGTCTTTAAGTGAGGGGGAGTCCATATTATTTTCAGGAATACTTAGTTCATTTCATATACGGTCTACATCTTTCACATTTGCACAAAGGTAAGCTAGAAAAGAGTGTACTGAATACTGAGATCAAAAATAATGAGTGACCTGCTTAGTAGCACTTTTAAAAAGTAGGTCACCAACTTTTCTAATTTTTCGCATTTTATAGGTTCATTAGTGCACTCTTTTTGCAAAACTGAAAGATGTAGACAATTTTGTGAAAGAGGAGTCCATTAATTTTAAAGTAACGTGTGACCCTAACCCTCGGAGGACTGCATCGAAATGGCCGAAAGTACACATTGACCTTAACTTATCGCGATTGAAAAAAAATAATTCGATATTTTGGCAAGATATGAATAAAATGTTGGAGAAGAAAGAATTTACCTAAAGTCATAGAAATTATAAAACTTCTGCAATTTTAAAAGGTTCTTTTCGAGGTTAAAAGTGTCAATTTTTGCTTTATGAAAGAAAAAATTAGTGAAGCTTCCATTGTTTGATTTGAAATTTTACATACATCAACATTAATGTTCAAACCTTATACTCTTCAATTTTCATGAAATTTACTCATTTAGTTGATCCTTGAAAATAGAATATATGTGAGTGACCCATTTTTATTTGCCCACCCCGTACATGTCTTAAAAACATGACATAAACATTGTACATAACTATAATATATTAAAAAATATTTACATAATTAATATTACATTTAAAAAACATGTATCTGTTTTCATTTCTCATTTATTCCATATATAATATATAAAAATACACTACAATATTATTGCCTACGTTTTTCTACATTGTCGGCAATATAAAAAACATATCAAACTGGAAATAATGAAAGTACAATAGATAAGGTCCATAATATAGATAGTGAGAAATGTTAGAGGCCTTCTGGGCCTTCATGTTTGATTCACATTTGTTATCTTAAATATTTCAAAATAGCATCGTGACTCGGGAATTATGAACGCCCTAGAACTTGGGAACATTGTCACTAGATGCTAGATCTACAGTTTCGTCGTATATCTCGGTTATTCGCTAAATATATTTATGGATTCGATGCACTCGGTCATATATGGAGAATTTGTTCACAATGTTCATAAGGATCGTGTTCATTTTTAAGAAGAATTCCTCTTTGGATAAGTGTGGACTTCGTTTAAAGCTTCGTTGAAGGTTACAAATTAGGCTTCACCAAGCGCTCTGTCGGAAGCATTCTCAATCTCGGTCCGATCTTTGTATCCTGAGACTGGCGCTTGTGGTTAATGCCGTCTACGTGCTGGACGATTTGGTCATGTGTTGCCATTACGTCGAGCGTTGCTGGATCATCACTTTCACCACTTTCGGGTTGTAATGAAAGATTGCAATTGGTGTCGACGTTGTGATTCGCAGCATTTGTAGCCATGTCTACCTTACACGCTTTATAAAGAGAAGCATTGTCCAAGAGGGTGAACACAACGTGATAATGTCGGAATAACATTGCCATGAAGAACATTGTTTTTGAATTCATCACTCTCCCTTACTGCGCCAAAGTATTCAGAAAGTCTATTTCGTGCACGAAACACGCTAGCGAGATTTTTTAATGGCATGGCCTCTCCTTTATTCGACTTTTGATAACCATTTCCCCGAATGAGAGGCCCGTGAGTAGCTCTGCGTTTCTTTTGGACCTCATGATCAGGAATGTGGGGAAGTGCGTGTGGTCAAAGTCACTTATCGCTCCTTCACGAATGCGTTCCAAATGTACTCTAGGTCGCTGTGTTGAAAATTGTTTGTACACGGGTAGAGGGTCCTGGAAAATATGGCATTATAAATAATAAGTAAACTGATTATAAATGTGAAAACATGAAAAAAGATTATATGATAAATAACATCTCATACGTAATCTCGGGCGTGATGTTTTAGTCTCCGCACATTTCTTTAAGTTCATTAGTTTTGTTATCAAGAGATGAGACAATCATTTAATAAAAACTCATTAAAATGATCATTTGTCTATCCAGCCTTGCAAAGCGAATCATTAATTCAGACGTTCCTGATCACACACCTGTCTGTTTGGACATTCCAAATCTAGGTAATAGCGAGAGATTGGAGATACGTTCTGCAACTCAGTCTCTACTTTGGTTAGTTCAGCTGTAACTTCCGTAATAATATTCTGTATTGGTTTATGGTCACCATGGGCTCTACCATCTGATAGAGCCCATGTGGTCACCAAGTACAACTTGTTCACCAGACTTCTCTTCAAGGTATGGGAAGTTTATCATACCGACGATGTCCGTCCAATCTGTATTTAGGATTTTCTCTGACCATTTTTCCTACGTTACCACCAAAGACGTTTTTCTTCATGGTCGACAAACTCCTTAGGTAGCCTCTTCGTACCTTACCGCGTACTGACATATCGCTTGCTATTTTGTTCGTCTATATTCGTAACGAGAGCTGAGAGACATAAGAAAGCCTTGTTGCTGTTGAGCCAGAAACTAACAAAAACTAATTTCGGTTGCTATAAACTCCAGTCACCATTGTTCTCTGTAGTGACGTATTGGCAACAACATTCGTATTGTCTCTGGTTTGTGACGTCATAATAAAAGAGATGTTAAATTTCTTATTCTGCCGATTTCTATGCCAACCCGTTTGACGTATTTTTCATTTCAGTGATAAACCATTATTGTTGGTTTCTGACGTCATTGTTATCTTACGGTATGTTCATTAGATACAAATGGCAATAAATATCGGCATGAACAATAGATACCGATACGATGGTTGGAGTCCATTATACATAGTGAGAGGGATTGAATATGTTTGGGGCCATCCTGTGACAGTAGACAAATATATCATTGTTGCCATGGAAACTTGTAAAATCTCATAATTACATGAACTATTCATAAATGATCGTATAATAGAAGACAAATGGACGAAATATAATCAAGGGCGAATATAGTATAAATTAATAAATAAATAATGAATAAATAAATAGATAAATAAATAATAGTAAAATAAATTATCTTTTTAACATTACACTCAGTACAAACCCCTTGGTTCGACATCATGATAAACCATGACATCTCATTTCTTCTCAGCCCTGAGATGTTTCAGTTGAAACAGAAAGATGCTCTGAGTATCAGAATGTTGATTCAGGGGTAAATAATTGTCTTATCATGGCAACCCGTGCTTTACAGTGTGTTTTGTCACTCGGGGCAAGTCATGACGTGAACATTTCATTTTTAATATAAAACTGTTGTTTTCTAAAATATTGGTGCATACTTTACTATAAAACAATTGTCTTCTCATTTTGAAAGCTTTTAGATGCATAGTTCCTATTTCAAAAAATTTCAGGGGGTGACTTCGACCCAAAAACTGCATGATTTTGAAAGAATTTTTGGCGAGGGGGAGGGGGATCGCCCGAACTTTTTAACAATACGCCGTCGCCTTTTCCATCTCTGTCCTTCATTGATGCAACAGATATAGAGAGAGATGCTACAATATCAAAATGTGGGTGAAATACTAAGATCCATTTGTGGCCACTCCTCAGGGGCCGCTCTATCAGAACCTAAAGTGGAAGTGATTTCAATGACATTGTAAAGAGGGTAGCACTAGTCAAACAATAAATTCGGGATTGTGAAAGATTTATAATTTGGTTAAGATATTTAATGGGTTAAGATATTTAAATGTTATGTTACCTATATAGGAGGCATGATGACACGTGCCAAGTTATGTTTTTTCAATTTAAAAAAGCAAGTTATTCACTCTCTCAACAATTTTTCATTTCCAGCTTCGAGGAATTATACTGTTTATAAACTTTATTTTTAGTTATAGCTATCAGCAGACGCAAAGACACAGTGATCAAAGGTAGCTCAATCACAGTGAATCAGTTAAAACGGGTACCTCTATCGATAGAGGTCCGTGCTTAACTTAAATAATATTTAATAGACTATATACATTATTATTACATGGACATTACTTGTATTTGTATTTGTATATTTATTCAACCACCAATTTGGTGACAATACTTCCTTTTTTACAACATATTTACATTACAAAGGAAAGAGTAATAAAAAGTATTATTTACACAATGCTACATTTAGTTCTTGACTTAAATTAATTTAGTTCCTTCAATTTCACATTTCTATAGTTATACATATTGCATATCATTTTGCAGCTATGGAACTTAATAGTAAAATCCATTTCATCATTTATACCTGGTATTTCTTGTAATCCCATCATGATATAAAACCTTTCAGTTTCTGATCTCATGTAAAAGTTATCATAATCTAGTTTAACAAGTTTTGCCTTCATTGTATTTCTAAACAAACATCTGAATCTAGTAAAAACATTGCACTGTTGTACAAAATGTATTAAGTCACCAACTCCAGCATTACAAAGGGTACATTTATAATCCCGTGATTTTGAGGTTTCCATATCCAGTACCTCCCTATCTCCACTCTAGGGCATATCTTCCCGCTTTGAAAAAATAATTGAAAAAAAGATTTGAAGATAAAAGTTGAAAAAATTGAAAATGTTTTGGAAAAATTTTTTTTTAAAAATTGACAAAAATAAAAAATGAAAATTGAAAAAAACTAGAAAACTACTGGGTCACAGGCTGGTATCGAAATATTTGTCCGCTGTGACGGAGCATGCTATTTTTCATAAAATCACCAAGAATGCTTCACGATTTATTTTTTAACTCATATCTTTCGTTATACCATACAAAATTACTTACTCCATGCAATGGATATATCATTTGCGGGTTACTTTCACTTCTGTTTGAAGTCCAATTACGCTGGGAAGAAAAGCTATTGAAAATGGCGCCGGAGTATCATACTTCAAACGACCATTTCTTGTTTAACTTTCTAAAGGCACGATATAGTGACACGATAATATTTACACATGGTTTCAGCATAACTATGAAGGTATAAATGAGATGTTGATGTATTTGGTCTTTTTAATTCTTTTATAAAAAATAATGTTTAAATTTTTTGTCCGCTGTGACGGAGCAGTTGCAAATGTGAACTGTGAAAATGCTCCGTCACAGCGGACAAAAAATATTAATATTATTTTTTATAAAAAAATTAAAAAGACCCAGTGCATTAATATATCATTATATACGTTCAGAGTTATGCTGAAAACATATGTTAATATTATCGTGTCACTATACCATGCCATTAAAAAGTTAAAAAAGAAATGGTACATATTAGAGTTTGATACTCTGGCGCCGTTTTCAATAGATTTTACTCCTAGCGTTATTGGACTTCAAACAGAAGTGAAGGTTACACCCAAATGATATAGCCATTGCATGGAGTAAGTAATTATCTTTGATATAACGAAACATATGAGTTAAAAATAAATCGTGAAGCATTCTTAGTGTTTTTATGAAAAATAGCATGCTCCGTCACAGCGGACAAATCTTTCGATACCAGCCTGTGTGGGTATATTTTATTTATTTTTTCAGAACTACGCTTTTGTATCAGCGGCACACTTTCACAGGTGCGTCTTTACCCATAAAACATATATCTAAAACGGAGTCTTAAGAATGTTTAAGATTGCATTAAAACTTTAGTGGTTAAAATAGGTTTGCTAATTGCTATGCGACTAAAATACTAAATAACTAAGACATCACATCTTAGATACATGTCACATGTTGAACCTAAATCTTGTCCCCCAAGTCTAAAAGCCTCATCACCTAGAATCCATTGAAGTTTAAAACAATTCCACGGTTGGTTGCAAAGTTTCTGAACTTTGGCCGAACAATGTGATTGGTATGGGATAAACAGATCATCCTATAGTCGGTTCAGGATATTTGGATCTGTATCCCTTGGCCAATATAATATATCTACCCTCGGGACCTACGGCCCTCGGGCAGATATATTATATTGGCCTCAGGATAATCCCAATATCCTGAACCTCATATAGGATAATCTCTATTTATCCCATACTTGGACGTGTTACGGGTACGTAAAGCCGGGTTGTAAGAACTTATATTTTCATCAGCGGGCAGATATAGCTTTACGTCCCGCTCCGAGCGGGCAGATATAGTATATCTGCCCGCTACGTCATAATCGCTGTTCCCGTATTGGTTTTTTGCAACGTTCGCAAACTGTAAACGACAATGGAGAAAAACGCAAACAATCGCGAAAATCCGGCTACGGTCAAGAATAAAAAACTAGACATGAATATTTTAAAATAATTCCACGATTGGTAGCAACAATTGAACAATGTGATTGGTATGGGATAAACAGATCATCCTATAGTCGGTTCAGGATATTGGGATTATCCGTCCCTTGGCCAATATAATATATCTTCCCTCGGGACCTACGGCCCTCGGGCAGATATATTATATTGGCCTCGGGATAATCCCAATATCCTGAACCTCATATAGGATAATCTCTATATATCTCCCTCTGGATAAACCCCATATCAAAAACCTCCCAGTACTACATAACCCTTATATACCCCCTGATAAAGCCGTGAGGTTCTTGTAAGTTGGAAAATGGGACATTGTTCAAATGGTGAAGTTGTCACCCACTGTTTAGTTGGCCCATGTTCCCCCCCCCCTAGAGCCCCTAGGGAATCCCCTTAAAAACCGAAAGAGTAAATGAGTTGTATTTATGATCCTTTACCATAAACCTATAGCTAAAATATATAAAACTGTGACATAGCCTACAAATGAGGCCCTCAGTGGTTTTTAACATTGAAAGCCTCGGACAAAAAGGTTTAAAAGGTTCCGACCTATTGTATTTCAGGAAAAAAATGGGAAAATTTGGAGGCACTGGAAATGAACCATCCTTGCTGCAAGGGTATTTTACAAGTATATAATTTGAGCATAAATGAAGTCCTTTGAAGAGGGATGGAAATGAACTTCCAGTTTCATTCCCATCAGTATTGTAAGTATTTTCTTCTCAGGTTATGTAAATAAAAATTCAAACATAAAGAGGTTTTAACACGTAAAAATAAAAGAAACAAATCCATTAAAAAATCATTGTGTTAAATTATATATTTTATTCGGATTTCCCTTCCCTTATTAATCCCCTTTCGCAGATTGTTGATGCAGATGTAGAACATCTATGTTCGGAAAATGAATGCATCTTATTTTGTTCGTAAAATTAATGCATAGTGAAGTGGAGTTTTAAAAATATTAATTCGAGACCTTGTTTCACAGTGCCTTATCTCTTGTAAAGCATTCCACCAACATAATGGTTATGTGAAATCGATGATTAGGGATCAAAATATTACATTTGATACGGTACGTGCTGTTTATTTACTTTTCTTATGGATATATAATCGTGTATAGAAAGAATGAATTTTCACATAATATCGCCCAGGGCCTGATATAAGGACTTGATACAACTTCCTGTGTAGGTACTAATTGTTCAAAAGTTACAAATTGGTTAATGCTAAAGTATGGTTAAGCATTCACTATGTATTGTGAACTATAAATTAAACTAAAGGATACCCTACAATTGGTCCCATTTTTTACCTTTGAATTCTTCTTGAAATGAAAAGAAAACCAGTGCAGTATTCAACAACTCAATCATTCTAATAAGATTCTTATCATGCAAAGCATATAGTGAAGCCGTCTGTTAGTCCATCTGTCCCTCTGTGCATCTGTTCCTAAGATTAGTCAAATTCTAGTTGACGGATTTTCTTCTTTCGAAAGATGTATACAGTTGGGGACATAAATAAATGACAGGTAGATTTGCTGAAGTGAGGATTTCCCATGTTAAAAATAAGAGATTTTACAAGAGGCCATACATCAGTGGATGAGATTATACAAAATGTAAAATATACAAATTTTAAGGGATATATATCTAGACAATATTGGAAATTATGGGCTTTCAGACCACCATAATTAGGAAATGGTGATCGAAAATCGACCTGTCATTTATTTTTCTTCCCAACTGTATTTGTGAATAGCTGTTATTTTTTTTCAAGATGGCCACTGCTTTAAAAATTGCGGAAGTTTCTTTTAGATATTATTGTTTGAAATTTCGGCAGTATATTCACAAGACATATCTGTTTTTTTACATATATTATGGTTCTTAACCAAGGGCTGTGTACATGGGGAGTGAGGAATTTTTAAGTATACTCAAATGAAAGGAAATTTAGAGAAGATTGAATTGCAAATAATGTATCTCTTTCCTGATTTAAGCCTCGTAAAATTCAAAATGGTCACCTGTTTTGGTATTTCGCAATAATTTTATGATCTCTTCAAAATATGGCTATATTATACTCAAGTTGAAGGAAGTTTAGAGTAAATCACAATTATGGTATTGTTTTTCTGATTCGTGCATAGAGCAGGATCGATCGATCGAATTCACAATTAAAAATCTCTTCAAAGTTTATGGTTTCTTTATCCTACATTCGATCTCAATTATGGCATTGTCTTTATGATTTGTGCCTTTGGAACTCCTAAATTGTCACTCATATCTTGGAATTGGTGGAAATTCTAATATAGTAAGGGTGTCTCAAAAAATGTACCCAAAAGTATATCAACAGGATAGACAAACCAATCAATATACATTTTTTGCATGGTCTTGTAGTCAAAACATGAACGTTTTTTTCCCCATCACACAGTTTTTAATTCAGCTTTGCCTTTTTGATACTTTAACCCTTTACATTTTACACCACATAAGCTATGTAACCTTTTATTTAGATGACAGTCTGCATCCTTACTTCTACATTGTTCATCACATTTGATATTTCTTGTGGAAAATTTTTCTGGTCAGATGCTGGTCTTAAGTTGTTCAACAACTATGCAAAAATGGGAAAAAAATAGTTTGTCAGTAAAGATACAGTCTGTCATCGAAATATGAGGTTACACCGATTATGTGGCGTAAAAGGTAAAGGGTTAATGCATCAAAAAGGCAAAATTGCAAGCTAAGAGAAATGCAAATTATACATGAATACTGGACATATGATAATTATTGTGAAATTCATTTGTTTAGAAGTACTGCGATCTAACAAATAAAATAACAAAAAAAATATATCTGAAAATATTGATTGGTTTATCTGTGCCATCCTTGGTCCAAGGGTATATCACTTCTTTCCATACCCTTGATGCAGCCTATGCAATTGTTGGGATTGTGCAAACAAACTTTCAAATAGCCCTTAAATCACTAGCGAATCAGAACCATTGTTACAATCAAGGGTCAAAATAAACAAAGATTTTCTAAAGAGGAGGACAAAACATGCCCATTGAATTTAGTATAAAGCATTGTGACTGGAAATGCATTTTCTGCGTTGACCACTAGGAAACTCAGCTTATTTATGACCCCTAAAATGAAACTATCTGGGCTTAAGTGAAGGGCTGAATTTAAGCTAGCATAAATGAAGTCCTTTGAAGAAGGATGATCTGTGCTGTTGATATACTTTTGGGTACATTTTTTGAAACACCCTGTATATCTCTAATTTATGTCTTAATCAAGGGTATAGAAGATGGTAAATATTACATTGTGACATACACATATTCATTATACTTGTTCAAATGTTCATTGGGATTTGCTACTCCCTGCAGTTGCAGATTTCTAGTTGAGCCTGACTCTTTTATCTTACTTTAGAGGTAAGTTAGTCACACTCATTTAAACTTGAATGGATTCAATTCGTGTAGATAGCCAAACATTTTTTCTTACATTCATACTCATTAAGTGCATCTTGTGATTGCCATGTGATATTGTGAAAGTCATGTGATTCTTAATAGTTAAGGTCACAGTGCTCTGTATCTACATATTAAAGCTATACAGACCTTTGTACAGCAGTTTCAATATGCGTATGAATTAAGAATTTTCAATTCATCTGCACCAAGAACTTTAATTTATGCCTCATGGTATTATAATTTAGGTTTTGTTAGTAAACTTTGAAACATGGTATGTGTACTGGAGTTAGAAGCAATAACATTCCTCTCTCAAAATATACAAAAGACTTGTTTTATCTTATTGTGCTAGGGTTAATGAGCTGCATAGTAAATCAGGAAATGAACTATTTCATCTTTTTTATAAAAACAATTTTCTTAATTTTTAACAATTTGTAAATGACCTTTTTAGGATATAAAAAGATAAAAGATAGTCCAAATGTTAAGATAACAAACGTAAACAAATAAACTAAATTATTTTGGCTTTAATATAAAACTTAAATCAAGGAGATGTTGTCAAATCAAGAACATGTAAAAAAGAGATAACCGCAAAAGAACTGGAACATAAGGTTCAATGACCCCACTCCTCTTCCATATACATGTAACTCATTCATATAATTTGAGAGATAGATATCAAGTCATTTTGCTATTATATTTAAACTATTCATAAGGCAGTCAATGGAACAAGGCTAATGCAAATACAACATACAGTGGGAGCTTCTAGCAACTAATTGCAAGTAGGAGACACGACATAGGATATATTTTACATTTTAAGGTAGATACTTATTAAAGTTCTATTTATATTATATCTATAGAATAATACATGTACATATACTATGTACTATATATTTCTCATCATTTCACAGACTTTAATAATCTATCCATTATGTTTTATCATTTTCAAAGGTCTAATTTGTAATGTACATTTCTAATAATTTAGATAGTAAAGAAGATCTAAACAGATCCCATCCTCCGAACACAGGCCTCCAGAACTCGTACCTCCTTCTTCCAAGAAGAAGGAAGGAACTTAGTGGATGATGTCTGGAACCCTGCGTTCGGAGGATGTGCGTTCAGAGGATGAACAGATCCAAAGGCAGTATGCCATCATGTGATATCATAGCCTAGTGTTACACTGTAGTTCTTGCAAGACAAAAAGATGTTATACATGGATATGATAAACTTATTGTGGAATTCACTTGTTTAGTCATAGAAGTACTGCAATCTAACAAATAAAATAACAGTAAAACTAAATTAAATATTTTTGGGCTTTTGAAACCATAAATAGAGCTCTTGAAAGCCCATGGTTTACCTAATAATAAACATCAGAATACTGTATATAGCAAGTAGTCAATGATAAAAGTATCTTATCTATAAGTGCTCCTATTGTGCCATTGTTGAACATCTTATGATAGATCAAGGCTACACTTAGGATACCCTGGTTAGTATATAGTATTGTTCTATCCTCTGACAGAAACTAATCATTTCAATTTGATTGCCAATCCTTATTATACAAAATATTTTGCTATGTGTGAAGGAATTTTAGCACATGACTCAGTGAATTATGGGTGATTTAATGAATGTGTCTTGTATTCGAGGAGCACCCAGCCTCATTCAAAGTCTCATACAAGACAGGGGCGCAGCCAGTAATTGTCAAGGGGGTGCAATTTCTTGGATTTACATCACTGCAAGTGAAGCGAGCCTCAAAAAGAATTTATTTAAAATGTACATTGTATTTGGTGCATTTTAAGCATTTCAAACTATGATTTGTTAATGTTTTTTCCCCAAATTTTTACAAAATTGCTTTTTTCTTTTTTGTGGGTTACATCCTCCCTGCACTACGCCCATGCAAAACCCTCATACTAAAAATCATCATCGACCTCTGCCTCAGAGTTTCATGAAGGCATCCACAGTTCATTGGGGCAAGGGCTTAAAAAAATATATGGAATCTTGCGAGTCTGTGAAAATAATTGATTATTCAAGTTCAAGTTTAATATCTCAGTCTCTGGGTGTTTGATTCAAACCCAATTTTTACAACCTACCTGCTATTTTTCCAAAAGAAATTGCAAACTACCATTCCATTTCTCAAATGAATCATACAGTAAAAAAATCTACAGTTTTTTTTATGTTTTATGGTAAGTAGTTTTTGGTCTTCCTTCTATTTTTTATATCTGTTTTTATTTACAGGAAACATGGTGTGACTAGCATCTGAAGATCATTGACGTTGAAATTAACAATGAGTGATCCAAGGTCACAAAAGCTACCATGGGTGACAAAGTTGTCGTATGGTGTCGGCCACGTGTTGAATGACCTCCTCGCGTCAATGTGGTTCAGTTACCTACTAGTGTATCTTCATGCTGTTCTCGGATTTAACAACGTCCTTGCTGGGAACTTGATGCTGATTGGACAAGTTAGTGATGCAGTTTTTACACCATTTATCGGCTTTGAGTCGGATAGAACAAATGGATTTTGCGGATATGGAAAAAGAAAAAGTTGGCATTTGTTAGGTAAGAAAATTATTAGCCTTTTGAATGAAGCTTGGGGTAAATAGAGAATGCCTTTATCAACCCTTCAGTATTTCAGTACAAGTTCTTGTTAACGCTGATGTCGACTTTATAGTTTTTATTCTCCAACTTATATCTTGAAAAACTTGGAGATGGAGACTGACTTTGCCTTTATTAGAGAGAATAACATAATTGTGATATTAATGGACAATATTGATGATATCAGACTAAACTTCTTCTTTGAACAAAAAATTAGAGCATCATTAATATGATATCAGATTAAAATGTTTATGTGATAACCCTTTGAACAAACAATTAGCACATTATTAATATGATCTAGAAAAACACTAAGCACATTAATATGATGTTAATTAGGGGTCCCACGATACATTATGAAACGATACGATACGTATCTCGATACTCAGGTCAAGATACGAGCAACGATACGATACATAATAGTGTAGTTGAACCGGGGCGGGGGGGGGGGGGGGGGGGGGTTGCAACACTGACGTAGCTGAGGTTGAGTTGAAAGTCTATCACTTGCTGTGACATTTGATTCAGATGCAGCATAAAAACTATAGTCAAGTATCAGGCCTACCTGCTGTATAGATCAAGTAGTCACTTGTCAGCTATGCATATTTTGCAATTTTTTTGAAGACCGGCTGTGCTTTCCCTTTGAGGAATGTTCTAAAGTACTACAGTAGATTTTCTATTGGGGGATATAAGTCTAACATAACTACCAATGTTTGATGCTTACACGGCCATAATTCTATCGATTGTGTTCAAAACTTTCAAAAAGTTTCAATTTCTAGCCTCCGGTCAACAGTAATACTCCGAACGTAGATATTGTTCGGTTTTTTATTAGAGTCATCAATATTAGTAGGCAATTTTTAAACGCGTTCTATGCAATAAAAATTTCAAAGATTGTATTTATTCATACTAAATTGTCAAAACGTATAAAGAATATTATAATAAAACAAAGTACGTTGATATTCGAAGACATAGAAGACACGAGTTATTTGTTCGCATTTTGACGGCCTATCCGCTAAGCATTCTGTTCGCATTTATTCAACATTTGGGCGTGTCATTTCCAGTGAGAAACCAAACAAAAAATATAAAAACAATTTCTCAAAAAAGTCAAATATTCAGTAGATTTCGGCAAAATATGATGGTTTTCAGGTATGTTAATAATATTTTTGGTGTATCGATATTTGAGTCTTCGTATCGATACGCTCGTATCGCCACCAAACGAGCCGATGCATCAATTTATCGATGAATCGCGGGACTTCTTATGCAATAATCCTTTGAACAAACAATTAACGCATCATTAATATGATCTAGAAACACACTAAGCACATTAATGTGATGTTAATAGACAATTGGTGATATTAGATTAAACTTCTTATGCAATAACCCTTGCACATCATTAATATGATCTAGAAAAACATTAGGCACATTATAATGTGATGTTAATGGACAATTGATGATATCAGATTAAACTTCTTATGCAGTAACCCTTTGAACAAACGATTTGCACATCATTAATATGATCTAGAAAAACATTAGGCACATTAATGTGATGTTAATAGACAATTGATGATATTAAATTAAACTTCTTATGCAATAACCCTTTGAACAAACAATTAGCGCATCATTAATATGATCTAGAAACACACTAAGCACATTAATGTGATGTTGATAGACAATTGATGATATTAAATTAAACTTCTTATGCAATAACCCTTTGAACAAACAATTAGCGCATCATTAATATGATCTAGAAAAACATTAGGCACATTAATGCGATGTTAATAGACAATTGATGATATTAGAGTTTAGTTTAAAATAGTTTATTTAAGTGTCACACGTATACAATTTACACTAAAAAACAATTAAAATATACATACACATGTAGAGGTAAAAGAATAATATGTACATGTCCAGCCGTTGCCGACTTATGAGACACTGAATAAAATTTACAATAAAAATAATTTACGTTGTTTAAACATACAATATACTAGCTTTGCTAGCATGTAAACATTGCAATCACACATAATTAAACAATATTTTGCTAAATTTGTTGAATTTTCAAAAGAAGGATGCAATGATGACATGTAAGTGAAAACATCATATCTTAAATCATTATACAATGGACAATCTATTAGAAAGTGTATTTCATTTTCAACTTCCTGCATATCACACATTAAACAAATTCTGTCATGAAGGTCTAATTTGGGATTATATCTTCCAGTTTCTACCCTCAGAGGTAATACACCACACCTAAGTTTTGCCAGAGCTTGTCTGTAAATCCTAGGTAAATACATCTCAACATATTCCTCGGTATGAAAACGAGATTTATGGAGTCTATAACTTCTAAGTTTATTACCATTTTCTTTGTTTTTATTGTCATTCCATAAGTTTATATGCCAATCAATTTGATGTTTATCGATAAGTTTCTTTTGAAAACTTTTAATCTTGGCCTTAGTACCATGGATTTGTGTACATTCTTTATCAGTGAAATCTGTTAAGCCATTTTGATCAAAAATCTTAATGACCTGGTATTCCCAGGATTTTCTTACATTTTTGGACCAAGTAAATATCTTTTTAGTAACACGGGAATTATTCATATTTGTAAGTCTACACCACTGACGAAAGGTTTCCTTAAGTTGAACGCTATAAAATGAAGGCCATCCAATATCGCCATTTACAGCATCATTTGGTGTGTACTTTCCAACACCTAGGAAGAAACGGGCTGCCTTATTTTGAACATTATTTAGCAGTCCACGTGGTTTATCTCCCCAAATACCAGATCCATATGTCATAATTGGTAAAACAAGTGAATTATAAAGTTTTGTGAAAACATCAAAGGTAAAACCTCCCTTATGGTAAAATTTAGCAATAATGACTCCAAGAGCTCTGCTAGCAGAGGCTGCTAATGTTTCAATTGCCTTTTTAAAAGTAAGGTGCTCATCTAAATACAAACCTAGGTATTGGTATTCATTTACAGAGGATATTGTGTTCAATCCACAGAGAAAAACAAATTTTGATTGTACAATATTTTTGGGGCGAAAATGTAAAACCTGGGTTTTTTCAGTATTGATTTGAATTCGCCAATTATTGCACCATTCATTTAATTTATCTAACATTGTCTGAAGATCAAACTCATTTGCAGCAATTAAAGCGATGTCATCAGCATATAAGAGTAAACTAATATTTTCATTCAAACCATATTTTACACCAAGCCCTAAATTTTTAATCTCAGTATTAGATTAAACTTCTTATGCAATAACCCTTTGAACAAACAATTAGCGCATCATTAATATGATCTAGAAACACACTAAGCACATTAATGTGATGTTGATAGACAATTGATGATATTAAATTAAACTTCTTATGCAATAACCCTTTGAACAAACAATTAGCGCATCATTAATATGATCTAGAAAAACACTAAGCACATTAATGTGATGTTAATAGACAAGTGATGATATTAGATTAAACTTCTTATACAATAACCCTTTGAACAAACAATTAGCGCATCATTAATATGATCTAGAAAAACACTAAGCACATTAATGTGATGTTAATAGACAATTGATGATATAAGATTAAACTTCTTATGCAATAACCCTTTGAACAAACAATTAGTGCATTATTAACATGATCTAGAAAAACATTAGGCACATTAATTCGATGTTAATGGACAATTGATGATATCAGATTACATCTGGGTACGTTAAGTAATGTTGATAGACTAACTCAATAATAACACATAGTAATTTCACTTTCTTGTAATAATAGTCCCCCTCCCCCCTTCCTCATACATCGATATGTACTAATATATTGGAAATCGAATCAGCTTTGTGTTCAATCTAGTTTAACATACAAACAGTCACATAAACATCTTAAGTATATGCCAGCTATACTGCAGTGCATGGTTGTACAAATACACACTATAGTTAATTCAAAGTGAACTGTGTAGGATCAATATAAATATAGCCTTAAGCTATCAGCCAATCAGAATGCATTATCAACAACGTAGTATAAACGTTGTATAAAGTACCGATATCAGGCTGTAGTATACTGCAATCAGCTTAAATACGCTAATATCCCAAACACCATATTGTCGATGCTTTAGTTTAAACGTTGTATATATATTAAGAGCGTTTGGCACTAATAATGTACTTGCTTCGGCAGTACATATACTAAAATTGGAACGATACAGAGAAGATTAGCATGGCCCCTGCGCAAGGATGACACGCAAATTCGTGAAGCGTTCCATATTTTTTTATTCACGATACTCAAAATTTCAAATATATTCATTTTACATGAAGAATATGGTCTAAAATGACCAAAACAGTACATAAATTGTTAAAACAACATTATTAATCTTTGATTAATTATTGTTAATCATTATTGATTAATAATTATTGATTAATTAATAAACCACACCTGGTTAAATTAAAAATACTTTTCTTTTCTGTTCATTTTTAACTTATTCTTTTCAAAAATAGAGCTTTGCCTATAAAAGAAAATGTGAAATATGATTTGACAAAGTAGTTAGCTTTGATTGCATGTTTTTAAAATAAGTTTTTTGCATAATGATTATTGCATAATTATTACATAAAAATCTGAATGTGACATTTCAGTCATAATCATGTAAATTGCTTGCTCATGGTTTAGTTTAAACTGAGAAAAAAGAATTTTAATTTGATCTGCTAAAAGTTTAATCTAAAGTAATGCAACTCATGTTACATGTTAATGACATGCTAATGGTCTACTAGTTCAAAGAAGTCTGAAAGAAGATTACATAAAAGATTAAATCTGATCTCATAAAATTGTTCAGTTTACTCTAAAGTAATGCTACTCATGTTTTCTAGTGCATGTTAATTACATGTTAATGACAGGCTAATGGTTTAGTTCAAAGAAGTCTGAAAGGAGATTTCATAAGAGATTAAATCTGATCTCATAAAATTGTTAAGTTTAATCTAAAGTAAACCAACTCATGTTTTCTAGTGCATGTTAATTACATGTTAATGACAGGCTAATGGTTTAGTTCAAAGAAGTCTGAAAGGAGATTTCATAAGAGATTAAATCTGATCTAATCTAATCAAATGTAATTCAACTTATTTTCTAGAGTATGTTAAATATTGCATGCTAACTCAAGACCGATATTAAAGTGCATATATCTCATGATATATCGCATTATCCTCTTAAACATTGGGCTGTAACGACCTAACCTTGTTCTCGTTTCAAAAAGAAGATCAAGATGTCCTGATATTGTTGCCTGACATACTTGTCAGTTATCAATACAGTATTTTATTGCTTTTAACCATGTGCGTGCACAGTTCCAAGGCCTTTTCTCATAACTGTGTCAAATCCCAGGCCAATTCATTTTCATTTTGCATTGCAAGTCAGTGAACCAGGACATAAAAGATGAATCAAATTATTTTCAAAATTGTGAAAAGAAAAGAGTCATGAATCATACTCTGAAAATGATTAATTATCTTTTATAGAAACAGTTTGAACACTCTCATCATGCACTTTGTTGGCATTGAAGAATAATGTATTTATTGTGAGAATAATATGTGAGGAAATGATAGCTGAATGTTTCTAATAATAACTGTAGCAAGTACAATGGTTTATATCAAAATGGAATCACTGAAACTTTTGAAATTGTAGTTTTACAAGGAAGCGTTTTAAGTACATTTTTGTTCAATCACTTCATAGATGACTAGAGATGATATTGTACTTGTTTCAGAGTCACATGACTAATAGTCAACACCCTTAAGACAAAGGTACTCATTTTTAATTCTAAAGGTTCAGATCCTTTCACTTTTAGTGATCAAGAAATTGAACATGCAAATAAATATAAATATTACTAGGTGTAATTCTTACTGATATCAATACTGCTTATCCTAAAGAACAATCACAAAAGGCAATATTCAAAATCAAACAACAGTATAAGAAATTCAATGATGTACCACCTGATGTTGCTCTTCACCTTTTTGACTCATTAGTCAGTGAGTCCAAAACTATGTTATGGCTTTGAGATTTGGTATGATAAGAAGCAGATGAAATCAATTGAAACAATGCCCTTGTCCTTTTTAAAATCTATTCTAGGTGTCAAAACTCAAACAGCTAATCCTGCAGTATATGGCGACCTTGGTAGATTTCCTTTATCTATCAAAATTGAATTATCTATGATAAAATACTGGTTAAGACTTATAAAACTACCAGCATCTAATATTTTAAAGCAAGCTTATTTATATGGTCAAGAAAAACATGAATTAGCTTTTAAAACTTGGTTATCATAAATTATACAAAGCATTCTCAACACAGGCAAATATTTTTCAGTAAAATTCCTGAAGTATTACCAAAATTCGATCTGAATAGTAACAATCTATTTATAAATATAATTTCTAATGATAATTTATATATCACTCATTTAACAATTTAGAATAATCAGCATAATTTGTGCATCACACTTAAAAATATTTTGCCTTTCTTGTATGCTGTAAATATATCAAATCATGTATATTTTTATAAAGATGTAGTTTTAGTTAGTAGTTTAGTAGTAGATAGTAGTTTTTGTGAGTAGTTTATGACTAATATAATGATAAAAGATGTCAATAAAGTTATATATATATGAAACTATGAACCATGAACAAACTATTACTTCAGATCCCTACTAGCATTGAAATTATAAAGCCCATGCAGTTGTCTTTTATATTTTAAAACATTTGAATTATATTTTACAAAGTAACAATGTTTTTTATTCAAATGAAGATATGTAAATATCCTTGTCTTTCCTTATCATGTTAATGGCACAATGACTCTGAGATGTTTTGTTTTATGAATTTTTTCATGTTTCATATATAAAGTATTTTCATTGTACATGCGGGTACAATTTGTTGTATCTTATGTATATTTTGTATTGTACTTGCAAGTATATACAATTTGTTGTAGACTATCTTATATGTATATTTTCATTGTATTTGCAGGTACAATTTGTTGTATCTGCAGCTTCCCATTCCTCTTCAATGCGTGTATTACGTGTGAACATTCCGCCATGTGGGCCCAGTTTATTTATTACTCCCCATTTGTTGTCATTTTCCAATTTGGATGGGCATCAACACAAATATCCCATCTCTCTCTCATACCAGATCTGACCTCTAACTCACAGGAGAGAGTTGAACTAAATGCAATTAGGTAGGATATGATAATTTCTTAAAGATTTAAAATATGATCTTCCGTATGGATTAAATTAAATGTTTGATTTAGACTCATGGCTTAATTATTTTTCAACTGTGGATATTTTTTTTTAATTTTTAAATTTCATGTGATAGTTGAATATGATAAGAGGATGCAAGTCACATGACCCCTTTAATGTAGGCTTGTATCTATGTAGAGGCAGTCGAGGCATTCGAGGCATCTGCCTCAGTTAGAATTCTTGCCTCAGATACTTTACCTTATCAAAATGTCTTCCATTTCTCACTTTAATTTGAACATGTATAACAATAGTCTCATCCAGTATGTATAATTTATTTACCTCTTAAATAAAATACATTCATATAATCAACCTATTTGTAATGACATTTAAGTAACAGATAATTAAAACATATATTTGTGTTACATGATATCATAAAGAGGGTAATTAAACTGGGGCATCCATGGGCGTAACGCTATTTTTCTAAGTAGTATGCCACCACCACAGGAACAAGAGTTGAGTGAATCAAAAAACTAGCAATCAGGGGGTGTGGGGGCTCTCCCCCAGGAAAATTATGAAATTTGGTTGTATTTGGAGCGAATTTGCAACCATCTGGTACGCCTGTGCGTACCCAGCATACCGGGCGCTACGCCCATGGCATCTATTGGTTGTGATGTTATTTTTAAAGTTCCGGAGTATGTTTGTAGGTATGCATTCACTGTGATCTCCAACCTGTTGGTGTATCTCATCACATGGTTGATGTTGGACATCCACCAAACAGACAGTGCTAAGGGTGACGGGAATGGAGACGGAACCTTGTCAATTCAAGACACACCAAAATTTAGGGTAAGTCAGTTATTGTAGCCAATTCAATCCATTCTACTTGATGTGTGAATATATCACCATGCAACTCGTAAAAAGATCATCATGCAACTTCCAAATAGATCATTGGACAACTCTCAAAAATAAAGAAATTAGACCAATTTGATTGGCCCTTTGATGTTTCAGAGAGTTTTTGAGGAAATGATAATGGGAGCACAAAGAAAACAGAAAAACAATACTTTGATATTAAAATCGTATAAAACAGCTATATATAGAGCTGAAACGGAAAAATGCCACAAAAGGCCATTAATACCATAAATCCATAGATATTTCACTCAAATAATAAATGTTCCTGAGGATTTGACATCAATTGATATATGATAACCAATAGAAATGTTCATGAATATTGCAGAGAAAAATGATATGATCAAGATCTTTTTTTACGAACTCAACCCCTATTTTAAGAAATGAGTCAAGATCATAATGACTATGATGTTGTTGTTTTTTATTACTTTTTAAAATCATAATGACTGTGATTTATGCTTTTTAAATATGTAGCTCAGGAAGTCTTTTCAAGTAAGTGGCATGCTTGTTTACAACTTTGCATGCTTGTTTTCAAATCTTTTAATATACATAACATTTTATACTTATATACCTAGTGTGTTAAGACTTCCGCATTGAGTTGATGTTAGTTGTGAATAAGTATTGTAAGCTTTGCTTCCTTTTTCGACAGCATTATGTAATTAGTGGGAAATTGTGGATTATTTGAGCACATTGCAGTAGCTCATCATTGTGTAGTGGCTTAATAGTCTCGATAATGTCTCAGCTGTCTGTCTGTCTGTCTGTCTGTCTGTCTGTCTGTCTGTCTGTCTGTCTGTCTGTCTGTCTGTCTGTTTGAGAAAGAATTTTCAATGTGGTTGCTCAGTTTAAAATGGCTGCAATTTTTGTTTAAAATGTAATCTGTTTTAGATGGATTTTTCAATATGAACACTCAATACAAAATACAGCCATCCTTTATCCTAAATAAGAATGCTTTATAATGTAGAGTGAATTGATAAAATATATTACAATTACATGTTTTGTTTGCCCATGTAATGGCTGATTTCTAATAATGCTTTAAGGTGACAGTAACTCATTATTTTACAAAGAAACTTGCTTCTTTAATTATCCCAACGAATGAAGTTCGGTAGGGATATAGTGAAGCCCTCCGTCCGTCCGTCCGTCCGTCAGTCAGTCAGTCGGTCCGTTCGGAAGATAACTCAAATATTAGTTGACGGATTTTCTTCATATTTGGTGGAAAGATGTATATTGATGAATAGTTTTACGCAAAAAAAATTTTTCCAAGATGGCCGCCGCTTTAAAAATGACGTCGTCTTGTGCTGTTGGGCGGGCGGGCGTGCGGGTATGCGGGCGGGCGGGCGGGACATAAACCAAATCTTGTCATCAAATTTCCAGGATAACTGCTTACCTGTTCAACTTGAAATTTTTACAGATGCAAGAGCAGACTAGTACCAAGATCTGATTAGGTTTAGGGCATGCTGGGTAAACTACGTGGCGGCCATTTTGAATTTTTCAACAAATCTTGTCATCAAAATTCCAGGAAAACCACTTATCCGTTCAACTTGAAATTTTTACAGATGCAAGAGCAGACTATTGCCAAGATCTGATTAGGTTTTGGGTATGCTGGCTGAATTACATGGTGGCCGTTTTGAATTTTTCAATTTGGCGGCCATTTTGAATTTTTCAACTTGCTCCAAATTGATCAAATTTTTTTTTAAAAACATCTACAAGTTCTCAGAAGTTCAAATCTGACCTTAGATTTCAGATTTGACCTTTCGTTCACCTTCAGTGACCTTGAAAAGGTAAAAAAAGTTGATTTTCTAAATTGATATTTTGGATTTGAATTTAGGTCAGCTTAATTACAAAACACCAACTGAGGTCTGAAAAAGTTAAATTTTCAAGGTCGAAGGTCAAGGTCATTAAACTAGGTCACAAATGATGTTATCCAAGTTTCTCAAAGTTTGAGACTACAAATCAATTCTTGTCATCAAAATTCCAAGAAAACCGCTAACCTGTTCAACTTGAAATTTTTACACATGCAATAGCAGACTGGTGCCAAGATCTGATTAGGTTTAGGGCATGCTGGGTAAACTAAGTGGCGGCCATTTTGAATTTTTCAACAAATCTTGTCATCAAAATTCCAGGAAAACCACTTATCCGTTCAACTTGAAATTTTTACAGATGCAAGAGCAGACTTTTGCCAAGATCTGATTAGGTTTTGGGTATGCTGGCTGAATTACATGGTGGCCATTTTGAATTTTTCAATTTGGCGGCCATTTTGAATTTTTCAACTTGCTCCAAATTGACCAAATTTTTTTTTAAAAACATCTACAAGTACTCAGAAGTTCAAATCTGACCTTAGGTTTCAGATTTGACCTTTCATTCACCTTCAGTGACCTTGAAAAGGTCAAAAAAGTTGATTGTCTAAATTGATATTTTGGATTTAAATTTAGGTCAGCTTAATTACAAAACACCTACTGAGGTCTGAAAAAGTTAAATTTTCAAGGTCGAAAGTCATCAAATTAGGTCACAAACAATGTTATCTAAATTTTCCCAAAGTTCAAGACTACAAATAAATTCTTGTCATCAGAATTGCAGGAAAACCGCTAACCTTGTCAACTTGAAATGTTTACAGATGCAAGAGCAGACTAAGTGCCAAGGTCTGATTAGGTTTTGGCCATGCTGGGTAAATTGCATGGTGGCCAGTTTGCTCTTCAAAGTGCGATATTTATCACTGTGTGTCTTGTTCATTCTAAACCAAAGTAATTAATATTATTGTTTGAAATTTTGGTAGTATATTCGCAACATCTATCTATTTCACATATATTCCGTGTTTTTCATCCTGACCCCCAGGGGCCGTGTATGGGGGTCAGGAAAACAACAAATTTTCGCTAATTTTTAGATCTTTCTGAAGTATAGCCTTATTATACTCAAATGAAAGGCAATTAAGAGTAGATTGCAAATATTGTATCTTTTTTCTGATTCGAGCCTCGTAAAATTCAAAATGGCCGTCTAATGTACGATTTCGCAATAATTTTTCAATCCCTTCAAAGTATGGCTATATAATACTCAAATTGAAGGAATTTTGGAGTAGATCACAATTATGGTATTATTTGTCAGATTTGTACCTCAGAAAATTCAAAATGGATTTTTTTCAAGATGGCCGCCGCTTTTAAAAATGACGGGACTTTTTCGCAAAAATCGTAAATTTTTCATTCTAAACAAAAGTAATTAATATTATTGTTTGAAATTTTGGTATTGTATTCGCAACATCTATGTCTTTCACATATATTCCATGTTTTTCATCCTGACCCCCAGGGGCCTGTGTATGGGGGGTCAGGAAAACAGAAATTTTTACATCTTTCTGAAGTATAGCTTTATTATACTCAAATGAAAGGCAATTAAGAGTAGATTGCAAATATTGTATCTTTTTTCTGATTCGAGCCTCGTAAAATTCAAAATGGATGTCTAATGTACGATTTCGCAATAACTTTTCGATCCCTTCAACGGATGGCTATATATTACTTAAATTGAAGGAATTTTGGAGTAGATCACAATACACTGTATTATTTTTCAGATTTGTACCTCAGAAAATTCAAAATGGCTAATTTGCAGGAATTCGCAATTCTAAAATCTAAATTTTTCAATTTTAACCAAAGTAATGAGTATAATTGATTGGAATTTCGGTAATTGATAATTTGTTCGTTGGGATTTGCTACTCCGCGGAGTTGCCATTATCTAGTTAAAATTCCTCTTACTATTGGAACCTGGTAGGTCATAAATCTGGTATTTTGGAATTGGTTTAGTTAAGATATATTAGTTTTGGTCATGCCCAGAAGGGTCATTTACTAACCTCCCTCTTCACACCTTAATTCTATCCAGGAAAATTCTAACCTGCCTTTTCTTAAGATATTTTCTATTTTGTGCAGCCATTGATGGTTTTAGCCATAAGGAGGTTGACACTTTGATAATAACATTTGAGGTAACAGAGGGAATATGGACTGATTGATGTGCCTCATTCACTCAAAAATGTGGACTACATGTTACTTTTGAAAAAAGTTACAAGGAATTTGATGAATGTAGACATGTATAAGTAAACATGTGTTACTGTTAAACCCCAACCTGTGCTAGTGTGCTAACATTGGTGTGTTTGCCCGGATTCATAGGATGTGCTGTCAGTCATCTTGGTGGAAGTAGAAACATCATCAATTATAAAACTGTGATATATAAATGTACATGTAGGAGAAACTCATTCACATATTTATAATATTCTGGTCTTAACTCTTCTAGCTTTAGCGCTGATTATTCTATATTTATTTTACATTTCTTGCTTCATCTCTTAACTATTTAATGTAGCAATATTGAAATCCCACATGTAGAAAAGGCATCTGAATTTGAATCCATGACTATTCTGAATGCATGTCCAAAAACTAGATTTGCCTTTTAACCTTCAACTTGGTCCAATTTCTGCATCCAATCTCTTCATTTACAAGGTGGCCCCAAAGAAGGTTTACAGTTCTTCAACAATCTGTAAATGGTAAATATGAACTTACTTTTGGGCCACTCAGTATTTTGTTTATTTTTCAGATTTTTAAAGACTTTTATGAAAATATCACTTAAAATAGAAGATTTTATTAGATGTATACTACAATAAAAGAGCTGGTCAGGCACTCAATAAAGTTTCAAACTTTTAAATTATTTTTGTTGATTTTCAGGATATCACATTTATCGTGGTAGGATTGGGTGCAGTATTCAGCATTATCTTTCATATTGGGGTCAAGGAGCGCAAGCATGAATTTGAGGGATCTGAAGAAGACAAGAAGTCTGTTTGTAATACACCTCATATCTCCTCTACCTTCGAGGATTCTGATGAGGAGAAAAGACCTCTTATAAGACAGCTTAAAATTAAAAAGTGTTTAACTGTCACAGATTGGCTCAAACAGCGACAGTTTTATCAGGTATCAAATAACTGCTTGAGTTATATTCTAATATATTACCTTTTGTGGTATTTTATGTACTTTTTTATTTATTTTGTATGAGCATTTAAATTTTGGATGAACCAATTAAATTGTGTGTGTGTGAGGGGGAGGTGGGGGGTCTGATGAGGGTGCTAGATCTGTTAAATGCTGTCATTTCAAGATGCTATAATTTGATTGATTATGTTCTCTTAATTTGTTCTAGTCTATTAAACTTCAAAAATTCTTCAAAATTCCTTTTTGGATGTAGACAGAGTATGATGCCTTGAAATGCTTATTTCACTAATATATTGTATCAATTCTATTGTTTCAGATCGGTCTTCTCTACATGTTTACAAGACTGGTAGTGAATATATCCCAAATCTACTTGCCTATGTACCTGACAGACACCCTGAGCTTGAAGAAACATTTTATTGCCATTATTCCCCTGATTGTATATATCAGCGGGTTTATTGCTTCATTTCTCATGAAGCCTGTTAATTACTTAGTTGGGTCTAAGGTAAGTGCATGTATTCATTTTTATGCATAAAAGGGAACACCATCCTAATTCTGTGAAATTTGATGTAAAGGACTTATTAATTTATATCATGTTATGGAACTTGCAAAAATTATACTTGATGTATATTAGGTTACCTATATGCTGCGGATTCAAAGAATAACATTGTATTTCAGGGTGCCTATATGATTGGAATTCAATGAATAACATTGTATTTCAGGTTTCCTATATGATGGGGATTCAATGAATAACATTGTATTTCAGGTTGCCTATATGATGGGTATTCAAAGAATAACATTGTATTTCAGGTTGCCTATATGGTGGCGATTCAATGAATAACATTGTATTTCAGGTTGCCTATATGATGGGTATTCAAAGAATAACATTGTATTTCAGGGTGCCTATATGATGGGTATGCAAAGAATAATATTGTATTTCAGGTTGCCTATATGCTGGGGATTCAATGAATAACATTGTATTTCAGGTTGCCTATATGATGGGGATTCAAAAAATAACATTGTATTTCAGGTTGCCTATATGATGGGGATTCAAAGAATAACATTGTATTTCAGGTTGCCTATATGTTTGGGATTCAATGAATAACATTATATTTCAGGTTGCCTATATGATGGGGATTCAAAGAATAACATTGTATTTCAGGTTGCCTTTATGATGGGGATTCAATGAACAACATTGTATTTCAGGGTGCCTATATGATGGGGATTCAATGAATAACATTATATTTCAGGTTGCCTATATGATGGGGATTCAAAGAATAACATTATATTTCAGGTTGCCTATATGATGGGGATTCAGAGAATAACATTGTATTTCAGGTTGCATATATGCTGGGGATTCAATGAATAACATTATGTTTCAGGTTGCCTATATGATGGGGATTCAAAGAATAACATTATATTTCAGGTTGCATATATGATGGGGATTCAATGAATAACATTGTATTTCTGGGTGCCTATATTATGGGGATTCAATGAATAACATTGTATTTCAGGTTGCCTATATGATGGGGATTCAATAAATAACATTGTATTTCAGGTTGCCTATATGATGGGTATTCAAAGAATAACATTGTATTTCAGTTTGCCTATATGATGGGGATACAATGAATAACGTTGTATTTCAGGGTGCCTATATGATTGGAATTCAATGAATAACATTGCATTTCAGGGTGCCTATATGCTGGGGGTTATCTGTGTGGTAGGGAGCTGTGTTGGATTCTGGTTCATACGGACACAGTTCAATCTAATAGTGTTTGCCCCTGCTGTATTCCTGGGAGCTGGGGGATCAACTATCCTGGTCACATCTCTCTCTATGACATCAGATCTTATTGGAGAGAATATGGTAAGTTGGATATTGCTGTTTTTCAAGGATGTTAATTTCTCTGTTTTTGTGTGGTTCTTTTAATTAACCCCCCTAAATTATCCTCAAATTCTGTTAAATGTACCTTTTTGGATTCAGGTTTAGTTGTCAATATGTACATCTAAATTTCAGGGAAGTGGAGCATTTGTTTACGGAGCTATGAGTTTCACAGATAAATTGTCAAATGGAGTAGCTGTGCTACTTATACAGAAGCTGCATCCATGTGGGTAAGAAAATGTTTTTTGGTGTACACTGCATCATCCACAGTCTGTTTTTACAATTACTCTGTGTAATGGTCTTCTCTAACTACATGCTCCTAAAAGTTTTCAACTCCCATTTTGTGTGACTTTCATATTTATTATTATTTACCTGGAAACTATTTGAAAATATATAGAAATAAGCAGGACAAATAGGCAAATGAACGTATTTAGCACGTATTTAGCATGTGTTCCTTCCAGTTCGCTGCTTGGTTGAGAAAAGGTCAGCTTGATAGATTTGAAATGATTTTTTACCCAGGTTATCACGGGCACTGATCGTCGGGGCAGGGTTGCTAAACTGTAATATAGTCTATGCTAGGTAGAGGATAGTTTATAACTAGACTCTGCGCGCAGAGTACAGCTAACCCCAACTCATCACTATATTTGCTGCCCTTTTAATACATGGCTTGAATATTTGCAGGGACCTTGTAGCATGCTGTGCCGCCTGTGAGTGGTACTACAGGGATATACTATGTTTGGTGCCTGGAGGTTGCGCTGTTTTGGCATTTATAGTATTAATCACATTACTGCCATTTACCATTGGAAAGCTAAATGTAAAAGGTAAGAAATTTTGCGATAAATTACACTATTCATTAATGTTAAAGCTTTTTAACTTGGAATATTATCTAACAATTTGATTTAAGGAATCCTGACTCTTCACACAGATAATTAAGTTTCACGGTTTTTAGTATCGTCTGGGCTTTCAATGGTGACAGTTTCTCATTAGAGACTGTATACAGGGCGTATCAAAAAAAACGCAACAAGTAGTTATCTCGTAAAATCACAAAACTAGTGATGACTACATCAATTTCATTTAATGTACCATAAAGCCATGTCTCTCCTCTTTGCAATGATATGTCATTCATTCACATGTGGTAATGATTGGGTGAGAAATCCTTCCATTTGCACAGTGGGTCAAAATCGGCTCTGCACCAAGTTTTAGATATCGAAAAAATAAGTGCAAGGGCTAAGTGCCAATGGAAGTTCTCCTGACTTGAATTCTTGTGACTTTTTCTTTTGGAGCTATCTCGGGAGCATCTGTGCTAACAATTCCTCCACCAGATATTGCAAAACCTCGAGAAAGATTTGCCCATGGGCTGCTTTTCTTTGCTTTAACCCACACATGATTCAGGGCTGAACCATGCATGACGTGGACAGATGAGCGCATCTTTATGTGCAAGGAAGTGGTGGCAATTTGGAGGGGTATAAGATGTATTCTTGCAAGAGTATGAGTATGAACACTTTACTGTCTGTGCCATACCTGCCACACCTTCTTCCAATAGCCCATATGCCCCTTGTACTGACTTTTGCAATGTTTTAAACTTGGGTCCGAGCTGAATTTTGCCCCACTTTGCAAAATTAATGATGATTCGGCCAGAGATGATTCCCTGTGAATGAATGATATCCCATTGCAAAGAGGAGTAATTTGGCTTTTTGGTACATTGAATTAAAAGGATGCAGTCAGCATTGGTTTTATGTTTCGTCCAAAATTGCATCGGGCTCCGTACACTGACTTTTGCAATGTTTATAACTTGGCCCGAAGCTAATTTTGGCCCACTTTGCAAATGGAATGATTACTCGCCCAACCGTGACCAAATATCAATGAATGATATATCATTGTAAAGAGGAGACACATGACTGTATAGTGCATTGAATGAAATCAATGCTGTTATCACTGGTTTTGTGCTTTTCCAAGATAACAATCTGTTGCGTTTTTTTTGATACGCACTGTAAATCGTTTTCCTTATTTTTGCACTTCATAATTATTATAACATTACAGAAGAGGATTGTCTGACGAGACAAACTTAACTGGTGCTGATCTCAGCCTGCTACCTTGCTACCTTATTGTTAGTATGAAGTAGCATAGACAGACAGATAGTATAATATAGCATAGACAGATAGATAGACATGATCATCTTGATTAAAAGCTATCAGATCATTTTTTATCCCACCGAACGAAGTTTGAGGGGGATATAGAGAAGCCGTCCATCCGTCCGGGCGATAACTCCAATACCGGTTGACGGATTTGGTTCAAATTTTATAGGCTTATGCCTTATGAGTGTAGGACCTCTGCTAGAGAAGGAATTTTCAATATGGCCGCTCAATTCAAAATGGCTGCCATTTTTCGTAAAAAATGTAATTGTTGATAACTCAAATACAAGTTGACAGATTTGGTTCAAATTTTATATGCTGATGCCTAGGGACAAAGGAGTTTCGCACAAAAAGAGATTTTCAAGATGACCGCTTAATTTCAAAATGGCGGCCATTTTTCGTAAAAATATATAATCTTTGATAACTCAAATACCAGTGAACAGATTTGGTTCAAATTTTATATGCTTATGCCTAGGGACACAGTAGCTCTGTTCAAGAAATAATTTTCAAGATGGCGAATGAATTTCAAGATGGCGGCCAATTTTCGTAAAAAACGTAATATTTGATTACTCATATACCAGTGAACGGATTTGGTTCAAATGTTATATGATGATGCCTAGGGACACAGTTGCTATGTTCAAGATGGCCGCTTTATTTCAAAATGACGGCAATTTTTCGTTAAAAAAACATAATCTTTGATAACTCAAATACCAGTGAACGGATTTGGTTCAAATTTTATATGATGATGGCTAGGGACACAGTTGCTTTGTTCAAAAGTGAATTTTCAAGATGGCCACTGAATTTCAAAATGGTGGCCATTTTTCGTAAAAAAAACATAAAATTTTGATAACACTAATATCAGCGAACGGATTTGTTTTAAATTTTATATGATAATGCCTAGGGACACAGGAGCTCTGTTCAAGGAAGAATTTTCAAAATGGCAGCTGAATTTCAAAATGGTTGCCATTTTTCTTAATTCAAATTTTATACGCTGATACCTAGGGAAACTATAGCTCTCAGAAAGATTTCCAAAATGACTGCAGAATTTCAAATGGCCGCCATTTTTAGTAAAAAAGAATGTAATCTTTGATAACTCAAATTTTAATTTATGGATATGGTTTACATTTTATATGTTGATGCTTAGGGACAAACAAGCTCTGCTCAAGAAGGAATTTTCAAGATGGCCACTAATAATCTAAATATGTTTTATTCGGTGGGATTTGCTACTCCGTGGAGTTGCTGTTTTTCTAGTTACTCTCTGTACTATTAATTTAGAGGGGTATTTTGTGTGGATTTTGAACTAACAGATCAAATTTCAGGTTTCTTTAGTATTAAAGGGATATTCCTTGTCAGACTATTTCTCTCCTTAAATGGTATCTATAACCATATCGGGTGTCCATTAAAAAGTGAACCACTTTTTGAGTATTTTCTCAACATTAGGTGAATTGAATTCTTTGAAAATTTTTACTCAATAACTGTAGGGTATCTCTAAGAAGTCGGCAAAATATGTCAGAGATCAACTGCAATTTATGTGAGTATTGTTCAATGGAAAACAGCATGTCAAAATATCCAATATCAATGGTAAAGTCACAAATATGATGAAGATTTCTTTGTGCAGCTCTGATATTGGATTTTTTGAGATGCTGTTTTGAATTTGTCAGTGCTCACATAATATGTAACCGTAGTCTCAATTCAATTTTCAATTTTTTGAATTCAATTCAATTTATTCATTCAAAATTACCTCATACAATATTTCATCAATAACATGAAAAAGACACCTTTAAGACTTGCTGATGATACGCTAAGGCTACTCTACTTTTTGATGTATTTGGTAAATCTATTGAGAAAATATACGTCAAAAAGCGATTCCCCTTTTTTTGGACACCTGATATAAACTTTCTATATTTTGCAAAACACAGGAAAATATTTTGATATGGTCAATATTGATCATTTAAAGTGTTGTTATTCCTCCCTTTTCTTACCCCAATGCTGTAAGCAAATTTAAGAGTCAATGAAAATTACACACTGCTCAAAGTTTTCAAATTCCAATTGTTATTGTTGGTTGAAGAACACTGTTTTATCATTTTAATTTGTAGTGTATATCTATATTTCAATTTTGATGACATCATTTCCGGTGTGAAATATAAATGATAGCCTACCGGAAATAAGCACTACATTTTGAAATGATCAATATTGGCCATATAAAAACATTTTCCATGTTTTGCTAAATATGAAAAGTATAAATATGATTATAGCTGCCATATCAGGATAGAAATGGTCTAGCAAGGACTATTCCTTTAAATACACATCTACTTGGACCAGGAGTTGTTTGTACTTTGAAACTTACTTACATATCATTTTTGTGACACCAACACAAGTGGTAACATACTACTACTTGTTCAGTTTTTGTAGTATTAATAGCATGTCCACATAGATCAAGGGTTTATGTAGTTTGTAAACTAACATCAGTTATCACTTTCTGTTGTATTGAATATATTGCCACAGGCATCTTGGAACTTGTGGTTTGTAAACTAACATTATTTTATGGTTTGTAAACTAACATTTCAGTTTTCAGTTTCTGTGGTATTAAATATATTGCCACAGAGATCTTAGGACTTGTGTGGTTTGTAAAATAACATATCATTTTTCAGTTTTTGTAGTATATATATATATATATTGCTGCGGGACCTTGAGACTTGTGATATGAAACTTACTAACATATCAGTTTTCAATTTCTGTAGTATTAATCTTGGAACTTGAGGTTTGTAAACTAACATATTGTGTGGTTTGTAAACTCACATATCAGTTTTCAGTTACTGTAGTATTGGAATTGAATTTAATGCCACAGGGTTTGTAAGCCAGTAGATTATTTTTAGATGCTTTAGAATGAGATAGTTAGTTATAAATGATAAATTGTTAACAATTGTGTTAGGGATATAGCTTGACCTTTTTCTAAAAGAAAATTGAAAATCTTGGAAATCTGGAAGCAATAATTTTTAAGTTTGTTAAAGTTGGTTACATGGTGGATAGATCATGTGAATATTTGGCTTGATGCTGCTTGTTGAACATGTTACATACAGGCTTTGCTTGGTTTGGTGAAATATCCAAATTATTAAAACAAAACTTCAATTTTATTACAAGAAACAATGCAAGAATGAAACATATAGTAAACACTTCTAACATTCAGATTATCAATACTAATTTTAAGCACAAGTTTATCAAGGATTTAATTGCCAGTTCACTCTTAGACTAATAGAACAATCAAAAGCTTTGAAATCCTTTAATGTAGCTCATAACCCATGATGTGTGAACACCTGTCAAGAGACAAGTCAAAAGTAAATTCTCCACTTTTCAGATATGATAGATGGAGTAGGTATAACATGTTGCATAATTTTATTTGCTATGATATGATTTTCAGGTACTAATCTACAAGAAAATGACACCCCTAAAGATAGAGCCTTGAAGAACCCCATTGAAAATGATGGTATTGTCCAAACATGTGAGAATCATTCTGATGTCCCTGAAGTGTTGTAATGGTGAATGATGTGGCCAATAAACACAAGTAATGTTACAGTAAACACCTATATTGAATTACATTGTGCAATAAACACTACTTCTAAACAGCATGGAGTAACAAACACTGCTGTTTACTGATTAATGCACACTACTGGTGAAAAGGATTGAGTAATAAAAACTTTTCTGAATAGTAGTAAATAGTGGGTAATAAACACTACTGTTCAATGGGATTGAGTTATAAACAATACTGTTGAGCAGGGTTGAGTAAATAACAGTAACATTGAGTGAGGCTGTCTAAACATGATGCCAGTAGAGTTTAGATACAGATACAGAAGTACAAGAAGAGAGGTCAAATGTCCACATCTGTGTCCAATGTTTTCCTTAAATACCCCTTATGGGTTCACACTGTCTTCATATAGCATTCCTATGGTTTTTTCAGCCCCACAAAAAATTCCATAATAACTATTAAGTAATACAGTGTAATAGGGAATTTGATAGAATTTTGATATTTTCATTGCCAAACATCATATTTTTTCTTTGTAATACAAAACTATCACATAAAATACCATTTTGAACCACAGTAGTGTAAATCCGGAACCATCAGGTTCAATATAATAGCCTTACTGTAAGAAAAAGAATATTTTACAAATCTTCCTATCTCATTTGGAATTATTTTTATAAGTACATGCATATGTGTCACCTTGTGTGAATATTTATGAAGAGAATATTTTGTATTAAGTAGTAAAGACTTGAACAATCTACGCAAGACTAAGCCTATAATCTTAGTGAACTTGAACACAGGCTGTATTTTTGATAGAATTTTGATATTTTCATTGCCAAACATCATATTTTTTCTTTGTAATACAAAACTATCACATAAAATACCATTTCTCAAAAATCGTATGTTAGCTTGATGTTTATAGATACACAAATTCAAAATTGATAACCAACTTTGAAAAACTATACCTATTTTAGATGCGCCATTAGGTAATATAAGTTATTGAATGATTTGAAGTGAAATACAGGATATATTCTGCTCGAGAAATTCCGTATTGGAACGAGACGAAGTGGAGTGCCAATACAAAATATCGAGACAGAATATATCCTGTATTGCACTTCAAATCATTCTATAACGTTTTTATCGTATGATCCTCTGTATTGCTACTGAGAATGTCCCCTCCATACCAATATTTTCTGTATTGCAACGGAGATGATCAATGCGGACAATCTCAGTAGCAATACAGATTGGTACAGCAAAAGAAATGACCAATCAGAAGGCTTCATTTTACAGATCATACGATAATTCAAATATGAGAATGGAGAATTACAAGGTAGTACAAATAATGTAATGTTTTTGGCTGTACAGTGAGTCATTCTGGTCTGAAGTTAATGCATTCAAGCTGTATATCCCAGAGTAACATGTAACTATAGAATAAAAAATAAAATGCTGCAATAAAAGTCAGATATTATGAATTGCTCAAAAATCGTATGTTAGCTTGATGTTTATAGATACACAAATTCAAAATTGATAACCAACTTTGAAAAACTATACCTATTTTAGATGTGCTTTTTGAAGATCAGAGTTACTTTTCTGAATATTTCAAAAATATGTTTTAATATAGTGATGAGAATTACTGCTTGTAGTCTGTCTTCTTCATGTTATCTCAAAATATTTCAAGAAAATCTCTTTAACATTGTTGTGAGAAGTCCTGAGAATGTATGCTCTTCAATTCACATACATATAGGTAATTATGCAATTTCCACAAAAGTCCTTTCTCTTCAATTTACATCTCGTTTTAATGAATTTAACATGGTTAAAATAAAACAATGTAAGTGGGTTTAAAATGAATAGAAATTTAGCATGAATATGATTTTAACATGTACACAAGTTTAACATTCATGCAAAATCATGTATATTAATTTAACTTATGCACAAATTAACATGTATAATATGAGTTTTACATGTGTACAAACTCAACATTTTTACAAATCTAATATGTACAGTATAGAAATTTTACTTCTTTACAAATTTAACATGTATGTATTAATATAACTCTAATATGTCTAAAATAATATTTATACTTTAATGTGTGTACAAATTTAATGTTTATATAAATTTAACATGTATACAAATTGTACACAGACTTAACATTTTCTCAAACGACCATGTGCAGTTGCCTATGGCAAGTGATTTTAGACAGATATATCTTTCACCATGAGTACTTTCTGGCCATAAATACAGTGGCTTTTATTAAAATAATATGTTTTCTTTCAAGTGAAGTCCCCATAATAGTAAAATATCAATCCAACTCTCTGAAAAATTATGGATTAGGGCCCCACCTTGGCACTTTTTGGAAAATGTTAGGCTTATTTTCTAAAAAGAGGATCTTGTTTTTCTCAATTTAAACATATCGAAAGTCTCCTCTACACTATATTAACAATTTCTGAAAAGGGGATGGGTATTGAAATGAGTTAAAGTTAAAAACCACATATCCCATGTTATTTTCCCATAGGGAAAACTTGTGCTATCCATTGTTTTCAGCATAATTTTGGTCTTTCAATACCATTCTATTTTTGAACATGTCTTAGACCCCTTGTTGAATAATGTTTTCATGCAATAAAAATCAGAAAAAGAAGATCCTCTTTTGAGTAAATATGTTCAATATTTTGAAAAAAATGTTGACATGGGGTCCCTATTCATAATTTTTCGAATTGTTTGATTTATATTTTTATCATCATGGGTACTTAACTTGAAAGAAAACATATTGTTTTAATAAACACAACTGTATTTATGGCCAGAAAGTACTCATGGTGAAAGATATGACCGTCTAAAATAACTTGCCATACTGCACGTGGTCTTTAAACATGGATAATATGAGTTTAACATGTGTACAAATTTAACATGTACAGGGTGTCCCAAAAGTATGGGGCCCCACCTAGGCAGACATACACCAATGTTCCCATAGTATGTGTCATATATCATTTTAAAGCTCATCCAAAGTTACATTGATTTGCCGAGTATCATGGTTCAACTCACAAATGGGAAAAAGTTACAGGCATTTCAAAACTTAGTGTTTGGCCAAAATTAAAGTTAAAATCCCTTAGCCAAGGGAGACGCGGCGACTTTTAATTTTGTGTAAAACTAAACTTTAATTTTGGTAAAACACTACATTTTGAAATGTGTGTAACTTTTTCCCGTTTGTGAGTTGAATCATGATACTTGGCAAATCAATGTAACTTTGGACAAGCTTTAAAATGATATATGATACATACAATGAGGACATTGGTGTATGTCTGCCTGGGGGGGTCATACTTTTGGGACACCCTGTATACAAAAATGTGTGTACAAATTTAATATTAATATAGATTTAACATGTACACAAATTTAACATGTACACAGATTTAAATGTTTACAAACTTAACATGTATACAAATCTTGTATGTACACTTTACATTTAAACTTGTTTACAAATTTAGCATGTATACAAGAACATTTATACAAAGGACGATTCTCGGTTTGGAGAACAGTCTCCTGAGCTAATAATTTTTTAATGAAAAATATAGAAATATTACCCAAATTAAACTATAAATATTCAAAAGAGGACATTTAAATCTACAAGATGTAAAATTTACAAATTGGTCTGAAGCAGGGATAACGTTCAATTTGACCGATTCAATAAAATACAAGTCTCGATTTGGGGAAAAAAGTTCATCAGTGTACTGTGCTAATATTTTTTCGCGAAAAATCTAGAAATATTACCCAAATTAAATTATGACTGTTCGGAAGTAGACATTCAAATCTATATTATGGAAAAAAATCAAATTTGTCCGAAGCAGGGATAATGCTCATTTAGATTGATGAACTTCGTTCTCCAAACCGAGAATCGTCCTTTAACATGTGTACTCTAAAACCTTTATTATATGAATTTAGCATGTATACAAAAACATGTTTATAATTCAGATTTAACATGTGTTCAAACTTTGCATGTATAGAAAGGACGAGTATTCTTTTCATGAAAAATATAATATATTTTTATGAAAAATCTAGAAATATCACCCAAATTAAATTATAACTATTCAAAAGAAGACATTCAAATCTATATTATGTAAAAAAAAATCAAATTTATATATATATATATTATATTTGAAGCAGGGATAACGCTCATGTAGAAAGATGAACTTCGTTATCCAAACCGAGAATAGACCTTTCATATTTATAAAAATTCAACATGTATACAAATTTAATATTTATATAAACATAACATGAATTCATATGTAACATTATACAGATATAGCGGGACATGTCTATATATATTTTTTCATTTCCTTTATATATTGAAAGGAACAGTGCATCAGTTGATTTAACTAAGGCATTGTTTGTTACCATTATTTTCACAGTGTAATTGGGTCAATAGGGTAATTAAGCAACATATTATTTTCAATAGAATAAATATATTATACACATTTTCATTGAAACGCAGTGGCATTCTCTCTTTATATACACATATTATTGAACATAGGTTAAATTATATGCAGTGAAACCTGTTAAGTGGAACACCTCTAGAAGTGGAACACCTCTTTTAGTAGAACACTTTTCAGAGTCCCAAGACCAACTGACTTATCAGTGGAACACTTCGCATGCCAAATGGAAGACTTTTAAGAGACGCCAAAGGTGTTCTGCTTAGACAGGTTTTACTATATATTTTTCATTGAAACATGATAGCATTCTCTAATTCGGGAACCATGTCAATATATAACTGTATGTCCAGCATTCAGACGTAATTAAATTTGGAGAGGGTAAAAGGGAGGGTAATATTTTTTGTCTGCATAGAACAGAGGTTTTTAAATGGAAATATCTTAAATAACTTGATTTAAAAGAATAGAAAAATATTCATTGTTCAATCAAATTTTTAGAGGGTGGGTGTCAATCCAAAATGTAATTAATTAGCCATATCCCTCAAATGTTGTGAATTATCAGTCTATGAAAAACATATCAGTCAGGGAGTTATTAGGTGCTAATATTGTATCAGCAAAATCTTTCAGATAATGCTTGGTAAATGCTCCAGAAGTCTCTATGCAAGTGTCTGTCCATTCACTTTGTGCCACACTTTGACAATTTTACCAAGCAAAGTGTGCCTGTTACATGATCCTAGAGCATTGGGTTAAAATTCATGAATATCATGGATATATTGTCATGTTTAGTTTGTACAGGGGGTTACACTACAAGGGGACAACTACAATAGACTACACCAGTCAATAGAACCATCCATCTTAATTTCCAAATGGCAGCCTATTTTATTGATGCATTTTTATCAACTTTATAACCAAGTATGAAATACCATGTACCAGTTTGCATGTGACTTTCAGAGAATATTTCTTGAATTTTTTTTAATTGGCCTGCTCTAACCAAGGAACTGATATTTTTAACATGGCAAAGTCTGTACTACCACATATGTATTTTTTGAAATAGTTTAAAATGTCACCACCAGGAGTGTTGACATATTGTTAGTCTCCAACTTATTTGTGGATGGCATTCAGCAGTCATCGTCTGTAACAAATGACAGTTACTGCCTCGTATGCAATATTCCATGTTCAATCATCTTCACATTGTCATTGTTGATGTGTCATCTGATGCATATAAAAATTATTTTCAAACATCTGTCATGTGGTATTGGAGTTAGTACCGAGACAGACATATAAATGCTTCAGTTTTTTCTTTTGTGTTTCTCAAAAATATGCCTCAATTTTAGAAGGAATATGCATATATTTAACTTTGAATGGCCTAATAAATTCCAACAGGAAACCCTTTTTTCACCTTTTCTCACTCAAATTAACAAGAACAACCACAATTGTTTTTAACAAAATTAAAAAAATCTGTTTATTCCACTTCTTGACATAACATGAATTTGACAAACTTATGAGCCATACTCTCGAATGAATACATCTTAGTACACAACACAACTTATGGACGAGTCAAACTAAAATGTTGGTTCTTTGTTCATTACAGATATGACCGATACTTTTACATATACATTGTATAGCAATTTAAATTTTTCACCACAACCCCCATCCACTGATAGATTTTGGTGCATAATTTCAAATGCATTACTGATAGTGACCAGTAGATATTTTATTTGATATTATCATTTTTTCTTCACCAATGTTTTAGTTGTCACATTTCCTTCAGATCAACATCCATATGAATGACCACAATATATACATAAGTCTGTATAACAAAGTTAACCTTCATTTATTCTGAATAAATAGAAAGGAATATGTAGCTTATTGATCAATTCCTGATCTCTGTGTAATTCAAATTCATTTCTACAGGGAATTTATGATTAAATGTCATAACCAGCATTACAATGTCACTTCATATCATCAACTTTGGCTCAACATTAGTTACGTTAACTGGACGATCAATGAGTCTTTCATACATGAACATTATGACACTGTGACTGACTGCATTGCAGGGATATGTGACCAATTGGATTTGTACGGATTTGCTATGTGTTAACTATATAAGTTCAATGGTTTGTTTATGACACTGTGACTGCATTGTAGGGATACGTTATGTTAACTATAGGTTCAATGGTATGTCCGTTCATGTACATTATGACACTGTGACTGCATTGTAGGGATAAGTTATGTTAACTATAGGTTCAATGGTATGTCCATTCATGCACATTGTGACACTGTGACTGCATTGTAGGGATAAGTTATGTTAACTATAGGTTCAATGGTATGTCCATTCATGCACATTGTGACACTGTGACTGCATTGTAGGGATACGTTATGTTAACTATAGGTTCAATGGTATGTCCATTCATGCACATTGTGACACTGTGACTGCATTGTAGGGATACGTTATGTTAACTATAGGTTCAATGGTATGTCCGTTCATGTACATTATGACACTGTGACTGACTGCATTGTAGGGATACGTTATGTTAACTATAGGTTCAATGGTATGTCCGTTCATGTACATTATGACACTGTGACTGACTGCATTGTAGGGATACGTTATGTTAACTATAGGTTCAATGGTATGTCCGTTCATGTACATTATGACACTGTGACTGCATTGTAGGGTTATGTTATGTTAACTAGAGGTTCAATGGTTTGTCCATTCATGCACATTGTGACACCGTGACTGCATTGTAGGGATACGTTATGTTAACTAGAGGTTCAATAGTATGTCCATTCATGCACATTGTGACACTGTGACTGCATTGTAGGGATACGTTATGTTAACTATAGGTTCAATGGTATGTCCATTCATGCACATTATGACACTGTGACTGCATTGTAGGGATACGTTATGTTAACTATAGGTTCAATGGTATGTCCATTCATGTACATTATGACACTGTGACTGCATTGTAGGGATACGTTATGTTAACTATAGGTTCAATGGTATGTCCGTTCATGTACATTATGACACTGTGACTGCATTGTAGGGATAAGTTATGTTAACTATAGGTTCAATGGTATGTCCATTCATGCACATTGTGACACTGTGACTGCATTGTAGGGATAAGTTATGTTAACTATAGGTTCAATGGTATGTCCATTCATGCACATTGTGACACTGTGACTGCATTGTAGGGATACGTTATGTTAACTATAGGTTCAATGGTATGTCCATTCATGCACATTGTGACACTGTGACTGCATTGTAGGGATACGTTATGTTAACTATAGGTTCAATGGTATGTCCGTTCATGTACATTATGACACTGTGACTGACTGCATTGTAGGGATACGTTATGTTAACTATAGGTTCAATGGTATGTCCGTTCATGTACATTATGACACTGTGACTGACTGCATTGTAGGGATACGTTATGTTAACTATAGGTTCAATGGTATGTCCATTCATGTACATTATGACACTGTGACTGCATTGTAGGGATACGTTATGTTAACTATAGGTTCAATGGTATGTCCATTCATGTACATTATGACACTGTGACTGCATTGTAGGGTTATGTTGAGCATGAGATCCTTCATTTGTTAGCACCACCTGTTAATTTACCACTCTGAAACAGAAACATAGATAAAGAAACAAGCTGACAAAAACATGTATTTACAATAAACTGTACTTCATGGAATTAGTATGATATGTTGTCCTGAAATCCATACAGTTTAAAATATCAAAATGACAGAATAGTACCTCTTACCTACACTGGCCAGTAATTGTAACTTTAGTTATTTCATAAAATCTGTCATGAGACAATCGATAAATGAATAAATAAATTTAAAAATGTATCCTTTACCTTGTATCGATCTAACTCAGCTTTTATTAAGTGATTTTTTGATCTCTCTTTTTCTAACTCAACCATTAAGTTAGATACCTGCAAAATAAAAGTAAACAATGATAAACACAAAATTCCAATACTAATATGTATTTACAAACTTTTCATAACTCCTTACATAAACTTCCCAAAACATAAATGTCTTTACATAAACGTCCCAACAAAGATTCTTTCAAAATCCAGCGGGGTTTCTCCATTTCACTTTTGAAGTAATTCTGAGCAAAAGTTATCGAATTTGAATGCCCGGAATTTTTTAAAAAAAGACCCCCTTGGCAAAAGCACATTACTGGCTGGACATTATAATTGAGTCTAATATCCTGCCACTGTCAAATATTCATTTCCCATAAATGTATAATCTGGAGAGTGATCTGTATATATACACATATGATTTATCACAATTGAATAGTTATGCTGAAGATGATATCCACCACAACCTTAATATTCCCTGGTGATAGCCCTACTTCTGGTCCTATATACCTGATCTGTGAGTTCATCTTTGACTTGGTTAAGTTGGTCCACTTGTACAAGGATCTCTGATTTCTCTTTCACTGGAAAGCAATTTGTTAAATCTTAAATCTCATGAACAGACCTGAAACATGATTCAATCACCAGTTAATCTAAATATGCATTGATTGATATATATATAAATGAGTCTAAAAAATATAGCCTATATAGTAATAAAAGTGGAATCTATCCCAAATACTTTAAATATAGAATTTTATTTCAATTTTTTGCCAGCTTAATTCAATTGTGACCAGTAAAAACTAAGAGGTGCTGCTCATTCTGAAGAAAAATATTTTTTCATCGTTTTGACTCTTCCAATTAGTGCCTCAAATCATAATGGAATAGAAATGAGCCAAATCTGATCACTGAAATTGTGTTATGTACAGTGGAACCTGTCTAATCTGAACACATAGCGCTAAGATCTGCCAAGAGTTCAGATTGACAGTTGTTCACATATTGAGGTTTTTCATCATGGTTGTCTATGGTAGATATAAAATGGGACCGAAAAAGTGTTCACATGGAGAGATGTTCAAGAGGTGATCAATATCCTGTACTGGTTTTACATATCATATGACATGTTTTTATTAATTATTGAGTTTATGTTTACAATAAAAAGGTGGAATCAGCTACATACTTTCTCCCTGTGCAAGTATATGGCAGAGTTGTTTGTTGCGTCTTTTCACTTGCTTCAGTTCATCTTCAAGATTCTGTACAGTTGCACGTAATGTCTTCACCTCTTTCTCCTTCTGCTCACTCTCTTCATTGTGTTGTCGCATCTGTTTGCTCTCTACTAGGTATTGCTGCAATATGAAGAATGTAGGGTCAATTTATGGAATAAGGGGTCAGCTTAATGTTATTAATGTCTTCACCTCTCTCTCCTTCTGCTCACTCTCTTCATTGTGTTGTCGCATCTGTTTGCTCTCTACTAGGTATTGCTGCAATTTGAAGAATGTGGGGTCAATTTATGGAATAAGGGGTCGTAGCCTATCAGGTTAATGTTATAAATGTTATAAATTATTAATTTTGAAAGAAGTGGAGTCTACGTGTGTTTATGCATCGTTTATTCTCTACAAAGTATTGCTGTATGATGATGAAAGTGGGTCAAGCTAATTTATCCATGGTTATCAAAATTTTATTAATTTTGAAAAGGATGAAAGGTCGCGAGTGACTGTAGTTGTAGTGGTTCTGCATCTAGTTACATGTGCTTTGTATTAAGTATTACAGCAATTTACGGGGGCAATATTTTGTAATTCCGACCCTAAATTAACCCAAAAATATAAATCTTCCTTCCTATAAATATCAAAGCTTGATTAACTTGCAGTTTGACTACAATTCAGGCCTCTACCAACAGGATGGGTTACATCTATACCAATGATTTGCTCATGAATGTTCATGTATTGTTGCTATTTAAGAAAACAAGGAAATTTTATTGGGGTCTAATTCCATTACATTATATGACTCCATTGATTGCAGTATGATAAAAGAAATATTAAAACTGCAGAATAAGACTAATAGAACTATTCCTAGTTGTTAATGTACCATATGTGAACTGATATGTTACAAGGCAAATACAGAACACCACTGAATTCCAGAAAATCAAGATATTACTTTATTTGCAATAGATGCCTTACTTTCCTATACTCCTCCTGGATCTGCTCTTTGCGTATGATCTTTGACACGTCATCACTGACTTTATCAAAGAATGTAGGATCTGGATCATCAGATGGTGGTGAAGTTGGCAACTTTTGGCTGGAATTTAGTGAACCATTTACGAGGTCTGAAATGACACAAAAGCAGGCTTAAACCTCAAACCAGATAAATCAATAATTATAGATGGATTTCACAAGCCCATTTACCCAGCCATCCCTATCCATGGCAGGGGACATTTAATTTTATATTAAAGAAAACATCTCATTCACTTGAACAAGATTTGCCCCACCTATCTGGCAAATTTTGCGACTTCTATTAATAGCTACAGTAATAATAACAACTGCCCTATCAGTAACTTCAAAAAGAAAACCTCTGGTTATCCCATGCTATTGAATTCTAGACAATGCAGGACAAATTCTAATTCAAAAAATATTCTCATCATAAATGAGAGGCTGTTCTAGATAAAGAGACTACTTAAGTAAAATTAGTGCCTTGTAAGTCACTCTTGTGTTCTTTACCTGGATGAGTGTCTGTGTTCTCTGCTAATTGGTTGAAAGCATCAAGGCTCATTGTAGCTGGTTTCTCCTTCTTTTTCTTCTTTTTGTCTTTGCCCTTTGCCTCATCCACCAGGGCTACATTAGCACGCATCTGATGAGCACAAAAATAAAAGCATATTACAGCATATTACGAATATATTGGTAGGGACTTGAAGGGACTTGAAACCTATACTGGTCCGAGAAAATATATGACAAAGGAAAATACGTATATATATATATTGTAGATATAAATGATATAGGGTTGGGAATAAACAGGTATAAGGCAGAAGTCAACCTCACCAAAACTTTACAAAAAAACAAATTAATTTATTTGTTCAAATGAACTATGAAAATGAAGTGTCATGATAATATTGTTTTTCTGCCTTATGCCTGGGAACTGGATACAACTATGGATGGAACTAATTCAGTCGAGGTTACAAGCATGTTTAACTGACTTATTTCAGACTGTCACATTGATTGGAGTTGCTGACAATGAAGCTTTTGGGACAATGCTACAGCCTAAAAGTCCAGAGACCTTGGTCAAACCAATAGACATTGAGATTGCATAAGGAATATTGTGAGAGATCATAGACTTATATCAGTATATCAGTTCCTTTCTTTTCAATTCTTAGCAAAGGAGAGGTGGTCTAAGTATCAGAATGCATAAGAATGTTTCTTAATTTTTGAATTTGGCATATGTGTGCTGGATAAACTGCAGAACATTTTTTTTTTTTTTTTTTTTTTTTTTTTTTTTTATAAATAAAACTTTATTTTCACATATTATTTTTTACAGGTTATTAATGTTGTTTACTGTAGGAGAGAGAGAGAGAGAGAAAGGAAGATTGATGATTTTTGTCACTTTGTATAAATTGATGATATTAACGCAAAAGTCTGCTACAGATATTCCATAGTGTCTCATGTTGTTCCATTTTGTTGTTTTTCTTCGCTATGTATTTTTCTTCTTCTTTTTGACTCTGGAGGTATATTTTAAAAGGACCTAGTTCTGGTCTTTTGTCTCCTAATTTTCTTAAGTATATGAAATGTTTCAAATGGATCAGTAGCTTATTTTGTTGTCTTTTTTCTCTACTGTATCCAAAAATAATGTCTTTATTTTCTGGTATGTTTTCACCGGCTTCCTCATAGCACGTTCTCAAGAAGTCCTTTGTGGCTGTACATTCTAGGAATCCATGTTCGATGCTATCTATATGGTTTTCATTACATATTGTACACATTGGCGTGTTTTTTCCCTCTATATTCATTTTGTTCAGCATTTTATTGAAGTAAATTGTTCTGTGTAATAATCTGAACTGGAAGTATCTAAGTTTCGCATTTTCTGTTATCACTTTATAAGTGGTGTATATTTCATCCCATTCTTTATAGTTATCCTCATTTACATTTAGCACACTAAGCCACTTGTCTTGTGCTTTTATTGGTTGTATTTTTATCTGTCTTTTAAACATCCTATAAGTGCTTTTATTTGAGATGTTTGGCAATTGTTCTCTGAGTGGCTTCCAGTTTGTACAAATTTCTCCCCCTTCCACCATTTTTGTCTCCATGATAATGGTATACATAGTACAATTTTGTTATAGTCTAGGAATGTTTGATGAGCTAAATTATACTTGGTTTCCAGTTCTTGGAATCTTAATAATTTGTTCTCTTTATATAACTGATGTATATGCCTTATTCCCTTAGATTCCCATTCATTGTTGTTTATAGTTTCTTTTCTGTTCAGAATGCAGCTGTTATTCCATATAATTTGATGTTTTATTTCTTCCTTCGTGACAAGTTCATTTGCTGCTTTGTAGTGTAGCTCACACCATATTTTTAGTATTTCATCTATGCTTGTAATGTTCACCTTGTCTTCTAGTGTTTTTGGGTCCTTAGCATTACAATTCCATTTTCCCTTATTATCATAGTTTTTTAGCTTCATTTTCCATAAAGTTTTCCATTTACCTTGGTCATCTGTATTGAAATATTTTCTTAACCATTTAACCTTTGCATTTTTGGCAAAGGCTTTTAGGTTAACCATTTCTAGTCCTCCTTTGATCAGTTCTAACTGTAATATTTTTCTTGAAATTTTATCTCTTTTGCCATTCCATATAAACTTGTATAGTTTTGTTTCAACATCTTTAAGATATGCATCTGATGGAAGGGGTAAAACTGCTAGCATAAAGGTTAATTGAGAGATCATTAGTGATTTGATTACATGAATTTTCCCTATCGGTGTAATCATTCTTTGCTTCCACATTTTGATTTGGGCTTCAATTTTTTCCAAAGCTCCTTGATAATTAATGTCTTCTATTTTATCCCCATTCATAGGAATGTTTATACCTAAGAGTTTAATTTTTCTTTTTTCTAATTTTAAGTTCAATGATTCACACAGGGTTTCTATTTCACGTTGATTTGTTTTTTCACCAATTATGGCTATTTCTGTCTTTTCTTTGTTGATGCATAGACCTGATGTCTCTCCAAACTTCTCGAGTAATTTTATAGCTGGCTTTATCGATGTTTCATCTTGGAGAAGTAGTGTAGTGTCATCAGCAAACTGTGTTGTCTTTACTTCTGTATTCAGGCCATCATTCAGTTTAATTCCTTGTATGTTTGTTGCTCTTCTTATGGCTGCGCTTAGTAGTTCTGCTCCAATGATAAAAAGGTAAGGAGATAATGGGCAGCCTTGTCTTACTCCTCTAGTTGGGTTAAAGTAAGGTGAAGTAAAACCGTTATTGAGTATTGTGCTACTGATGTTGTTATAGAAAATTTTTACCCACTTTATTATATTTTCACCAAAGTTAAAGTATTTTAGCGACTTGAGTATGTAGCTGATCTCAATTGTGTCGAAGGCTTTTTGAAAATCAATTAGAGTTATGATTCCATATCTGTTTTCATTTTTCATGTGTTCATTTAGATCAATCACAAGACGTATGTTTTCTCCGATATAACGTCCTTTTAAGAAGCCCGTTTGGTCACTACTAATTATGTGCGGGAGCACTTGTTTTATTCTGGAGGCTATCAATTTTGTAAGTAGCTTATAATCAGTATTTAGGAGCGTTATAGGCCTCCAGTTTTTAAGCTTCATTGGATTTTTGCCTTTTTTTGGTATTAATGTTATCACACCTCTTTTTTGTTCGATCGTCAATTCTCCTTTTAAAAATGTTTCTTCAAAACTTTTTAGCAGGTATGGGGCTAAAAGTTTCCAGAAGTGTTGATAGAAATCTGTGCTTATGCCATCACTGCCAGGAGTTTTTCCTCTTTTCATCAGTTTTAGTTGTGTGAGGCATTCTGCTTCTGTTATATCATTTTCACAATTTTGTTTTTGGTCTTCGGTTAGTTCCTCGGTGTCTTTCTCTTCCGGGAAGAATATGCTTTTGTGTTTTTCTTCATCTACATTGGTTGATCTGTATATCTTTTCATAAAACTTCATTTGTTCTAGAGCTATGTCTTTTTGTTTTTCAACTATTTTCCCGTCGTCTGTTTCTATCTTTGTTATTGTTTTGTTAAGAAAATTCCTTTTTTCCAGTTTGAGGAAGTAAGCTGTGGGTTTTTCACCTTCTTCAATCCACCTAACTTTACTTCTAAATAGTGTAGCTTTTGCTTTTTCTGTATTTAAAATGTCAATTTCATTGTCAAGGTTTTCAATTTCATTATTTAGTCTCTCTTGCTCTATTTGGCAAGCAGCACTTTGCTTTTGTTGATGTAGTAGAATTCTGCGGCGCATCTTGATATCAAGGTTAGTTTTTGATTCTTCTTTTTTAGTCTTTGAAAATTTGACTGTAACTTGTTTTATGTTAAACTTTATTAACTCCCATAGTATATTTGGTTGTAGAGTTGTGTTTTGCTCTGTTGTTTCTTGAATACTGTGTTTGATCAATTGGTCATATTCTTCATCTCCAATCCATTTGTTATTCATTTTCCAAAGTCCGGGGCCACGTGGTTGATCTGTAAATTTTAATTTAAGGGTTATTAGTTTGTGGTCTGTAATCTTGATATATGTGTTTGGATCTATTATGGCTTCTTCTGTACATTGGAATACGTCTCCTGAAACAAGAAAGTAGTCTAGTCTACACTTGATGGTTGAATTGTTGTTTTCCCATGTATAGTCATTGATTCTCCTGTTTTTCTGTCTCCATACATCTAGAAGATCGAAATCTTCGATTTCTCTTGTTTTTCCATGTGTTGCATCTCTTCCACCATATTTATCGATATTTGGCTCTAAAATTACATTGAAGTCTCCTCCAATAATGATTTGGTGGTCTATATATTCTCTGAGTTTCTCGTTAATTTTTGGATACAAAATTCCATTGTCATGATTGAATCCATAAACATTTATCAATAGTGTCGGCCTCCCATGCATCAGGCACTGGATAAGGATATATCTTCCTTCTGGGTCCGTTTCATTTTTTATAATTTCTATGTCACTTCGATTTGAAAAGAGTACTCCTACCCCTGCTGCATTTTGTGAGTACTGTGAGAAGAAAGCCTTGAACCCCCATTCCTGAGACCATAATGATTCTTGCTTGGATCCACTGTGTGTAAACTGCAGAACATGCTTTATAATCAAGTGAAAACAAGTGCATGCAAAAGTTGGTCATGGGAACTTACCTCCTTTTCACGTTGTAGTTCAAGTTTACTCAGTAGTAATGCCTGCTGTAGGTCTGCCTCATAACTCCCTTTCGTGGCCTGAAGTTCAATTAGCACAGTATTTCAATAAATGTAGATAATATTTGCAGGAATGTTTCAATATTTTCCCTAGATGGCATTCTTACATGCATGAAGCTTAGTATCTGATTATACATGTAGATGAAAAAAGTAATATACATATGGTGCACTTTAATATCACATAGGCCTACCTCTTTGTCCATTTTTTTCCATTCTTCCCATTGTTCAGGGGAAACAGCATCTCCTCGTCCATCATTCCTTTGTCCTGAAGAAGCTCCATGCCCCTTACTTCCTTTAACAGGAACACTCCCAGCAAATGCCATGTTGCGCAACTGAAATAACACAGGTTTAAGGTATTCTTTATAGAAAATTGGGAAAATCCCTTGCTGAGATTGACTGATTGACTGTGGTATCTTTTGGATGAGACATGATGATGGTGATGTGATAAGGCGGAACAAATATGAATTCTTGTACTTGAGATAATAATCATAAGTCAAGGAGCATCTCTTGTCTTATAGACATATTACCCCCCCCCCTCCATTTTTTATACTTTATTGACGTTGCACATTTTAAAAAAATCTCCTAATTAGAAGCTTATAAGTTTAAAAAAACCGAGAAGACCTAACATATTTAGGGGAAGTCGTCCTTTCATCGCACGGGTACTCAGGGAAACTACTGACGATTTCAAATATGATAATTTCAACTTACTTTGAGAATATGAGACGAAAGATCAACCTTTCCTCTAAAATCTAAGTAGTGTTTGACATTTCTCAATCTCCGAACGCTAACACTTTAAGACCCCTTAGACTCGCATGTGCGGTGGTCCTAATTATCGCACAGTCGTCCTAATTATCGCACAGTTATGTTTCAGATGTCATTTCACGATACTGTATACATTTCTCTGTTTATAACAGATACATACATATGCTGTAATCATTTTTCTATTAGTTTTAGTGTAAAATATCAACAAAATATACATTTTACACTTACTTTTCTGTCCTTATTTGGAGGGGGTCAAAATTTGTCAGACGAATTTCACTTCTTGCGCAAAAGCATATATGACAATGGCGGAAGTAAACAATTCTTAAAAAATGAAGAGATATTTCTAAATATATGAATAAATCATGAAGATTGGGAGTAATGGTGTTGAACTGTTTTTCGTAACACTGGTTTAAAAGATGGTGGGTGCATATTTTAGCTATTCAGGACAATCGTGCGATAATTAGGACCGTGCGATAATTAGGACCACTTCCCCTAAACCATTATAAATAATTTTCAAAAATGTTGTAAACAGGGAATTATGCCTTTGTAGCTTGAGGTGACCCAAGAAAAAGAAAAATGTTCCTGTTCTGCCGATAAACAAAGATAATTGTGGATTCAACTACACGAAAACAATGCTAAAATACCCAGGAATCTATTGAAGTAGGTCTATGTCTATGTCAATAATCTGCAAAAGGCTAATAAGCCCATATAAAGCAGATATATAATTTAACAGTGATAGAATTTGAATAGAATATAATTTAAAACCTTAACATTTAAAAAATAGATCTATGGTTTACAACTCATTTTACCTGGGGAGACTGTCAGGCTACCGCATTGGCATCACCCCTCTTTACCAGTAGTGCAGGCTTGTTGCTGTGCACTGGGGACCCTTTACATTAAAACATAGATCTATATTAAAAACACACCTATTTAATTGCAGTTATTGACATAGGCATAGTATGATGATTTAAAACTACTTAGACTGTCACAGTCTAAGATGTCACCAGGTAGAGTGTTCCATTTAGCTATTGTCCTAGGGAAATAGCTAAATTTGTATGCATCCGTTCTAGTTGATGGTTGTATGAACTTAGAAGGATGATACAACCTAGTGTTGGTATTGATCTGTTGGCGGAAGTATGGAGGCACGTCGATGGCTGCTAGGTTCTGCTTTCCTTTGTAGAAAAGGAAAACTCTAGCAGCCTCTCGACGCTCCTTCAGTGGCTCCCACTGTAGGTCTTGAAGAGCTTTGGTGACGCAGCCTGGTTCCCCTGAGTGACATTTGGTTACAAACCTGGCTGCTCTTCTAGGTATCTTAAGTGTAAGAGGCATAGAAAATTCTCCCATGTTGTAATCGTACAGGCAAAAGATTGAGACATTCTCAGGACGATAGTCCTGGCACAGGATAACCCCGAGACCTGAAGTACCATGGCGCAACCGTGGTGATATAAAATTGACTTCTTATTTATTTATTGCTCAAACCGTACACATAGATTTCACACATGAAAAAGAAATCCTCCAGATATATTGAATTCTCAAGTAGAAATCTCATTTCTTCTCCCTCTGTTTATTTTGTTCAATTACCGAGCGTGGTTTCATGGGCTTTCAAGAGACTCTCCATGGTGCTATCTAAGCTAGGCTATACTAGGCTAACATGCGTGCGAAATTCAAAAGAAAATGTTAAAATCACCTGGTCATTTTCTGCCTTTTCAGCCTCTGCTTTCTTCTTCTTTTTAGATTTCCTCTTTGCACCTGCGGATACTTGACCCTTAGCTGTATTAGCTGACTTTGGTTTGGTCATGGTTTCACCTTCGTCTTCGTCATCGTCAATCTTCAGCAGAGAAAAACGTGAATTTGTTGCAAATTTTGCCATTCTTTCTGAATTTGACAAAAGAGCACCTTGTTGTAATCACGAAATATATCACCGACTTTCTATTTTTTAAAGTTGGACAGATCGACACACATATAAAGCAGGATATCAATATATTGTGGATACATAAATAATTGTAAGATGATTCTCTGTACTATATGATTTCAAGAACAATGTACTGAAGCCCTCATAATGTCGTGATACACTCATCGTCGTCAGAAAAATATGACTTGAAGGACTTATTCCACCAAAAGTAACAACGACAGGAGGAGGGCGGGGTGTAAAAGGGTAGGAGGTCCTTTCAAATTATGGTCCTACTCTCCATTGATTTATATGGTGACCTAAATACAACTGCTTCCCTCATTATCTTATACGCAATCAGGGCCAGTAAGGGCCGTTAAGAAAGGGGACCATGATCCCTGAGGGACCATCATTTCTTTCACAGGGGGACAAACATCTTATTGATCCTTCCACCGAATAGATGGCACTTAAAAAACAAGAATATAGTCCAATTATTGTAATTATATTAGCATCACCGGTGGTTGAATTTTGGTAACTACCTGAATGAAAAAGTGTATGTATGGACCAACTCTAACTAATTGAGCCATAGATATAGCAGACTTGATGTAAGGAAAAATGTATTCGGAAATAGAATCATCAACACATGGAACAATCTTCCCCAAATTGTAATAGACTCCACAGATATAAATCAATTCAAGAATGGAATTGAAAAGCACCTGATGAGACTGATATTTAATATGCAAAAGGCTAATAAGCCCATAATAAAGCAGATATATAATTTGACAGTGATAGAACTCTAGCAGCCTCTAGACGCTCCTTCATAGGCTCCCACTGTAGGTCTTGAAGAGCTTTGGTGATGCAGCCTGGTTCCCTTGAGTGACATTTGGTTACAAACCTGGCTGCTCTTCTCTGTACCTGTTCCAACATATCAATATCTTTTTGTCGGTATAGATCCCATGCCGAACTGGCATACTCTTGGGAGAATTATCAACGCCCCTTACACAGATACCTACTTCAATAGATTCCTGGGTATTTTAGCATTCTTTTCGTGTAGTTGAATCCACATTTGTCTGGGTATATCGGCAGAACGGGAACATTTTTCTTTTTCATCGAGAGATATTACATTACTTTCCAAGATGGCGGTTGGATTTAAAAGGGGATTCCCCGTTTGACTGACCTGGAAGTGGCCCGGAAGCACCAATAAATGGAGGAATTTCATGGTTGAATAAGTTAAATATTACACGCAAATATTGCCATAAAAAACGAAAATTTCTTTGTTCTGCCGAGAAACCCAGACAATTGTGGATTCAACTACATGAAAAGAATGCTAAAATACCAAGGAATCTATTGAAATAGGTATCCTAAGTGTAAGAAGCGTAGAAAATTCTCCCATGTTGTAATCGTACAGGCAAAAGAATAAGACGTTCGCAGGACTATAGTCCTGGCACGGGATAATCAATACCTAGGTATGGGATGTGTGTTGGTTTTCCCCTAGCATGGTCACGGACGTTAAGTAAGTTTCTGGCGAAAGCCGGAGCATAGATTATTTAGAGGACTGGAAACAAGAATGACCTACCTTTTCATTTCCCGAATCTCGCCTGAAATTAGCTCATCTTGGTGACTGTATCCTGTATATCTGTATTTATAGAGTCTTTTTGTATCGCATCTGCCTCAATTTTAAAGTTTTATTGGTATTTTTAATATGATTTCACTGCTTTTGTGAACTGGTACGATCAGCCAAGCAAATGGCAGCTGACCTGTTCAAAGTACTTTTAGTACTAATATTCGCAAGTGACAATAATTTTGGAAACAATATTATACTAAATAGATTACTAAGCATCTAAGTTAAGTAAAACTAGATGAACAACTGAGTCAATAGTGATAAATAGGCCAACACGAATTGGCAGAATTGAAATAGACTGCCATCTTGTTTCCAGTCCTCTAAATAATCTATGCTACAGCTTTCGCCAGAAACGTACTTGACGTCCGTGAGCATGGTGTAATTGTGAATGATAGGGGATTTACCTTTGTGAATATTTAGCATATCCTTCTTTCCAGAATTATAGATATAGAAAATAACAAAAAAGTCGGATGACTTATGGACCTTCCTAAGTAAAGTGAAGTTGGAAATCAATGGTGGAGGAATACCTGAAAGTTCTAGAATTTTAGATAGCCATCGCTGACGCTTATGTGTCGCTTGTTTATAATTAGATAGACGAAATAACAAACCAAAACAAGGGATCTAAGATCTTAGTAAGTAAATACCTACTTTTCAATTTTCGCCCATGCATTAGATCTACTATTGAATATAGGATAATACTATATTATAAGGCTATAGATCTACTATAAGGCCTAATTTAGACTGTATCCTTCGTCTGAATAAATATTCAGACTGTAAGTCACCTATTGTAAAATGTGGTGTTGTATAAATGTTACAAATAAGTTTGTTTAATGATAAAATGATTACCTTATAAAGAACTTACAATATTATTTTTTCGTATATTGTCCTCTTACTGGAGATATTCATAAAATGTACAGACGCTTCTTGTAGCGAAGCCATTGATTAGGTCAAGCCATTTTGGCAATGCCAATTCTCACGATAAACGAGATTTAGCCAGTGACGTCGGTGGTTCCGGGCATGAGTGATCACGAGGCAGTCCTATGTGATATAAACCTAAAAATGAAAATTCAGAAAAAGAAGCCTCGTAAGGTCCATATATACAAGCGGGCAGAATGGACTGGACTTAAAGAGACTCTATGATCTAAGTTCAGCGAATTCAAAGAGAACTCTGAAAGTAGATCAGTTGAAGACAACTGGTCCTCCTTCAAATCTACATTAATATCGTCAATCAATGAGCATATTCCAAGTAAAACTCTAAGTGGGAAATTCAAAGTACCCTGGATTACCAACAGGATACTGAGAATGATCCGACAGAAACAAAGACGATATAATGTTGCCAAACGTTCAAATGAACCTCATCATTGGCATAAATACAAATCACTACGGAAATTAATCCATGGTGAAATTCGTAAAGAACATCAGCGCTACATCAACGATCTGCTTGACCTTGATGAAAGCGAAATCATAAATGAGAATGTTCAGCACAAAGGCATTACCAAACGCTTCTGGAGCTACATAAAGTCTAAACGCAAAGATGCATCAGGTATCAGCGTGCTGCGTAACAAAGATGGCGACGAAATAACAGACACCGCCCAGAAAGCAAACATCCTCAATGACCAATACAATTCTGTATTCACAAATGAGGATGCCACTCTACCGACAATGGGACCTAGTCAAATTCCTGAAATGCCAAATATCAAAATTTCGACAAAAGGAATCCACAAATTGCTAACTGGCCTAAATCCATCAAAAGCCACTGGACCCGACTAGGGTCCTGAAGGAATGCAGTGACAGCATATCACCATTCCTTCAAATAATTTTTCAACAGTCTATCGATGAAGACTTAGTGCCTATGGACTGGAAACATGCCAATGTTACTGCTATCTACAAAAAGGGACGAAGAGATGAGGCTGTGAATTACAGGCCTGTATCTCTGACGTCAGTTCCATGTAAAATAATGGAACATATTATATTCCATCATGTTATGGCCCACTTTGACCTCTATGAAATTCTAGTAAAATTCCAACATGGATTCAGGTCAAAGCACTCATGTGAAACACAACTTGTCAATACAATAGAGAATATAGCTCGGGCCCTCGACAACAATAAACAAACAGACATGTTGGTATTAGACTTTTCCAAAGCGTTTGCCACAGTGGCTCACGAACGCCTCTTGCACAAACTCGACTATTATGGAATTCGCAATAATAACTTGAACTGGTTCAGATCCTGGCTTGTGGGAAGATCACAACAGGTAGTGCTCGATGGTGAATCAAGTTCAAAAACTCCAGTAAAATCAGGAGTTCCTCAAGGAACAGTTCTTGGAACACTCTGTTTCCTTGTTTATATCAATGATATGGGCAATAACCTATCATCCTCAGCCAGTCTTAAGCTTTTTGCCGACGACAGCCTTTTATTCATGACAGTCGAAAGCAAGCAAGATGCATTAACACTACAGGAGAATCTTGATGAACTGGTCTCCTGGGCATCAACATGGCAAATGAAATTCCATCCATCAAAATGCTATGTGCTAAATATTCACAAAGGTAAATCCCCTATCGTGCACAATTACACCATGCTAGGGGAAAACCTTAAGTCGGTAACACACATCCCATACCTAGAAATTGACATCACAAATAACTTACGCTGGACTACACATATTCAAACTATTGTATCCAAAGCCAATAAGGTGCTTGGATTTCTCAGGCGCAACCTCCATCAATGCCCTGAAAAAGTGAAGGCTCAGGCTTATAAGTCACTAGTCCGGCCTAATTTAGAGTATGCCAGCTCGGCATGGGATCCATACCGACAAAAAGATATTGATATGTTGGAACAGGTACAGAGAAGAGCAGCCAGGTTTGTAACCAAATGTCACTCAAGGGAACCAGGCTGCATCACCAAAGCTCTTCAAGACCTACAGTGGGAGCCACTGAAGGAGCGTCGAGAGGCTGCTAGAGTTTTCCTTTTCTACAAAGGAAAGCAGAACCTAGCAGCCATCGACGTGCCTCCATACTTCCGCCAACAGATCAATACCAACACTAGGTTGTATCATCCTTCTAAGTTCAAACAACCATGAACTAGAACGGATGCATACAAATTTAGCTCTACCTGGTGACATCTTAGACTGTGACAGTCTAAGTAGTTTTAAATCATCATACTATGCCTATGTCAATAACTGCAATTAAATAGGTGTGTTTTTAATATAGATCTATGTTTTAATGTAAAGGGTCCCCAGTGCACAGCAACAAGCCTGCACTACTGGTAAAGAGGGGTGATGTCAACGCGGTAGCCTGACAGTCTCCCCAGGTAAAATGAGTTGCAAACCATGGATCTATTTTTAAATATTAAGGTTTTAAATTATATTCTATTCAAATTCTATCACTGTTAAATTATATATCTGCTTTATATGGGCTTATTAGCCTTTTGCAGATTATTGACATAGACAATACTCAAAGAAAGTGTTAGGCCCTAGCTTACAGCCTAAATTATTCGTCAGTTTTCTGGCCGTTTTCTGTTTCGTGCCATTTTTCTGACAGTCACATCACTAACCAAACCCATCTGACCCAGTTATCTACTCCTGACGTCGTAGATCTACGAGGTCAGGAGTAGATAACTGGGCCAGACGGGTTTGGTTATCACATCACATGAACATAGGTCGACTCGATTTTTTCATACATGTTCCCGGGGCCTACGCACATAAACATAGTTTAAGCTACTGTTCAAAAATTAGGCTAAATATTTTCATTATTGCCCGCCATGTTGCTAATTGTTGTATCTGGTAGTCTAGAGTCCATTTCACTTACTCGAGTCTCTAGCCAATACTTGGCTAGAGGTGATTTCATCTGGAATACTGTGAACTCCGTTTGAAAAAACCTGGCCGCCGTGTCATAAATTTATTGAATATTTTAAAAATCGCCAGATAAATAAATCATGAATTAAATCGGATCCGACTCGGCTCCTTGATGAGATATGACATAATTTCGTCTAAAATTAAAACAAAATGGCTCCAAGAAAAATGGAGATATTCAAAAACTGGAAGAAATGTCGTTAATGTCTGACATTAGTAACTGGCTGTAAATTCTAAGTTAGCGATCCAGAAGATGTGAACTAATACACTGATCACTTAATGTGTGTTTTGGAATTTTTGGTGAGGTAATAAGACCAAAACTCGCAATTCAAATTGTGATGTGGAAAAATGGCGGACATATGATTTCAAATTTTATGATTACGACATGACCAATTGTTCATGCAGGAAATTATCTTTCCAGGAAGGCCACAATATAGTGGCCTTAGAAGAAGGTAACATTTCACTGTTTTATTGCGTCAGTAGAACCCCAAAAATAAGAAATCGGGAGACCATTGTGCAATAATATATGGAAAAGTATATTCATATTGTACATGAATGACATTTGTATATTCCAGATTTTTGTTTTTTTGTGCAATAAGCCTGTGCCCTCTTGTAATTTGAAGAATTTCAGCCATGTTAATCTTCTTGAAAATAACATGGCAGAGACGCATCCAAATACGAATCATAATTATTATTTATTACACAGAGATTCAAAAGCTGTTCTTTCATACTACTCACTTTTCTCATTAAAAATGAAAATTTCTTTGTTCTGCCGATTGAAAGCATCAAGGCTCATTGTAGCTGGTTCCTCCTTCTTCTGTAATAGCAATATGTTTTAAAAGTGAAAAAATTATATAGGACATTAATAAAGCTAGAAATGTAGATAATAAAGAAGCACATGGCAGCCATCTTGAAAAATGGCAGCCTTTACTCATTATTTTACGATTTTTGCTGTAACTCGAAAAGTGGTGGAGCAATTTTGTTCATATTTCGTATTACTTATGAATAAAAATAAATATGTTTCACGTTCCTAATCTCTATTGGTCAATCTCTCTTTGTTTCAGTAGCCGTTGTACTAATAAATTATCTTAGTCAAAACAGAGAACGAACGAGTATAGGGGGTCTTCTAGCTTTGGACATTTTAGACCAATCAAAATACATAACTATTTGTTATATGTTTAACGTTTTGATAGATACAAAAGTAACACATATAAAATTCTGATGTTTTTATGTTTCGTGGCCTTATTTAACTTAAATTTTAAAAAAAATATTAATTTCAAATCTGATTTTTAGTTTTAAGACTTGACCTTCAATCAATGTGTCTTGTGCAGTCAATCATTTTACATCGTTAATGTCAATCAAGTTAAATCCTCTATTTCTGACCTTCTCGAGGCCAAAAAGATATTTTTCAACTTGCCTTAAATTGACCATTTTTTCAAAATCATCTACAAGTTCAAAATTGACTTAGATTGAACTCATGATATTAGGAGCAACGGTGACAGGTCATCTCAACCCAGTCCAACTCAACCCAAAGTCAACTCAACCCCAAGTCAAGTCAACCCCAGTAAAACTCAACCCCAAGTCAACTCAACCCTGTAAAACTTAACCCCAGTAAAACTCAACCCTATTCATTTGTGCAATGTCTAATTTAATTTTTTTATGATGAATAATTTAAGTTATTGATTTCTGAAAATCTAGCATTTTGCATGATCCTTTGAATAGAAAGTTGTAAAAGTATTCCAAAAGAAAACAATTAATTAACTATTAATTAAATTAAGACATCTTTTGAAATCAAATTTTAGATAATTTAGAAATAATCTACAAATGTAATATAACTTTTTATTTATATGAACATGTTTTAACAAAAACATTAACATTTACTAATTAATAGACCGAAAGCATATAGGCGTAGCCAGGAGGGGTGCGCACACACCCTCCCCCAATTTTGAAGGAAGTTGCATCATTTTTTGTCTCGCTTATGCCACGATCGGCAGAATTATTTTAATGAAATAAACTTTCTTATAAGTTCATCAATATATAGAAATATAGGGGTTGAGTTTTACTGGGGTTGAGTTTTACAGGGTTGAGTTGACTTGGGGTTGAGTTTTACAGAGGTCGACTTGACTTGGGGTTGAGTTGACTTGGGGTTGAGTTGGACTGGGTTGAGATGACTTGGGGTTGAGATGACCAGGAAGCGGAGCAACTAGGTGGTGACATTTTGTCATGTTAAACTTTTCTCAAATATTGAAATAAAAATGAACAAAAACTGTTTTGAAAAATGCACTTCCCTTTCTTTGGTTATTTCTTTGGATTTGGCTATTTTTAAAAAGCTGATACTGCATCATTTTTGATAAGTGTTTGAAGAAAATTCTGCAATATTCAGACATTTTGGATGAGGATTTTTCTTCTACAACCTATTCCTGAAACGACTGTTTCATAATCTCCTTCAGCACATTTTGTAATCAACCCTCAATTATTATCGACAAAGCTTACATAGGTGAAAAAGCCACTAAAATTGTCATAATTTATAGTATTTTTTGCTCTTTTTCAGATTCTGGAATACCTTTACAATGACTGTTGGCTGTTGCACTTTGGAGTCATACTCAAAGACTAATAAATGAGTAAAGTACGTAGATTTGTTTTATCTTGTCCTAACACCTTCTCAGATTCTGGTCTTGCAGGCCTTCTGTAGAACCTCACATTATTGCTTCGAACATTGAAAAAGTCGGCACTAGCTATGTACATATTTCTTGCCTCAATCTTACCCGAACATTCTCTTGAAGCTCAAAAGTTGTGACTATCTCAAATTGCAGATGCAAACTTCAATTTTTAAATCAGCCAGTATTTCATAATGTTTGCCCCCAACTTTGGAAATTATTTCTGAGTACAGAACAGGGTTCTCACTAGGCTTTTAGACTCTGGAGATTCTCCGGAGTCTAATGTCTTAAAACCAACTTGCTCCAGAGTCTTATAGCTTTTCCGGAGTCTAAAGTGTTTTTCCGGAGTCTAATTTTACTTTTTTGTCACATTATTTTCAGTAAAACTCATGAGAAAATACATAAAACTGGATACAAGCAAGGAATAGGAAGTCAGAAACCTTTTAGAAATAAATATTGGGATTAAAATAGCAAGATAATCTTAAAGATCTAATAGCAAAGGTTTTGCAAAAATAAATCAATGCAGTGTAAAACAAATGTGTGTATAATGAAGAAATAAATATTTAATGAAAAAAATAGATATATGTTTGTAATATTGGTATTAACTTAAGATTAAAAAGTGTCACTATCTCTTTCATTTTTCAACAAATATAGGCTCACGTGACATATGACGCGGGGCAGTCAATTTTGATCTATCGTAGACCATATCAGTATCAAACTGCCGATATATCAACCTCGTCTTGCGAGGCCATTTTTATTTGAAACATCTTGAATTTGGTGTCAAAATAAAGCTGGTCACGCCCACTTTCAGAGTTATCAATGAATCATTTACTACGACTACTATATTCATTGAGGAGGCGTGTAAAGTTAACCAATCAGAAAGACAATTGCTCCATATATGACAGTTCATTAACATATTCAGTGTTTACTATTGTTTTTCGCGTCATGACAACACGAGTAGTAACCAATCAAAATGCCGTATTTTATCACGTGAGTTCAGAGTGACATGCACGACATGTAAGTTTAGTCTGAGCTGATCGCGATGTTGAACAATTTCTTCTCGGAATTTGTGCAGAGAAATCAGCGATTCTAAATTAAGGTAGGATCTCCCATTTCTTCCTGTACAAGTTTTAACTTATCTCTATCGAATCCTAAAGTTTTGGATGAAGATATGAAGCATACGTTTAAAAACGAAGCGATTAATTTGACGATCTGATTTTGCAATTTGCAATGGCCAATTTACTGCAAGTCTGCGTGTATTTGACAAGAGATAGCGCCAAGTCTTGTATCCGAATGCTTGTTAAGCCACTCAAAAACAAGATCCATATTTTCTAAATTTGATAACTTTGCAGAGAGCCCGTTTTCATAACCTGTTTTCCGCGTCTAAATTCAAACTGAGTAGGATTATAGGATCGCTGGGATTCTCAGTCAATGCATGGACGTCCATGGTCAATGGCAACGGGTCTTCATTCCAGAACGCACATTTTTTTAGTTGATTCTCCGTCATAGTACTTGTCTAAAGTCCATATCTGCTCTTTTACTGGCATACTTGGACATATTTCCCCTCCTTAAATTGTCCTCCTTAAATAACACCCTCTCGCCGATTTATATATAGCCATTTCCCAGAACCCGGGAGTCAGAATCGCTGATGTTTGCCATATTGAACATGTTGAAATATGTACTGTAATGTATCTGTAATACTAGGCATTGCCTGCTACGCGTAAGGGTCACGTGACTAGCGCGATACAGGAAAAATGGGGAATTTCGAAACAACAATTTTTGGGCACTTTTATTGCAAATTTCAGGTATTTATAAGTGTTTGTGGTATAAAATATAATCCACAGACATAAATGAACATCCAAACTACATATTTTATTACGTTTTGGAGCCTTTTTTGCTTTTAAAATGACATCTTTAAGAAGTATGTTGAAAAATATACTAATAGGATATAAACAGGATAGAATTTTAACAATATTCATTACATAATTTTGATTGCTGGCTCCATGTTGATTTTGCATTGAAGGCTTTATTCTACCTACTGTTATTATTGATTTTGCTAAGGCTATTACTTAAGCTGATTATATAAACTATTTGGCGGGAATCTATTGTTTGATAATGAAACCACCTGAGAGCAAGCAGAACACAAGCTGAGATCATTTGAGTAACTAACAACATAGGGACAACTTCAAAATATGGACTCTGGAGGTCTATATCCTAAATATGAGGATATATACCAAATATGTTTGCTTTTTTCAGGTATCAAATATAAATGATTGAAACCTAATGCAAGCAGTTTTTACAAAAGTTCCAGCGGCAGTCAGGTAAGTGCATTTTTTATCAAATTATTCAGTAAAGGTCAACATCTTTTTCAAGCAACTCAAGAAAATTTCATCTGAAAGAAGTTCTACTCGTGACAAAATAGTTATTATATTTTAGAGTGGGTTCAAATCAGTATTATCGCTTATGTCCAATTTTAGGGTTTCAATTCAGAAGTAGTTCTTTAACCAGTTGATCGTAAAAAGATTTTGGCAATCCAAAAATAATTTGAAATGATTTCTTAAAGAGTTAGAAATAACAAATATTTGTGTTGCATTTGAGTAAATGCATAATTTTCAAACTACATTTGATACATCACTCACCTTAGTGATTTGTGTTAATTGAAATTAGTCAGTATTCTGACCTTTTTGTTTAGTATATTATTTCAGGTATTTTAACCCAATATTAATTTATTTCTGTTGGGTTGATCCTTATATTTTTAAAAGCAAGGTGAGTGAGAATGTCTTTGAGGCATATATTTGTGCAAGTCATAAATTGTACATTCTTATATCGTCATAGCGATTGCAAGCTTTTTATTCATTTCTTGATGCCAATGCCTGATTTTGGTTTTTTGATACACGTCAAGAGTTTATCACAATTTATTTTTAACTTGGTTGTTCCATTTGTGGAGTGTCTGTTTTTAGGTGGTGCATTTCTGCTTTAACTGTTTTTACATCTTTTGGCTATTTTTTCAATCCTGTTCATCCCCCCAAGTCGCATTCACATTTCAAAGAAAAGGTAAGTGAAGACTTGAAAAGCTAATTTTTGTCATGATATGACTAACATAAATCTCCTCACTCTTGAAATTATTGGAGTAGGCATTTCTGGGATGCCAGAATCTTGTATCATGTACCTGAGCTTTTTCTGACAATGATTCAGATTTGAAGAAATTATTTGAGTAGGCATTTCTGGGATGCCAGCATCTTGTATCATGTACCTGAGTTTTTCTGACAATGATTCAGATTTGAAGAAATTATTGGAGTAGGCATTTCTTTGATGCCAGCATCTGGTAGCATGTTCCTGAGTTTTTCTGACCATGATTCAGATTTGAAGAAATTATTGGAGTAGGCATTTCTGGGATGCCAGCATCTTGTATCATGTACCTGAGTTTTTCTGACAATGATTCAGATTTGAAGAAATTATTGGAGTAGGCATTTCTGGGATGCCAGCATCTGGTAGCATGTACCTGAGTTTTTCTGACAATGATTCAGATTTGAAGAAATTATTGGAGTAGGCATTTCTGGGATGCCAGCATCTTGTATCATGTACCTGAGCTTTTTCTGACAATGATTCAGATTTGAAGAAATTATTGGAGTAGGCATTTCTGGGATGCCAGCATCTGGTAGCATGTACCTGAGTTTTTCTGACAATGATTCAGATTTGAAGAAATTATTGGAGTAGGCATTTCTGGGATGCCAGAAGCTGGTATCATGTACCTGAGCTTTTCTGGCAATGATTCAGATTTGAAGAAATTATTGGAGTAAGCATTTCTGGGATGCCAGCATCTGGTAGCATGTACCTGAGTTTTTCTGACAATGATTCAGATTTGAAGAAATTATTGGAGTAGGCATTTCTGGGATGCCAGCATCTTGTATCATGTACCTGAGTTTTTCTGACAATGATTCAGATTTGAAGAAATTATTGGAGTAGGCATTTCTGGGATGCCAGCATCTTGTATCATGTACCTGAGTTTTTCTGACAATGATTCAGATTTGAAGAAATTATTGGAGTAGGCATTTCTTTGATGCCAGCATCTGGTAGCATGTTCCTGAGTTTTTCTGACCATGATTCAGATTTGAAGAAATTATTGGAGTAGGCATTTCTGGGATGCCAGCATCTTGTATCATGTACCTGAGTTTTTCTGACAATGATTCAGATTTGAAGAAATTATTGGAGTAGGCATTTCTAGGATGCCAGCATCTGGTAGCATGTACCTGAGTTTTTCTGACAATGATTCAGATTTGAAGAAATTATTGGAGTAGGCATTTCTGGGATGCCAGCATCTTGTATCATGTACCTGAGCTTTTTCTGACAATGATTCAGATTTGAAGAAATTATTGGAGTAGGCATTTCTGGGATGCCAGCATCTGGTAGCATGTACCTGAGTTTTTCTGACAATGATTCAGATTTGAAGAAATTATTGGAGTAGGCATTTCTGGGATGCCAGAAGCTGGTATCATGTACCTGAGCTTTTCTGGCAATGATTCAGATTTGAAGAAATTATTGGAGTAAGCATTTCTGGGATGCCAGCATCTGGTAGCATGTACCTGAGTTTTTCTGACAATGATTCAGATTTGAAGAAATTATTGGAGTAGGCATTTCTGGGATGCCAGCATCTTGTATCATGTACCTGAGTTTTTCTGACAATGATTCAGATTTGAAGAAATTATTGGAGTAGGCATTTCTGGGATGCCAGCATCTTGTATCATGTACCTGAGTTTTTCTGACAATGATTCAGATTTGAAGACCAGTTTGGTATTATAAAGTTTGGGTATGTCATTTGAAAAATATAAACACTTTTTGGGCATCGTAAATTTTCATTATCCTATGACCACTCAGCTTTTCGTAATTTACATAATTTGTCACATCATAATACAGTTTTTTGAAAACCAATAGTTAACATAAAAATGTATCACAGTCTTGGTTTGATGTCAGATTTTACTTCTCTCCAATGGTCAAAATAATATGTTCTTTGAAAGTAATCCTCAGGTCATGAATTAGGTTTCATTTTAGGATAAATTGATTTGTGATTTTTTTCAAAATCTTAGTCACCTTTTACCTATGCCTCACAGCCTCAGAAGTTGACGACCATTAGCTGGTGTTGCCCATGTTCGATATATTCTCCCGAGTGCTTTATTTTTTGTGCTAACATTCATTTTTGCCCATATATGGTTGTGTTATGCTTGAAACATTCTGATACAGCATACTGTATAAGTGGTTAATTTACCGAGACATTTAATTTTCCGATTTTCAATTTTTGCTTAGTTATAAAAAGATAACATCTTAAAATCAATTTACATTGTGAATTGAAGCTGTCATGATAAGAGTCAAGTCAAACTATGAGACTGGCATAATAGTTTCGGCGCTAAAAATAAATCCCTTGTCATTGATCAACCAGCAGGAGGAAATAAAGATTAAACAAACAAACAAACTCACATGTCACAACATAGTAATTAAAAAAAAGAATTCAAAACTTCGATGAATGCTTTTGAGGGAGCTGTCATTTCCTCAAAGATTTTCTTTCTTTTCTCACTGTTATTGTTGTAGATGCATCCCTTTGATATAAAAAGTTTAACGCTAGTTCCTATTTCCACTTCTACCAGTAGAAAGGAGCCCTTTTCAAGTGCCTATCGGATGCTCCCCTCCTTTTCTGATAAATTTCTTAAACACATTTCGGAAAAGTTTTCCTCCTCCTCGTTCTCCAGTCTCATGTAGAAACTCTTTTTTTGCTGAATTGCGGCAACGAAGAACGTCGTGCCAACTTTGTATCGCACAATTACGGGTTGCTTATTCTGTGCCATTTTGACTAAATTTAACTCGAAGTTGACTTGTTAAATTATAAGTTGAACACCAAAACGGCAGATGAGTTTAAATTTTCAAGTTTTTGTCTTGAAAAAGTGGAAATTTATGGTGTTATTGATTTGTGATTTTTTTCAAAATCTTAGTCACCTTTTACCTATGCCTCACAGCCTCAGAAGTTGACGACCATTAGCTGGTGTTGCCCATGTTCGATATATTCTCGCGAGTGCTTTATTTTTTGTGCTAACATTCATTTTTGCCCATATATGGTTGTGTTATGCTTGAAACATTCTGATACAGCATACTGTATAAGTGGTTAATTTACCGAGACATTTAATTTTCCGATTTTCAATTTTTGCTTAGTTATAAAAAGATAACATCTTAAAATCAATTTACATTGTAAATTGAAGCTGTCATGATAAGAGTCAAGTCAAACTATGAGACTGGCATAATAGTTTCGGCGCTAAAAATAAATCCCTTGTCATTGATCAACCAGCAGGAGGAAATAAAGATTAAACAAACAAACAAACTCACATGTCACAACATAGTAATTAAAAAAAAGAATTCAAAACTTCGATGAATGCTTTTGAGGGAGCTGTCATTTCCTCAAAGATTTTCTTTCTTTTCTCACTGTTATTGTTGTAGATGCATCCCTTTGATATAAAAAGTTTAACGCTAGTTCCTATTTCCACTTCTACCAGTAGAAAGGAGCCCTTTTCAAGTGCCTATCGGATGCTCCCCTCCTTTTCTGATAAATTTCTTAAACACATTTCGGAAAAGTTTTCCTCCTCCTCGTTCTCCAGTCTCATGTAGAAACTCTTTTTTTGCTGAATTGCGGCAACGAAGAACGTCGTGCCAACTTTGTATCGCACAATTACGGGTTGCTTATTCTGTGCCATTTTGACTAAATTTAACTCGAAGTTGACTTGTTAAATTATAAGTTGAACACCAAAACGGCAGATGAGTTTAAATTTTCAAGTTTTTGTCTTGAAAAAGTGGAAATTTATGGTGTTATTGATTTGTGATTTTTTTCAAAATCTTAGTCACCTTTTACCTATGCCTCACAGCCTCAGAAGTTGACGACCATTAGCTGGTGTTGCCCATGTTCGATATATTCTCCCGAGTGCTTTATTTTTTGTGCTAACATTCATTTTTGCCCATATATGGTTGTGTTATGCTTGAAACATTCTGATACAGCATACTGTATAAGTGGTTAATTTACCGAGACATTTAATTTTCCGATTTTCAATTTTTGCTTAGTTATAAAAAGATAACATCTTAAAATCAATTTACATTGTGAATTGAAGCTGTCATGATAAGAGTCAAGTCAAACTATGAGACTGGCATAATAGTTTCGGCGCTAAAAATAAATCCCTTGTCATTGATCAACCAGCAGGAGGAAATAAAGATTAAACAAACAAACAAACTCACATGTCACAACATAGTAATTAAAAAAAAGAATTCAAAACTTCGATGAATGCTTTTG